GGGTCCTCAGGTCCAGCAGCAGCTCCACCGTCCGAGTCCTCAGTACCAGCAGCAGCGCCACCGCCCGGGTCCTCAGCTCCAGCAGCAGCTCCAACGTCCGAGTCCTCAGCACCAGCAGCAGCTCCACCAGGCGGGTCCGCAGCACCAGCAGCAGCTCCAACGTCCGGGTCCTCAGCACCAGCAGCAGCGCCACCCCCAGGGTCCGCAGCACCAGGAGCACCACTCCGAAGACTGCAGCGCCGTGTGTACCACTCGCGGATCTGCTGAATGGGGGGGAGCTCCTGGGTAGGAGGGGAAGTACCGGGACGAGCTCCAGCAGCACCTCGCCGGAGGCGGCAGTACTCGAGGTACCTCTCCTGCAGCTGCTGGGAGGAGAGGGCTCCTCCAGGTGTAGCACGCTCAGGCTCAGCACCCCCAGACGCAGCACCCCCAGACCCAGCACCCCCAGGCTCAGCACCTCCAGGCTCCGCACCTCCAGGCTCCGCACCTCCTGGCTCAGCACCCCCAGGCTCCGCACCCCCAGACTCAGCACTCCCAGGCTCAGCACCCCCAGACGCAGCACCCCCAGGCTCAGCACCCCCAGACTCAGCACCCCCAGACTCAGGACGCGAGTCAACAGCTACCTCGACAGGCTCACCCGGGTCTACCTGGGACACACCTGAGGGAGCGGCACCCTGAGGGGGGAGGGGGTCTGGTACCTCAGCACCTGGAGCGAGGAAGAGAGGCGGGGGGGGGAGCGGGGCAGTGCGGTAGGGGAAGAGGCGGTAGTAGGGGACGGACTCGTCAAAAGTGACGTCCTGAGAGGCCAGGACACGCCGCGAGGTGGGGTGGTAGAACTGCCAACCAGGGGCGTCCGGGACAAAGCCAAGGAAGACGCAGGGGACAGCGCGACGGGAGAGCTTGTCCGCGGACGTGTCGCGGACAAAACGTCTCTTCGGGCCCACCACTACCTACTACCTACTACCTACTAGCGCCCTCGTGCGCCCTACTATCGGAGTGCGCTTTAGCGCCTCCCCCCCCCTTAGCGCCCTCGAGCGCTTTCTTTTTGTTTTTTTCCCGGCCCCGCTGGCCCCGTCGATCGCGCATGTTTACTCTTGCTAGGTTGTGATCACTGTATCTCTGGCTCTGTTATAAACCTGCATGTGAACTGGTCTTGTGACCACTAGCTTGTGCTCGGAATTTGTGTGGAATCCTCGAGATCCACCCTGAGTCCAGTGTGAAGGTGTGCAGTGCTGCAGTCGACTCAGTACCAGGGGGCACGGACGCACGAGCACCTAGAGCAGCGGCCTCACCAGGACCTGTGGGAGCAGACGCACTAGCACCTAGAGCGGCGGCCGGACTGGCCTGAATGCCCGGGTCGGGCGGAACACGCAAGTACTGAGCACCCTCTCCACTAATAGACATCGCATACATGGCAGTGAGAATAGCATCAAAGTCTAAAGCCCAAATATCAACGCCCCTCTTTTCCAGATCAGCCCAGCGCGGCAGCTCAGTGGCAGCAGGAAACTGAGTGCGCCACGCGTCGTTAAGGCGCGCGAAGCAGCGCTGCGTGGGGTGCGGCCTCCCACACTGCTGGCCGCTGCGGTCACCTGTGCGAATGACGTACGTGCAGGTAAAGCTACGCTGCGCATACCACTCACGGGCGGCCTGAAGCGTCGGGGCGGGCTGCTGACTCTGCCCTCCGCCAGTGCCTCCACGACCACCACCCCCACCGCCGCCGCCCCGGCCACCTCCACCCCTGCCGCCGCCACGACCACCTCCGCCTCCGCTGCCGCCTCCACCACCACTCCCACCGCTGCTGTCTCCTCCCCCACTGCCGCCACTAGTCTCCCCAGCCGCGCCTCCACTCCCACCGCCTCCACCCCCACCTCCTCCGCCACCACCCCCACCCCTGCCCCCCTTGTTCCTGCGGCGCCCACTCGAAGCAGACGCGGTCCCGACCTTCTCAGCACCAAGAAGGTCGACAGCAGCAGCAGAGGCGACAGAGGGGAGGAGGGGGGAAGGGGAACACCCCTCAAAGAACGGGGTGCGGGGGTCGCCACGAGAGGTGCCTACAGCGACGATGCTCGCCTCAGCTGCAAGCAGTTCCTTCTCGAGGAGGGCAACAGTGAGCTCAGTGGGGGAGCGAGAGAGGAAGTGGTCCCTGACTGCGCGCAGAGAGTCAGGGAGGCGGGTGACGATGTGGTAGAGAGTGATCCAGAGCGGGGGGGGGTTGCTAGTGAGAAACTCGGCAGGCATAGCAGCGCGAAAGCGGGCCTCACTAGTCTTAAGGTGGGTGATGAGGTCTGCGACAGTGTGAAAGGAGGCTAGGTCGGGGAACAGGTAGGGGAGAGTGAGGCGGCCTAGCGTGGCAGAAGCTGGCGAGGAGTAGCGGGCAACTACAGCGGTGTAGAGGTCCTTAGCAGTCTTGCACTGGCTGAAGTGCTCGCGCTCGTCTAGCGGCAGGGAGTTGCGAATAGCAAAGCGAGCGTGCGCATCACGGGTCTGCCACTGGGAACGCAGAGTGCTGTCAGCAGTCGAGTCAGGGGCAGTGGCATGGCCTAGGGCGTGGTCGTACAGTGAGATATCTTCCTTGGCAGTGAGCTGTAGGAACAGGTGCAGGTCATCGAGCCAGGTTTCGAACTTCACTGGACGGCCCTCGGCATCGAAAGCTAGAACTGGCGGACTAGCCATAGTGACAGTAGCAGTAGGAGCAGTAGGAGTAGCAGTAGGATCAACAGGGCTGCTAGAACGGTCGACGCGGCTCGGTCGGGCGGCGCGGCTCGGTTCAGGTAGGGCGGCGCGGCTCGGTTCGGGCTGCGCGGCTGCGCGGAGCCGCTAAGAGGGGCGGGACGGGGTCGCGGGGGCCTCTAAGCGGGGCTCGACGGGGCCGTGGGGCCGCTAAGCGGGGCGCAGCGGGGTCGAGGGGCCGTGTGGTGGCGGGCGACGGGGCCGCGGGGCCTCTAAGCGGGGCTCGACGGGGCCGTGGGGCCGCTAAGCGGGGCGCAGCGGGGTCGAGGGGCCGTGTGGTGGCGGGCGACGGGGTCGCGGGGCCTCTACACGGGGCGCGCGCAGGGTCGACGGGGCCGTGAGCGGGGCGCGCGCGCGGGTTCGACGGGCCGTGTGGTGGCGGACGACGGGGCCGCGGGGCCTCTACACGGGGTGCGCGCGGGGTCGACGGGGCCGTAAGCGGGGCGCGCGTGAGTTCGACGGGGCCGCGGGGCCACTAGGCGAGGCGCGACGGGGCCGCGGGGCCTCTAAGCGGGGCGCGATCGACGGGGCCAGCGGGGCCGGGAAAAAAAAAAAAAAAGAAAGCGCTCGAGGGCGCTAAGGGGGGAGGCGCTAAAGCGCACTCCGATAGTAGGGCGCACGAGGGCGCTAGTAGGTAGTAGGTAGTAGGTAGTGGTGGGCCCGAAGAGAAGTTAGGTCCTAGCGAAGGACCTGCTCTGAATCCCAGTCACTAACCACTGGGATAAAATGGCTTGTTTATATAGCGGGTGAGTGCGCCCATAACCCCCCAGGCCGACGTGCCTGTAACCCTTCCCTAGGATCATCGGGGATCCCCAGTGGACCTCTGACACCCCCCCCGCACTGGGATGCCCGAAGTGCACACACCGGGAATCGAACCCGAGACCTTCGCTCTGATACCATGTCAGAATGAACGGACTGGAATGGTTGAACTAACAGAGAAATCAGTACAAATAGCAAACCCTAGAATTGTGTACCCCATATAGGCTAACCCACTGTAGCCTAACAAACCCAACATATATAATGTTTGACACCCTCAGGCAATCTGCAAAAGCCTCCCGCGGAGACGATTCTGAAGTGGATCGACGAGTCCTGGCGGGAGGTCCTAGAGGAGCTGGTCAAGAAGTCCTTTGTCACCTGCGGGATTTCCACCAAGCTCGACGGCAGCGAAGACCACCTCGTCCTCCCACACTAGCGGGACAAGGGTGAGGTGGAAGTGCTGGAGGATGTGAACGAGGTGGTTGAAGACGAGGTCATCCTCAACCCCTGCTTCGAAGAGGCCCGCGTGCCGGCCGAGGTGCTGCAGGCGGACTACGACGCCATGCATGTGGAGCAGGACGATGAGGATGCGGAGGCGAAAGACGGAGATGGGGAAGGGTACGGGGCTGGAGAAGGTGGGGATGCAGAAGAGTGGAGCGAGGCCGGCTCTGACTGGTGGCTCCCCGACCGCTTTGACGGAGAGGAGGTTGAGGAATGGCATGCTGGGGACGATGAGTAGGAGGAAGGGCTCTAACTGAGTAGGTAGAAAGCACTCTGTCTAGATGGTAGTAGGCACCAGATAAATGAAGGAAATACTGTGTGATGGGTGTGTTATCGCTGTATTGCGTCAGATGTAGCTTGTTTGTGCTGATGTTAACATGTAGATGGTTAATCATTGGAAACCCAGTGCAATTTAGGCCAAAACAGCAAATTTACCCGTACATAACATCCCCCCCCCGGGTGTTATACCGGATCGCCCCAAAAGGGGGGTATAGTAGAAACGTGGTCCGCTATAGCACCCCCCCCGCACAAGCCACCCGGGGGGTGCTCTATTTCGGCGGGTGGTATGTCCGGGTGATTACGGTACAAAAAAAAGTCTGAATGGACTCCGAAGTCTGATATCTAGGGCACTGCTCGGCGCTAGGCCTGTGGCGCATCCCATTTCATGCATTACTGTTACCACGATAGCTTCGCTATATGACTTCCGCTCATGCCTTTGCTCAATGTACTATTTTGCTTCAATAATGCAATTCTCGCTCGCTTAATCAACTGCTCTCGTAACACAAGGAGATAAGCATTGTGGATCTGTTCATTTATGCCAAGTAAAAAACTCAACGTACATCATCTTATTCACTATAACGAGAATGTCATGCCCCTGTGTCTTACTTCATAATCGGCTGGACTTCCAGCAAGTAACTCAACTCTCCCACCTTTCCACATGCGGCAAATTTGGCGCATGCCATAAAGGCGGAATTTCCAGTCAATGCCAATATGGCTATCTGACGGCCTCCTTTTTAATTGGTGTTGTGTGGAAGCTGTAATAAGGAAACCATGTCAAACCAACGAAACACGAAGTTCAAGAAACCAACGCAACCAATCCCAGCTATGTACAACGGCTCACTCGGAACCCAACGCATACCTTGAATGGCATGCCCCAGCAGTTTGGACAGGACCTTATCCACAAAAAACGCAAGGCACATGAGCAGAACGAGCAGCGCGGACAAGCCTAGTGCCGCTGCTAGAAGAACCTTGGAGAGATGGCAGTTCTCCCCATCGGCACACCCCTACCCACAGAACGTTTACACATAGGCAACGTCAATGAACAAATAGCCCAAAGAGCGAGTGCGGAGGAGGTGGAGGAGGAGGAGGAGGAGGAGGAGGAGGAGGAAGGAGGAGGAGGAGGAGGAGGAGGAGGAGGAGGAGGAGGAGGAGGAGGAGGAGGAGGGAGGAGGAGGAGGAGGAGGAGGAGGATGAGGAGGAGGAGGAGGAGGAGGAGGAGGAGGAGGAGGAGAGGAGAGGAGGAGGAGGAGGAGGAAAGAAGAAAGGACACCCAAAAAGCCCAACCCAGCTGGGCGGAAAAAAGAACCAGTGGCAAACTTGCAGTCACCACCCGCAAGCTGACAAACTACAGTCATCAACCCCTCAGGGCGTCAGGTCAGCAGCTGAGGGCAAGCTGCTGCTGGAAGAGCACCACGTGTCTCACCAATTGAGGCCCGAGTCAAAGCGGCCAGTCACCATCATGGACTCCTCTCCGCCCCTCCTCATGTAGGCGAACGGGGAGTACGGGTGGGGGAAGAGCGTGGGGAGGCTGGCGGGCTCTCCTGTGAAGTACGATTCGATGAGAGCGAGGAATGGCATGGACACCATGGCCAGCGCAATGGCTATGCCTGTGGTGCGCACATGGGGAGACATGGGGAGAAGAAACGTGTCATTGCCTGTATAACCAGCATGAGTAGGGTGAAAGCGGAAGCTGGCTGAAACTCAGAGTGATGTGAGGGAGAAGCGTGACCTGCTGTTGGTTGAGGTAAGCCTACAGCTGCTCAAAGCGTTGCGAGGAGGGAGAACGTGAGGGTGAGGAGAGGTAAGGGCAGTGAGGGGCGGGGGGAGGGGGGGGGGAGAGTGTGTGGGCGGGAGAGTGCTGATTGGGAGGGAGAAAAGTGACAAGCGAACACGTACCTACGGTCGCAAGAATCGCGACTAGAACGAGGGAGATGTTGGCGGCGGCGCCGTTGCCCTCGGGCTTCTTGAACGTGAACGGCTTGGGAAGAGAGTCGCGCGGCGGCGCGGGGCTCCAGAACGACTCCCTGAACATACGATCGCTCAGGTGCTTCTGCAGACGCCGACCAATCCTGTGGCTCGGCGACTCCAGCGACAGCAGTCGCCCAGACCCCAATCCAGGCGAAAGCTCGTCCAGAACAGGCGTGGTGCTTCCGCCGCTTGGGGAACGCGTCGCGCTGCTGTTGTTGCTGTACGGCGACGAAGCAGAGCCGTTGGATCCCTGCGACCACGTGCGTCGGATGTCGAACGACCCGCGGCTGCTGGCGCCGCCGCCGCTGCCGCCGCTGCCAAGGCCGCGGTTGAGGCGAGGCGGGCGGGAAGAGGAGGAGGAGGATTGACGGGAGGGGGATCGGTTGGCGTATTCCATCATAGACGCCTCTAGCACGCGCATCAGCGGGTACGGCTTGTGTGACGACTGCTGCCACAGGGGCTGCTGCTGCTGCTGCTGCTGCTGCTGGCGATAGTCAGGAGGAGAGCCGTTGTAGTCGCTACGGTAGCTGCTGCCGTAGCTGTTGCCGTTGGCGCTGCTATTGCTGCTGCTGAAGGCCCCAGACGGAGTGCTGTTGGGCGTGGTGGCGGTGGTGTTGGCGTTGCGTGAACTGGTGCTGTAATAAGACTGGTTTCTGGAAGAGGGGGTTGCCGCCATGCTACTTAGGGAAAAGAAGAAACCAGCACACAGGAATCTCTTGCTGAACGCAGGCCGAAACTTGCCGATCTGCCGAATTCGTGACCTAAATAGGTGCTACGGTTTGCACTGACACTCACGATTCTGCAGCGGAAACCCCAGTCACATCACAATGGGTTGTGATTGGAAAGACGGAGAAGCGCCTTTTTCTGTGACGCCACGGATAACGTATCGCCACGGCGACGACGGAGAAGGCGAATGTTGTTGACACAGACACGAGAGAGGAGATCGCCCCATCCATGTAGTATGATGATCAGCAGCAGCAGGTGGCATCCCTTCGCAGACGACAGTGAGACGAGGTGGGCGACCAGACGGGCAGGAAGAAGAGCGTAAAGTCACGTGCGACAGCGTCGCACGCTTTCGTCACGTGACTGTTCAAGTTGAGGGCTCAGCCAGACTGACTGATACGGCAGCCTCACTCCTTGGTTCTGTTCTGCTCGACGACCACCTCTGCATGCGTCCACGTGGAGGCACGTCATGCGACGCGGTGGGCCCCATGACCTCGATATGACGTGACTCGTATGGACACGAGAGGGTTTTGGAGCAGGGCGGCGTCAGGGGAGTGAACGAGTGGACAAAAAGATCTTGCCCCAGCGTGGCTGACAGGCTGACGAGGGGGTTTAGGGACGAATATCCTTAGATTCGGCGGAAGTGGACAGGCGGAATCTGGTCTCGAGAGTATCGAAAGGCGGCGATCTGCCTGCGTCAGCGAAATGCTTTGCGCCGGCGCGGCATTCGCATGGAATGAATTATCACGAGGACGTTCGGGTTGCGGCATGTTGGAAGCGTGTCGACGTAAAGGAAAAGAAAGACGATTGCGAGAAGGCAATCTGCACTGCACAACCAATATGTGTGACTGAGTTGTCCAGCTTGCTTGATTAGCTTGGGACGCATCGTTGGTGAAAACGAACCCGAGGCGGCGAACTCCATGATGCCATCGAGGTACTTGTAACAGGGGCTGTAAATACAGCTCGATCTGGTTAGGATGGTGGTTTGTATTAGGGAAAAAAATGTTTGGAATCGCAAAAGACCGTTCACGTTTGACAGTGACCGTAATCAACCGCATAAAAGTGACTGGGGTGACGGGCCGTTTGGCTTACAGGTAGGCGGCGCGCGAAAATGACATGCGAATGTGCTGACGTGGTGCCAAGTCCAGGCTCCAGATCCCAGGTGCCAGCAGGCGGGAACCGATTCAAGAGGTGGGGGGTGGAATGAAGAGCGATGGGTAGCATACTCGTTGTAAGAACAGTTTCGATTTCGCCACTTTTCTATTCGTGTATTTGTACGAAACTGTTTGCGAAATTCCTGATAAGCCACGAAGGGGTTAACCGAGGTTTAACCGAGAGCAGCCATTGATTTCGGAAATATACCCACTTCCGTTGATCACGGCGGCAAACTTTAGCTGTCAGAATCCAGTCATGGCACCTGGTTCAAGTCAGAAAGGAGCCGCGGAAGAGAGCGCAGGAGGCCTTGCAGCATCGTCAAAACCGTTGTCGGAACAAACACCGAAAACTGGGTCAGACGAAGCAGCAGTACGAGAAGCAGCAACGAATGGAGCGTTAGATTATCCCGATCCGACGGCGGAGGGGGACTGGCGTTTCGATCCGCAGTTGGAATGGCAGGCAGGCGTCCGCGCGTACCTTTCGCAGGCGTACGGTGCAGAGCGGTTCGAACGCATCTGCGCGGCGCTAAGGTGCGGTGACGGCACCTTCGGCTACTGTTGCATGGGTTACTAGTGGCTTGGGTGTCCCTTTTCGGTTACACGTCTTTAGTTTATTCTTCCCTTCGATGAGGTCCAAGGTTCATGGTGCCTGCCTGCACGTGCTCCCTCTACTCCCTTCTTCTCTCCCACATACCCTCTCTTCCCCTTCCTCCCAAAACCCTCCCCCAACCCTTTTATACCCCCCCTACCCCCCTCCCCGCCCCCCTCTTTCCCTCCCTCCCCTCATCCCGGCCGCCTTCTTTTCCCCTCTCTTCGACTCCCCTTACCCTATCCATCCGTCCGTGGACCGTCGGACCTTTTCCCGCCGTCCTTTGTCAGGCAAATTGCCCTCTCCCTTGTTCCCCCACACATCTTTCCACCTCCCCTTCCCCTTTTCTCCTCTATTCCCCTGCCCGCCGCAGCCGTCCCCCCCTGTCAGTGTGTCTGCGCGTGAACCCCCTCCGCACAACCACCGGAGATGCGCTGCTGGCTCTTGCTGGCGCGCTGGGGCTGGATTCAGGGAGAGGGGAAGGGGGGGAAGAGAGGGAGGGGGAGGGGGACCAGGAGGGGATACGGCGGCAATTCTTAGCAGGGATGGAACGTGGGGAGGGGAGCGAGCGGAGGAGGGGAAGCGAGAAATGGTGGATGCCAGTGCTGCTAATGATGCTGATTGTGACTGTGACGCGGGGAACGTGGCGGCAGCTCGCTTGGTGTGCAGGGAGCACCCTCTTGTACCGGGTGTGATTATAGTGGAGGGCACGGGCCCTCACAGAGTGTCGTATGAGGCAACGGAGCAGAGCAAGGGCAGCTGCAGTGGTGGCGGCGGCGGTGGGGATGGGGATGAGAATGGGCGTGTTGAGGAAGTGGAGAGACGGGCGGAGGGGGAGGGAGCGGAGGGGGAGAAGGGGAATGAGTGGAGGGATGGGAGGAATGGGAGGGAGGGGAAGGAGGGGAAGGAGGGGAAGGAGGGCGAGATTGGCGAGGGCAGTGGGAGGGAGTCGGAGGGGAGGATGGAGCGGATGAAGCAGGTGGTGGTGAGCAGGAAGTGCGGCGAGGCTGTGCTGCGCGGGGCCAATGTGAGTGAGTAAGGGGTGCATGGATGTGCAGGGTGACGGAGGGGCGCATGGAGGGTGTGCGGGGGGGGGGGGGGGAGGGGGGAGGGTGGGGGGGGCATGGAAGTGGAGGGTGTGAGTGGCCTGCGGGGAATGCAGCGCACAGGCACAGGCACAGGCACAGCAAGCTCGCAAGCGCTGTTGTTGTGTTTCTTCATGAGCTTACGAGTCACGGCCCACAGCACTATGCTCCAGCTTTGCGGCTCTGCATCTCTTGAAATTTCTCAGATGTGAAATGAAGTGAATCCAGTGTAACTGCACAGAACACCAACCAACGTTCAGCACAGCCTACGTCCACAGTCACCCAACACTCCTTGAATTCTCCCTTTCTTTCGCACCAACATTTTCTGTCCGTCCCTTCCCCTCCCCCCGCACCCTCCCACTTCTGTTCCTCGCCATTCCCGTTGTCTCTCCCCGTTTCGTCCGTCCGTCCATCCCACAGGTGTTTGTGCCCGGAGTGCTGTCGTGCAGGCCAGGTGTGGAGCCTGGTCTTCAAGCGCGCCAATCATAGACTCGCCAACCCTGTTGCTGTGTCTCGCCCACCCGCCCAACCGCCCGTCCATCCCACAGGTGTTTGTGCCCGGAGTACTGGCGTGCAGCCCGGGTGTGGAAGCAGGGGACACTGTCGCCGTGTGCGTGGCCATTGAAGCCCGGGCGGATGGGGAGGAGGGAGAGGAGGGAGAAGGGGGGAATGTGGGGGAGAGGATAGAAGACGGAGAGGGGGAAGAGAGGGGAAAGGGTGGAGGGGAGGGGGGGGAGGGCGCGGAGTGGTCGGTGGGGTTGACTCGAGGAGCAACGCTGGGTTCTGCTCATACACGTGCAGGTGAAGGGGAAGGGAGAGGCATGGCGTGGGGCATGGCGTGGGGCATGGCATGGGGCATGGCATGGGGCATGGCATGGGGCATGGCATGGGGCATGTCATGGTGGCCGGCCATGGCATGTAATGGAATGGCTGAACAGGGTACAGTCCAAGGCGTTCCTCCCATGCCCTGCTCTGTCCCCACAGGCTCTGAGCACCAGGACTGCTGCTTGTGCTACATTCATTTTCAAGTACTGCTCCTCTCTGCTCATCCCTGCTCCTCCCTGCTCATCCCTGCTCATCCCTGCTCCTCCCTGCTCCTCCCTGCTCATCCCTGCTCCTCCCTGCTCCTCCCTGCTCCTCCCTGCTCCTCCCTGCTCCTCCCTGCTCCTCCCTGCTCATCCCTGCTCCTCCCTGCTCCTCCCTGCTCCTCCCTGCTCATCCCTGCTCATCCCTGCTCCTCCCTGCTCATCCCTGCTCATCCCTGCTCCTCCCTGCTCCTCCCTGCTCCTCCCTGCTCCTCCCTGCTCCTCCCTGCTCCTCCCTGCTCCTCCCTGCTCCTCCCTGCTCATCCCTTCTCATCCCTGCTCCTCCCTGCTCATCCCTGCTCATCCATGCTCCTCCCTGCTCCTCCCTGCTCCTCCCTGCTCCTCCCTGCTCTTCCCTGCTCCTCCCTGCTCTTTCCTGCTCCTCCCTGCTCCTCCCTGCTCCTCTCTGCTCCTCCCTGCTCTTCCCTGCTCCTCCCTGCTCCTCCCTGCTCCTCCCTGCTCTTCCCTGCTCCTCCCTGCTCCTCCCTGCTCCTCCCTGCTCTTCCCTGCTCCTCCCTGCTCATCCCTGCTCCTCCCTGCTCCTCCCTGCTCCTCCCTGCTCCTCCCTGCTCTTCCCTGCTCTTCCCTGCTCCTCCCTGCTCCTCCCTGCTCCTCCCTCCTCCTCCCTGCTCTTCCCTGCTCCTCCCTGCTCCCCCCTTCTCCACCCACAGGCTTTGAGAGGCGGGACCGGTCGCGGTGGTTCGTAGGCAAGGGCGTGGCGCAGCTGTCGCGCTCCGCCATGTTCCGCGCCTCCCACGGCGTCGCTGTCGCCCTCTCCCACCGCGCCTTCCTGCTGCCCCCTGCCACGGTGCACTGCTCTGTGCTCTCTCTGCTGCTCGCAGCACGGGGGCAGTTGACAGGGGGATGTGGATGGGGAATGGGACTGGGGAAGTGGAAGTGCGGGCAGGGGTAGGGGACAGGGGACAGGGATCATGGGGCAGGGGGGAGGGGGCAGGGCGAAGGACAGGGGAGATTTGACAGGAAAAGGAGACAAGGGGAGAGTGTGAGGATGAAATGAAGGGGAGATAGGAAAGGGAGGGACTGGAACGTGGGAATGGTTGGTGACTTGGGAGGGGCAGCAGAAATAAGGAAAGGGAGTTGGGTGGTGGTGCAGATGGTTCGGCTGGCACTGCATGCATGCATGCAGACATGGGACTACTTGACACTGCATGAAGATGTGTTCTGTCTGTCCTCCTCCTAAACATCTAGATCATATTTCTGTTTCCTCCTCCTCCCCCTTTGCCTCTCCCTTCCCTTCCTATCACCAACCTTCGTGCGTGATCAACCTGTGTCGTGTCCAACCTGCCCCTGCCATGCCCTTTCACGTTGGAAAGCCACTGCACGTAGATTCGACTCTCCAACCTCCCTGCATTCCCCGCCCTCCGTGCATCTGTTTTCCCCGCCCCCTCTGCTCCCTCGTCCGTCCTCGCGCTCTTCCCCAACTCCGATCTTATATCTGTCTGTCCCTTCCTGTCCCGTACTGCCCAATCTCCTCCCCGTTGTCCTCCCCTTGTCCCTCTTTTCCTCATGCAGACATCCTCCCTGGCGGCCATGTCTTCCTGCAGAATCTCCCCAGCATCATCACTGCTCGAGTCCTAGGTGTGTGCCATGCCCATGCCATGCCCATGCCATGCCATGATGCCATGCCCATGCCCTGCCCATGCCATGCCCATGCCATGCCCATGCCATGCCCATGCCATGGTGTCGTGATGTCATCTCTCTCAATCTCTCAGTTGTCAACAAGACGTTCCTCAGCTCTTCACTGCCCTCCCCTTGCCCCCATCGCTGCCTCGCCCTCCTCCCTTTCTCCTCCCATACCCTCACCACCTTCATCTCACAATCGACCGCATCCAACCCTCAGTTCCTCGCCCTCCCTCTTCTCCTTACCCCTTCTTCTCCCTTCCCCCTCCTTCTTCTCCCCCACTTCCTCTCCCTTCTCGAGGCCAGACCCCCAACCAGGAGAGCGCGTGTTGGATATGTGTGCAGCACCGGGTGGCAAAACCACAGCGCTGGCCATGCTCATGCGCGACACAGGCACGGTCGTTGCACTCGACCGCTCACACAACAAGGTGAGTGAGGTGAGGCTCCCAAGACGGGGCCGGGATGCTGCCTTGTCAAGTGCAGGCAGGGCTAGTAGGATGAAGGCCGGTATTAACCATGTCCACAAGCTGCGCGCTACACCACCCCACCACGCCCCACCACACCCCTCCCCTCTGCACCACACCACCTAAGCTGCTGCTACTGAAACTGCAACCACTGAGCCTGCTGCCTTGCAGTCGCCCATTCCTGCCCTCCTTCCTTGCCCATTCCTTCCCTCTACCCCACATGCATTGCCCCTTGGATGGGCCATTGCCCCCCGTAGGGTGTTTGACACCAACTCAGGCGCAGTGCGAATCTTGAGTCGACGGTAAGAAGAGGCATCGCGTCCTCATGAATCGCCCCCCATCTCATGCCCCCATTCCCTCTTCCCCCATCCCCCCATCTCTCCATCCCCCCATTTCCCCATGGCATGGCACCATCAGGTGCGGGGCATACGGGCGGTGGCAGCGGAGATGGGGCTGACATGCATCCATGCCATCAAGATGGACGCCACTAAAGCTGTTGCTGCTGCCAACCCCCATTCCCCCATCCCCCATTCCCCTTTCCCCACATCCCCCACTCCCCCATGGCACCATCAGGTGCGGGGCATACGGGCAGTGGCGGAGGAGATGGGGCTCACATGCGTCCATGCAATCAAGATGGACGCCACTAAAGCTGTTGCTGCTGCCACCCCTGCACCCTCCAAAGCCGCCGCCGCCGCCGCTGCTGCTTCGGTTGACACTGCGCCTGTTGCTGCTGGTGATGGTGGTGATGCTTCTGGTGGTGCCACTGGTGCTGGCACAAGGGAGGGAGTGGGGAATGGGAACGGGGGGAGACAGTCGGCTGATAGAGCAGCAGCAGCAGCAGAGGGAGGAGCAGTAGCAGTAGGAGCAGGAGCAGGGGGCAAAGGTATGGCCATATGCAGTGAGTGCTGATGCTGCTAGCAGCAGATATGGGTGTGCGTTGAAGGTACCTTGAACTGAAGCAGGGTCTACATGGAGCAAGTTTGACAACAGCCGTGCCACGGCATGACGTGGGACAAGAACCTTTCCTTGCCACAGAAGGTGTGAGATTCGACCCAGATCCAACTGACCAGACTCGTCCTACATTCATTGTCCGCTATCCGATTGAGAACGGCCATTGCTGCCTTTGTGTGACGTGACGTGACGTGACGTGACGTGACGTGACGTGACGTGACGTGACGTGACGTGACGTGACGGAACCTTTCCTTGCTGCCTGCCATGCCCCTTGCCAGCCTTCTAATCCCTTAGCATCTCTTTGCTGCCACACCCATCCCCATCCCATGCTAATTCCCCATCCCCATCTTCTTTGCTTTCCTTGTTTCCCTCCCGCCCCCTCCCCATGTCCATCCCTCCTGAACCAGCCTCCAGCAAAAGCAGAGCGGAGCAGCGAGAGGAGAAGCGGCGGCAGAGAGCAGGAGGCGGACAGGGGCGCATGAGAGGGGCGCGTGGGGGAGGGGGAGGAGGGAAGCAACGGGAGCAGGGAGAGGGGGAGGAGGAGGCTCGTGTTCGGGCTGAGGGGGGCTTTGAGGCGCACAGCTTTGACCGCGTGCTGCTGGATGGGCCCTGCTCTGCCCTCGGCCTCCGCCCGCGCCTCTTTGCTGCCAACGTGCGTGCCCCTGGTGATTTGTGGATAAGTGCGTGGGTGGGTTGGTGAGTGGGTGGGAGCACTGAGGAAGGGGGTGCAGGGGGAGAGTGGCACGTGTGTGTCCCTCTGTTTGTGCAAGTGCGCTTTCCTCATCGTTCAGCCTGTCAATCAACCCCCCCTTCCCGGCCCCGCCCACCTTTGTAGCCTCCTCGTATCACTTACCTTCTCTTCGCCACTCCTCCCCTCCTCTCTCTCTCCCCCCGGCCCCCAGGTGTCACTGGGGGAGCTGCGCAAGAATGCAGTGTACCAGCGCAGGCTCATAGATGCTGCAGTGCGCCTCGTCAAACCGGGCGGCACACTCGTGTACTCCACGTATGTCTTGACTTCTCCTCCACATTGCCTTTCCTATTCATCGGGACTCTCCTTAACCATGCCACACCATGCCACACCATGCCACACCATGCCACCATCACCACATCACGCGGACTGGCTTTGGAGGTGCGTGGCAAGGCCTTGCCCGTTGGTGGCACCATCTAGTTGCGTCCTCACTCTCCCCCTATCCTCCCACGTCTCATCCACATCTACTCGCTCCTTGTGCATCTTCTCCCCTTCCTCTCCCCTTCCTCTCTTCCTCCTCTCCCCTTCCTGTCCCCCTCCTCTCCCCCTCCTCTCCCCTTGGCTCACGCACCACCATCAGGTGCAGCATCAATCCAGGGGAGAACGAGGCCAATGTGCGCTATGCCCTCGACACCTACCCACACCTCTCCCTGCTCGCCCCTGTGAGCCGTGCACCATGCACCCATGCACCCATGCATCCATACACCCATTCACCCATACACCAACAGGTTTGGCATATCCACATGTTTCCGAGATGTCAAGGACTCACCTCCCCATCTTTCCTTCCCATCTTCCCTGCCCTGCGCACCGTCCCCTCCGCTCCACTGCCGGCCTCCCACACCCTGCCGCAGCCCCCTGAACTGCACCTGGGGCAACCAGGTCTTGTTGGGGGCCTCACCGTCTCAGATGGCACTGCGTGCAAGTGAGTGCTGGTCCTTTGTACCTGCAAGTGAGGTGGCAATTGTTTCTGTTTAGTGAGGTGGCATTGATAGGACGCCCTTTGATTCGTTGTCTTGGGATGACATCTGATTCCACTACCCCTTGCCCCTTCCTAGGCTTGTGTGAAATGCATGTTTTTGCTTCTTTCCCTCAAACGCTCCACTCGCTTTCTCTCCACGTTGCCCCCCTTCACTCCCTCTCCCTTCCCCCCCCCCTCCTTTCCTCCACGCGCCTCTTCCTTCTTGTCTTTCCCTTTGTACCCACTTTCTCAGTCCCTTTTTTTCCTCACATCCTCCTCCCTCTCCCCCTGCCACCATGCGAGCAGGGAGTGGTTGAGGGAGGGCGAGCAGCACAAGGTGATGAGCTTCCACCCCTCACACACCCTCGACACCATCGGATTCTTTCTTGCCAAGTTCGTCACCTCCCCAACCGCTTGCTCCTGCTGCCCGCACTGACGGGCACACCAGTCAAGTCGACAGCATGAGACGGCTGCTGTACTACATTACACTACTGCTGCCCAGATTTGTGGTGCCGCAACAAGGCGCTTCAACTACCTCTTCTTGCTGCTTGCAGTGACAAACACTCCAGTCGGAACGGGCTGATTGGGCTGCTAGTATGCTTCTGCTGCTCGCTCTGAGACACCCATCATGATACAGTGCCCTGAATGCGCTGCTTCACTGGTATCGACCAGGCAACCATGCAGTCACTACCACATCTGCTCTGCCTGTGCTGCTGCTGCCGCTGCTGCTGCTTCTGCTGCCGCTGCCACTGCTGTTGCTGTTGCTGCTGCTCCATCCTCCCTCCCTCTGACCGCTCCAGTCTCCACACCAGAGCCCTCATCACCAGGGGGAAACCGACGGCCGGATTATCAGTACCAGCACCTCCCTTCCACGCATCCGCAAAACAGTATCATTCCAAAAACATAAGGCTTTGCTGCTGAGCTGACCCTGCCTAAACCAGCAACAATGGGAGTGTGGTTGGTACCTGCATGTAATGTGCTGCACTGCATGTGCTACCTATCAAAGTTTTCTTTTTGCATGCCACTAGAAAATTTTATCTGTGTAGTGGAAACATAAACGCGGTGCTGTTTATAAACTGTTTGTAACATATTCTTCGGCCAAATTATGTGAAGTCCCGTAGGGAAGGAGATAATAGGTTCGGAAAAAATCGTTTATGTGGCTTGTGGCAGGAGTGATTCAAAGGCGTACACCTTCATTCGACCGTCCAGGATTGAGTTTGTAGTTGCAATCGTCTTTCGGCCGAGCTTGCTGGATTTGAGGCAATTTGGTGGAGGAACATGTGGATCACGTGGCATTCGCGAAGCACATGCGGTTTGTAACTTCCTAGCGGCACTTCGAAGCACGGATACCATTTTCGGCAATGAATGCCACTCCAGACAACCACACTGTCGCGAGAATCTTGCTACTTCGCCAGATTTCGCGTCACATCGTGGTGCCATAGGTCTGGGAGGGTCGGTGTGGTCATCGTGGTACTGTAGGTCAGAAGTGCCTTGAAAACCGGACAAAAAACTCACAGAACCGATGATCTATGCAATAATCTCTTCCTGTTGCCGCGTCGCCTGTGAACCTCAATTTCGCTCCAGCTCGCTCTCAGGCTTCTATAGTTTCTGTGACGGTCTTCCACTAGGGTCCAGCTGGCGCTTCCAGCTCACTGGCTTCCCGTCCCGGCTCACTATCTTCTCGTCTCACTGCCCTTGAGCCCACTGGCTTTCAGTCTAAGCATCCAGCGCACACCACCATCTAGATTTTAACGCGTTTGCATCATGAATCTCCGCGTGCGGGGCAGTTGACCGTTGCCAGCGCCCATAGGTCGTGAATCGTGATCTCTGATGTGATAAAGTCGATTCCCCTGCCGCTGCTGGTGGAGTTCCGAGTCGGACTGTACTACTGTACGAGCTGCTTGCTACGGTGACCGTATGAGTGACTCATCCAACCACTAAGAGTAGTGGTGGAATTGGTGTGTGCCTCCCTTCCCATCCCACGCGGCGATGGCGGTTGACTAGCGAAGAGAACATGCGGCGAGGCGAGAGTGTCACAGCGAGTGCGAGAGCTCTTCGCGGGGGCACCCACCCACAGGGGCACCCATTCCCGGCTCGTTCCGGGGAAGGTTCACGTGATGGGTGTGGCTCATGGGTGTGGCGCCGCGATTGCAACAAACGCGGTAAAGAGTGTCGGCTGCACGTTAGGATACGATTTGTGCTCCCGTAAGCATTCTCAAAACCGCGTCCCCGTCTCACTCTACGTGTCCCGCAAATGGTCAGTTGCTCCCGAAATCCGGGATAAATCGAACTGAATCATTCAAGATCACGTAGCCAAAGAAGCGTTTCAAACTTTCCATAATTAGAAACATCGCCCAAAGAAGCTCTTTCACCCTACCAGCTCTGCACCCGCCGTTCATTTCGTGCCAGTTCTGCTGACTTCTGCTGATACGGTTGTGACGGCTCTCCTCACTTCATCCTCCGTTGCCCATTTCACAATCAAAAACCCGCACAGGCCCAACCTCTGACTTCAAGTATTGGGTCCCTGAAAGAGTTCGCAAGGCGTTACGCCGTTACCTACTTTTAGTACTCGGCCGGCCTTCATCGTACTAAGGTGGCACCACCACGACCGGCACCAAATTCTCCAATCCCCCCAGCAAAAACCGGAGCTGCTGCTACTGCTGTCGCCGCCTTACTACCAGGCGTGCAATGCAACGCAATGCAATTACCTGCCTGATCACGTCGTCGCTCTACTCAACCACGTGCATTGAGGTGCTTTTCGAGGCGCCTCAAAAACCACATCGTCGCTCTGCTCCTCCTGCTACTTCAACCACCTGCTACCTGTCCACCCGAGCTTACCAGCAGGGTATTACTGGCCTGCTGCTTTGTCCCTACGAGGCCGAAGCCGGCATCTCTATTATCATGACTGGCGATAGCAGCAAAGTAATGGTTAACTGCGGCGCCGCTACCACCACCACCACCACCAGCGCCGGTGGAGCAACAACAGCGTCGGAGGACTCTCTTGCTGCTGCTCTTTTCGCAATGGACGACCTCCCTTCGCCGCTCGCGCTGCTCTCACCGCTCGCGCCGCTGCCGCTGCCGCCGCCGTCGTTTTCGCCCGCAACGTTCCCGCCGGCTTCGCAGCGTTGGATCCCGGAGCAGCGCCCCACAGGGCGACATGTCCGGTCATTCAGCTGCCCCGCGTGCACGAGAGAGAGCCGCCGCACGGCATCGAGTCATCTATCGAACTGCAGATACAGCCTCTGGCAGAACAGCGGCGTGAAGCTTTGGTTCTGCCGCTGATTGAACCCCTGATGACTTGTGTCGGTGGGCCGGAGGGAGGAGGACTCGAGTCCAGGGGGGTGCGTGTGGGGATGACTTGGAGTGGAGGAGACGCGGAGGAGTCGTTGGGAAACTTGATTAAGCCTGCAGTGGCTGATGGTCCTGCTGCTTCTGCTGCTGCTGGGACTGCTGGTGCTGGTGCTGCGGTGCAAGCAGCAAGCGAGGAGGTGCGGATTGAGCGCATGCTGGCTGGGCTCTCGCACCTCGCACGCTTCCTGCGACTGCAGCAGCAAGCACGAGAACCAGAAGCATGGCAGCCGGAAGCACAGCCGCAGGAATTTCAGCAGCAGGAGGCAGAGGCAGAGGCAGAGGCAGAGGCAGAGGCGGCGGCAGAGGCAGAGGCAGAGGCAGCGGCAGCGGCAGCGGAAGCGGTGCTGTCAACCCGAGTGATGGCGAGGTTGCAAATGGCGGGTGGGAGCGAGGGCGAGAGGCAGCAACTCATGGCTCTCCTGCAGGCGCTCAAGCAGGCGGAGGAGCAGCAGCTGTCGCAGCATTCCAGGTGGAAGCGGAAGCGGGAGAATATTCTGAAGCAGCAGGAGCAGAAGAGCCTGTGCAAGAGGCAAAATGGGCAGAGGGCAGTGAGTCCAGAGCAGCCAGCGTTCACCCAGGCACTGAAAGTGCAACAGCAGCTGCAGGAGCAGCATGAACAGCAGGAACAGCAGTTGCAGCAGCAGCAGCAGCAGCAGCAGCAGCTGCAGCGGCAGCAGGAGCAGGAAGGAGGGGAGGCGGAGCACTGGCTTTCAGCCTTCTCGGCTCTTCCAGAGGCCAGAGCATCAGCGAAGCAAGTGGAGACCGCCCTTGCTTCCACGTTTGCTCCCAGATACGGTCCAGATGGCACTTTGCGATTGGCTGGTGGTGGAGGCTGGTGGGGGCGCATGGGAAAACGTGCTGGGGAGAGGAGCAGCAGCCATGGTGGCAATGATGATGGTAGCGGTGGTGATAGCGGTGGCGGTAGTGGTGGCGGTAGCGGTGGCAGTGCCGTCAACCCCAGCAGTGTCATGAGTACCCCAACAGATGTCCTCAATAGCCATATAAGGGCAGGCACCAACGGCTTCATCAGCAGAAGCCTTTTCAGCAGCACTGGCACCGACTCAGCGAGCGACGCTGGAAAGGAGAGAAAAAGCCCAAGCCTAGGGGGTCCCTCTGGCCACGCTACAGTCGCTCACACACCGCAGCAGCAGCAGCAGCAGCAGCAGCAGCAGCAGCAGCAGCATGGCAGACAGATCCCCCGTGCGTGCTACAGCCGGAGCGTGCTCGGGCCAGCCAGTGCGTCGTTTGTTCAGCCAAACCCAGAGGAACCCCCTGCAGTGGGGGCGTCTATCCTTGGCGCTGCCATGATTGCAGACCCTCATATCCCGGTGCCAGATCTGAGGGGCAACCAGAGGGATATGCGTGTTCTGCAAGGCATTTGCACACGGGAACAAGGCGTGCCTTTAGAGTCGTCGCAAAATTCGCCTTTGGATGAGCGTGTGGGGAGGTATGAGAGCGAGAGCAACGGCCGCGCATGCCCCGCGCACGACGAGGGCGGCGCGTACGATGCTTTGGAATCGGATTATCCCAAGGGCGCCCACCGCGGCAACACGCAAGACGACTGCGGCACGGACGACGGGTGGTTGCCTCGGTGCCAAGGCATCCGGAGTGGTTCGGCGCCGAACCAGAGGATTAAGAGACGCAGCATGGCAGAGCGGCGAAGGAGGGAAAGGATTAGTGAGGGGCTGCAGAGGCTGAGGGCGAAGGTGAGAGGGCGCGGAGACACGTGCTCTATGCTGGATAGAGCCGTGGGTTATGTTGATGCTCTGGAAAGACGGGTGGTGGAGTTGGAGAAGGTGACCGGTATCATGACTGCTGCTGTTGGTTCTGGGAAGAACGTTTTCCTCGGTCCTGCGTTTGCCGGTGGTGCTTTCGCCGGAAAAGCTTTTACTAATGATGCCGTGGCGCTGAGGGCTCTACCGGCTGCGCTGGCATCGGCCCCTACTAGCCTTGGGAGTGAAGATGTTGTGTGCTGGCCTTGGGAGTGAGTGAGGCATGACTGGACAGTGGAGGATTGGCCTTGGTTGGGAGCTTTGGCCCGGTTCGACAGATGAAGCATATGAACCCAGCCCATGGTTTGTTCAGGTTCTTTGGATCTTTCATGCAACTGCTCTTGTGAGCTGGGACTACTCTACCAGATGTATATACGTATATGTTTGATTTCTATGCTGATACTCGCATACTGGTACCGTAAATATTACAGTAATTAAGATAGTCGCATTAGGCTGCTTGACTGGAGGCACTCTTTCTTTGGGCCACAACCAAATCATACAAGGAATCACATACAGGCCTTTCCCAGACATCTCCAGTGGTGATAGTGGTACTATTTTCGAGGTGCACAAAGAAATGCCAGATGCACATATACTCGAATCTTTCTACGAGGGCTTGTTTCTTAATTAACATAACATGACCACCTTGTATAATTAATGCTCCCTCTTCTTGTGCTGAAGCCGAATGTATGCTTCCCTTTGAACTCTCAAGGTTGTAACAAAATGCATCAGCTCAGCAGCCGCGGATGGATGGGGTTACGGGTACCGTACTGTAGTAGCAGACGGGTATTGCGCTGTTCCGTCAATGATACCCACCAGCAACCGTATCGGAGAAACAATTCCCTCCACTCGCCCTGTCACTCGGTATGGAAGTCACACGAGTGGCACAGAGCAAGCAGCAACTGCTTGCTCCAGTGTGACTCCTGGCCTCACGAGCCCCTGCTCACATGCACTCTCAAATATCTCCCGCTGCTGCTGCTGTGATAACCCATCAGTGCCAACCTGCCAGTCAAATGCAGGAAAACAGATAGGGTGGGTGGGGAAAAACGTTGAAGGAAAGGGGAGGGTGCGAGAGGGGAAAAGGGTGAGGGAAAGAGAAGGGGGAGAGTTTGCGGAACAGGGGTAATTGGGAGGTGGCTTGGAAGTTGGAACAGATGGGAGGAGAGGACAGAGGCAAGGGAGAGCGTGAGGGATCACGTAGGGCGCAGGAAATACTGTTGCATTGACCTCTGAGTTGAGTGGAACAGAGGTCGTGCACTAAGGCCGCTCTCTTAGGAGCCTCTGAACGCACATGAGCGTGTGGTGAAGGATATCGCTATGTGCGGTGCGGCTGAGAAGATGGAGGGGAGATGGGGAAGAGGGTAGTTGAGGAGAGGTGGGAAGATGCAGAGCAAGGAGAGGGTGATGGAGTGCTGTTGAGCTGCAACACCAACCATCCAAATGCATGCTTGCTGCTGCCTGGGGCGAGTGCACGCAAGAGCAGGGAGAGAGGAACGAAAAAGTATCTCCCAGGTACACACCACACCTCCTCATTGTAGGAAGACTTACCCATTGGGCTTCACACAAATGGGTAAGCCTCTCCCTGCCCACCTGCACTAGCCCCAGCAGTCACACAACAGCAGCCTCAGCAGCAGCTGCTGCAGCGTTAGCAGTTGCATTCAGCCAGTTGACAGCAGCACAGTGCTGCGCTGCGCTGCTGTCTCCTCTCGCTATTACCCAACTGCGACCACTGCTCGCACTCACCTCACCCCCGTGCAGCACAGCAGCAGGTGCAACTGTTCCTAATGCGCCTCACAACCAGCCTCAGAACCGGACACCTCACTCACCCCACTCACCCCACTCACCCCACCCACATCACACCCCACTCACCCCACTCACGTCGCCCCCATGCAGCAGAGCAGCAGCGAGCAGCAGCGCGGACGTGAGTCCATCAGGAGCGAACCCGCGGCGCCGGGCAGTGTTGACAGCGAGGTGCATGGCGCTGCTGTCCCCCGCCACTGCATACGCCGCCAGCACCACATTGTATATCGCCATGGCCGCCCGGGGCAGGGGCACCGCGGGGGAGGAGGAGGAAGAAGAGGGGGAGGAGGAAGGGGGTGATGGGTTGGGCGGCAGCAGGCCGGCGTATTCAAAGGCGAGCTCCACGTTGCCGCCTTCCACTGCTGCCAGCATGAACGCCCCATGGTCCGCTGCTGCTGCCCCGCTGGGCGAGGGGCAGGGTGCAAAGGGCGGGGGAAGAGGCCACGATGGGGGGGAGAGCAGGGGACGGCATTCGACAAATTGTGTGGGCGTGGGGTGGGGAAGAGGGGGGTTGGCCCGGGTTGGGATGGGGAGGAGGAGATCGGCGCACGGCGAGGGTTGGAAGGAAGTGGAGTGGTGTTGCTTCAGCCGAGGTGAGAGTGGCGTGCACTGCTTTGTTGTGGAGTGTGCAGGGGAAGAGAGTGCGAGAGAGAGGGAGAAAGAGAGTGCAGTTGTTTTTAAGCTGTAGATAAGAACGTCGAGATGACGCACCCCCCACCCACTCGCGCGCTCACCCACTCGCGCGCTCACCCACTCGCGCGCTCACCCACTCGCGCGCTCACCTGCTGCTGACGGGTTCCAGCAGCGCCACAGGATCAAACGCGAACGCGGCGCGTCCCTTCCTCATGGCTTCCCGCGCCGCGTGAAACGCCTCGTCCAGCCGCCCCTGCGCCACCAGCAGCCGGAACGCCGCTGCCGCCGCGCCCGCATCTTCCCGCTCCGCGGCGCCCTCGTTAGTATCTCTATCATGGTTCTCTACTTGTGAAGCACCTTCGCTACTATCCCACTTTTCGTCCCATATAAAGACGTCGCGGGCGCTTGCGCGCAGCCGCTGCAGCCAATCCCTGACGTCCACCTGTCGCTGCTTCGCGTCCGCGCGTCGCAGGCGGGGGAAGCGGTCCGGGCGGTTGTAGCGGTCGCCGTAGCGCACTACGTCCGACTCAAAGAAATCCCTCCCGCCGCCGGCGCCGTCGGCGGTGGACGGGGCGGCTGTAGCGCGCGCGGACGGCTTGGCGGATGCAGACGCGGAAACGACGCCGCTATGGGCGGGTGTGGTGAGGGGGAGCGGGGAATCTGTCGCAAGGCGCAGCGTATGGGACTGGGACGAGGAACGGTTGGACTTGCGGGCAGGGAAGGCGTGCGAGAGGGCGAGAGAGGACGGGGTGTGAGTGTGAAGCAACATCTTGAATGAATGTGGCGGGAATGGCGAGCGCGCTGAGCTCGTAAGGAGATACAACACAATACTGCTACGCGAAATCGACGGAGAAATGCGGGGAGATTTCTGAGGGGAGCTTGATATGAAGCGTGGGGAGCAGTGGTAACTGACGAATTCGCGATACTTTAGAGTGAACAAAAAAAATCCATGCACGTTACTGTATATGAACAGTGTAAGGAATTTTCTCGAATTCCTTATCGGGGTTGACTGCTGCGCGTACAACCCGATTTTCGGAGTTCGCACGTTCGGGCGATTTCCACGCTGCCGAAGCTCCTCGCGTCGCCTTCGGCATTTCCATCGCCAAACCTGCACCCAACCTCGCTCACCCGAGGTTTCCTCCTAGCTAGGCTAGCCCTACATTAGTCTGTGCATTCATTGTATTCTGAATTGATTCAGTCACAGTCTCGTTATTCGTTTACCTGCGTACTCTCTTTTACAACTCATAACACCTGGTATCAGAGCTACTTTCCTAGTTCACCCCGCTTTTCGAGGGTAGTTTTGGTGGCATAGGGTGTGGTTGGTTTAGTGACTACACGACGGTTGGCTGCAGAGGTTGTTAATTCAATCCTGCCCGACTCCGATAGTTCGTGTTTTCACTTGCCGGGTGGCCACGGGTACCCAACTGCCCACCAGACGTAGTGCTAGACACATGGATCAGGAGGCTGTTAACCGACTGATGGCGCAAGTGGCAGAAATGGCGAAGGGTATGGAATCGCTGCAAGCGGAAGTGACAACGCTGAAGGAGGAAAACGCCGAGCTACGCCGGACGCGAGGTGAAGCGCGTCAGACGTCGCCTGTGGACGAAGGCGAGGGCAACAGCCAAGTGATGGGCAATCCTCTGGACGAGCTCACACGTGACTTCGAAGAAGAAGATAGGCAGCGAGCGGCAGCAGCACCAGTTGCAGTCACGACGATCAAAATCAAGCCCGTCAACCCGCCCCCGTTCAATCCTACGGATAAAGCGGTTACGGTAAAAGGGTGGCTGTTCGGGGTTGAGGTTTTCTTCACTGCAGCCGGAGTTAATGACGATGCCACGCGCATTAATTACGCAGTCTCGCTTCTTCGAGGTGCAGCACTTGAATGGTGGCGCCGGACCTTGGAAACAGGGACGCCGACAGGTGTGACACATGCGGCAGACGGGACCTCTACAGTGGTTAATCAAGTTGCAGAACCAATCTTTGGTGTGACCAAGATACGTACATGGAAGGAGTGGAGCACAGCCTTACGGGATCGCTTCGAGCACGTATCCGCCTCGGAGCAAGCTCGCATGAAGCTGCGTGCATGGTCGCAGATGGGATCTGTCCAAGACTACACGGCGTCATTTATGGGCCTCGCCGACCAGGTCGATGACATGTCGGAAGCTGAGCGGTTGGATAAATACGTGAGCGGCCTTAAATACGAGATACAGTTTGAGGTTCGTCGCAGCCGCCCGACATCGTTTCTCAGCAGTACGCGTGGCAGAGTCTACTGATGCGCTGATGCAGTACGCGAGAACGGCTTCCAGGGATGGGAGAGGTTTTCGTGGCCAGACCCATCGGGCCACAATCAACGCCGTCCATACACCCGACCGCCCTCCTAAGGGTCAGTGTTTCCGGTGTGGGAAGGTGGGTCACTGGAAGAACGAATGCAAGGAGAAGATGCCGCTGACAGGGGACGACAGGAAGGAGCAGGGAAATGGGAAGAGTCAGTAAGTAACGGGCCCTTTACTGACTATGCTCCGTCGCCCGAACACCACCATCCCCACCGAGTCGTGGTTCCGATTCATGCAATCGATCGCACTCGGCCGAATAACGGGGATAATCATGTGGATCACCCTGTGCTGGTCGCTGGCAAGGTGGGGAAACATCATCTGAAAATGTTCGTCGATGGAGGGGCCAGCCATAGCCTCTTCAACTTGGCGAGCGCAAAAAAATGCAACATGCAACTTGACAGGTGTCTACCCGAAATCGACGCACGACTCGTGGATGGGACGCCTCTGGCGATAACGGAAGAAACACGGACGGTGCGGATCGAGTGCGGCGAAGATTTCGGCTTCAGCATGAAGTTTCTCGCGACGACGCTGGACGGCTGCGACGTGCTGCTGGGACGTGATTGGCTGCGACGACACAACCCCGTCATCGACTGGACAACGGGATCGTGCTGCGTCAGCAAGCACGAGGGGCTAATTAAGTTGCCTGCATGGACACCTGACTACATCCAAGCCCCGTGCGTCAAAGCCATCACCATCGCCCACCACTTCAACAGGGGTGCGCAGCTGTTCGCCGTCCGCTTGCGCGAGTTGGCAGTTGACACCGACGGAAAAGACATCGAGAAGCTGTGTGCAGCTGTACCTCCGGATTTAGCGGAGCTAATTCGACAGTACCCCGACATTTTCCCGGACGATTTGCCACCTGGACTGCCACCCGAGAGACCCGAAGACCACAAAATCCAGCTGGAACCTGGCGCGCAACCTACTGTTCGGACACAGTGGCGGTTGACCCAACCGGAACTCGAGGAGCTACGCCGACAAATTGTTGCACTGTTGGAGAAAGGCTTCATTCGGCCGAGCACCTCCCCGTTCGCGGCACCGATCCTGTTCACTCCAAAGAAGGACGGCGGGCTTCGCATGTGCATCGATTATCGCGCGTTGAACCGGGTGACCATCAAATCTCGCTACCCAATCCCACGCACCGACGACCTTCTCGATCAACTTCGCGGCGCTCGCTACTTCTCGAAAATCGACTTACGTGGCGGTTACCACCAGATTCGGGTCTTCGCCGACGACTGTCACAAGACCGTCTTTCGTACACGCTACGGGAGTTACGAATTTACAGTGATGCCTTTCGGCCTCACGAACGCGCCTTCGACATTCCAACTGACCATGAACAGGGTTTTTCGCGATCTTCTAGACCGATGTGTCATCGTCTATTTGGACGATATCCTGATTTTTAGCAAGACACGGGAGCAGCATCTCCGCGACCTGGACGCAGTATTTAAACGGTTGCAGGAGAACCGCCTCATCACCAAGGGCTCTAAGTGCGAGTTTTTTAAGCAGGAGTTGGAGTTTTTAGGGCACGTTATCTCCCGCGACGGCATCAAAATCGACCCGGCGAAGATTAAAACCATACAGGAGTGGAAGGCCCCGACTAATGTCACGGAGCTCCAGAGTTTTTTGGGGTTCGTGAATTACGTCCGGCGGTTTATCCCGAATATGGCGGGGATAACCGGCCCGCTGACCGACCTGCTGCACAAGGACAAGAATTTCGTGTGGGGGGAGGAAGCAGAGGTGGCTTTCCAGGAGCTCAAGAATTTTCTCGTTTCCCCTCCTGTGCTGCGCATCGCCGACCCATCGAAGCCGTTCGAAGTCGTAACCGACGCCTCTGATTTCGCCATCGGAGCAGTGCTTCTCCAGGATTTCGGGAACGGGCAAGCTGCAAGCTGCCGAACGCAACTACCCGATCCACGACAAGGAGATGCTCGCCATAATCCACGCGTTTAAACTGTGGCGATGCTACCTGGTGGGCGCCGACGTCACTGTGCGCACGGACCACAAGTCCCTACAGTACCTGCGAGCTCAACCGAACCTCAACCCGCGACAAATTCGGTGGCTGGATTACATGGAGAGCCACTTCACCTACCGCATCACGTACAAGAAAGGGGCGAATAACATCGCCGACGCCCTGACCAGACCGACCGTACAATCCGCTGCTGTACTGATCACCCATTCGAACCCGCTACTTACAGGACTATTCACCCACGGCTACACTACGGACCCGTTCTTCACGACAGGAAATCATCAGCAGGCCACGACGCAGAAGGGGGATTATTACCTAAAAGCCGGCACCGACAGGATTTGGGTCCCCGCTTACCGGCTGCTGCGTGAACTCCTCATCCAGGAGGTCCACGATTCGAACTACTCCGGACACTTCGGGGTTGATAAAACCCAGAAATTACTGCACCGTCAATATTACTGGCCCGATTCCTCTAACGACGTGCAGCGTTACGTGTCCTCATGCAGGGTGTGCCAAGCCATGAAATCGACACGTCAGCGACCAGCTGGGCTGCTGCAACCCCTCGAGCCACCCGAAAGACCGTGGCAACAGGTGACGATGGATTTCGTCACGGGGATGCCAGCTGGGCCGTCCGGCAACGACGCTGTTCTCGTCGTCGTCGATCGCTTCACGAAAATGGCGCACTTCGCACCATGCCGAACGACGATCACAGCCGAAGAAACTGCGCGCCTCTTCATCTCAACGGTCGTGCGACTACACGGCATCCCTTCGGCGATCATCACCGACCGGGACCCGAAATTCACATCCAAGTTTTGGAAGGAGACATGGGCGCAGTACGGCACGAAGCTACAGTTCTCATCGGCATACCACCCACAGACGGACGGACAAACAGAGCGCACCAACCAAACGATGGAGCAGCTGATACGGATGAACTGCCCCGACCCCGCACGATGGGAAGATTCCCTCGCAATGTTGGAATTCGCCTTCAACAACGCACCGTCGAGCACGACTAATCACTCCCCGTTTTTCCTAAATTACGGGATGGATCCGACGGTCCCCACGGCGACTTCGCTCGAAAACCCGGTCCCGAGGTCACAAGCTTTTGTGACGGAACTTCAGCATATACGCGAGAAAGCAGCAGACGCAATTCGCAAGGCGAATATTACTTCCCGCAAATACACCGACCTCCTACGCCGGGAACTCGTCTTGACTACTGGGCAATTAGTGCTCCTCGACACGAAGAACCTGCACCTGCCCGGTCCATCGAAACTACGGCCCCGATTTTGCGGACCGTTCAAGATTATCAAGATGGTGACACCTGTCACCGCGAAGCTGTTGCTACCAGACGACTGGCGCATTCACGACGCCTTCCACGTAAGCCTGCTTCGCAAGTTCGTGCCAGCCACGACCGACATTGCACGTCAGCAAGCTGCCCCGACAGCTCGACCTGTCCCAGAGCCGACACTCGACCCATTGAAAATTCTCGCCCATCGAGTTCGACTTGACGCAGCTGGCCGACACGTGGATTTCCTAATCCGCTGGACTGATCGCACCAGTGAAGACGACACGTGGGTGCCATCCGCCTCGCTCGACGCCTCGCCACTTGTTGGTGATTACTTGGCGCGCAAGCGTGTTTCGGATATTGACCGCCTTTCTTAAGGGGGGGGGTGGTGTAAGGAATTTTCTCGAATTCCTTATCGGGGTTGACTACTGCGCGTACAACCCGATTTTCGGAGTTCGCACGTTCGGGCGATTTCCACGCTGCCGAAGCTCCTCGCGTCGCCTTCGGCATTTCCATCGCCAAACCTGCACCCAACCTCGCTCACCCGAGGTTTCCTCCTAGCTAGGCTAGCCCTACATTAGTCTGTGCATTCATTGTATTCTGAATTGATTCAGTCACAGTCTCGTTATTCGTTTACCTGCGTACTCTCTTTTACAACTCATAACAAACAGCATGACATTGAATTCGTTACACGTGTGGAAACTTATCTGAAAACTACAGACTTACCCCATGAGTGCGAACCACGCTCCTCCCAACCCAATACAAGCTCCCCCGCGGCCAGGATCTGGACAGGAGCTGGACACACGCAGTCGTTAGTGATCATCCAACCCGAGCAGTCTCCGCCTCCCGTACTCTCCACTTCCCTGCTCGCCCGCACCGCTGTCTCGCGTTCCGCCGGTTTCCACTCGTTCCGCGTTACCCTCGCGCGCGTGCGTATTGCGCAACTGCTTCGTCCCTCCGCCAGCTCTCGCGCGGCGCAGCGGCGGCAGCGCGCATGGCGCACGTCACCTACCTGAGCGCGGAGGAGTTCGAGCGCCTAGCAGCCGACCGATCGAAGCGCGTCGCGGTTGTCGACGTGAGGTGAGGCGATCAGCGTGTCGGCTGCGCTCGCACCAGCAGTTTCTGTTTTCGACTTTTGGAAACGCCTCAAACCGTCTCTTATCCCGCAATTGTCGGCTGCGCTCGCACCGGGAGTTTCTGTTTCCTTTTCTCTACTCCCCCGTGCTACGCGTTTGGTTCCGTTGGCTCGCTCGCGATCTCGTTCGCTCGCGGAGTGGCTTGCGAAGGAGGCGACACTCGTTTGCGCGTTTCAGAACGCGTGTGAGTGGCACGTGATTGGAAGCGATAAGCAGAATAGCAACAACATTATGAAATGTTTTAGTACTCCGATTTGAGCCGAATTGAGCTGAGGGGACTCCATAGACGTCTGTTTCGGATGCTTGGCTATCTCTACGGTTGTCAAGACTGGTGGTGGCTCTTCATTCGTAAGGAGCAGGGTGCCTTGGGGTTATATTGTCAGCGGCGTGATTTTCAGCTTCTATAACGAGTTGAAGTGCCTGTTAACAGACGGGTTAAGATTGGTATAGCACCTCGCGCATTACTTCCGTCATTTCCCCGTCCCTTCACCCAACTGATCTGCACTCGCTTTTAACAGAAAAAAGGCTTTTCCTCCTTTCCCCCCCCCTTCGCCTCCCCTTGCTTCACCTCCCTTCCGTGCACATCCCGTTCATCTCAGGCCCACGAATGGCGCCGCATGCCTCTCACTCCCCCCATTTCTTCCCCCCTTTCTCTCTCCCCCTTTTCTTCCCTCCTTTCTCCCTCCCCCTTTTCTTCCCTCCTTTCTCCCTCCCCTTTTTCTTCCCTCTCCCCACTCCTTCACGGGAGTGCGAGCAGGGACGAGGAGAGGCAGATGGACGGGCACATTCACGGCAGCGTGCATGCGCCCAGCGAGACCTTCCGCGACCACCTGCCGCACCTCGCCACGCGCCTCGCCAACCACGATGCTGTCGTCTTCCACTGCGCCCTCTCCCAGGTGCGCCCCCTCCCAGGTGCGCCCTCTCCCAGGTTCGCCCTCTCCCAGGTGCGCCCTCTCCCAGGTGCGCCCTCTCCCAGGTGTGCCCTCTCCCAGGTGCGCCCTCTCCCAGGTGTGCCCTCTCCCAGGTGCGCCCTCTCCCAGGTGCGCCCTCTCCCAGGTGTGCCCTCTCCCAGGTGCGCCCTCTCCCAGGTGCGCCCTCTCCCAGGTGTGCCCTCTCCCAGGTGCGCCCTCTCCCAGGTGCGCCCTCTCCCAGGTGTGCCCTCTCCCAGGTGCGCCCTCTCCCAGGTGCGCCCTCTCCCAGGTGCGCCCTCTCCCAGGTGCGCCCTCTCCCAGGTGCGCTCCTCCCTCTCCTCCCCTGTCTCGCTCTCCCCTCTCTGCTCTCCCTCGTGTCCCGCTGCTCTCTCTCTCATCTCCCTCGTTGCTTCCGTCTGGCTCACCTCGCTCGCCTCTCTGAAGTCCCCATCGCTAATTCTTTCTCCCACATCGGCCACCACCACCCCCTCGGTGCATTCTCCCTTTCCTCAACCCCCCTCTCCCCAACCCCCGCGCCCCTCCCCATCTCATTTCCTTCCTTCACGCCATCACTGCTCCAGTGCCTTCATACCAATGTGCTCACTTGGTCGTTCCCATTCAATTGTCTTTCTCATTGTCACCTCTCTGCTTCCTCCTGCTTACAGCAGTTCAGCCACTCCTCTCTCCATACTGGTGCTTGTCACACAGGTGTTCCCTACCCATGTTCACACCTCTGTTGTCACATTTGCATGCACTTTTACGGCACTTAAGACCTTTTCTCTGATCCACAAGTTCCTTACCCACCCCTGTCTCCCCATGTGTTTCTTGTCTTGCCTGTCTCAGGTGCGTGGTCCCAAATGTGCCAACATCTATGTGAGTCATCACCAGGAGCAGCAGCAGCAGCAGCAGCAGCAGCAGGGAGGTAGCAGTTGCAGTGACAGTGGCACGGCACAGAAGAAGCAGCAGCAGCAGGGTGGCTGCTGCATGGGTGTGCGTGTAGGCTCAAAGCAGCAGGGGCAGGAGGAGGAGAGGGTGCAGCAGAAGCGGCGAGGTCCTAAGGTGCATGTGCTACGGTACGGTTTCAATGGGTGGATGAGCTCTGGAAGACCGTTCTGCACGTGCAGTGAGCCCATTTGTTGTGGAGCAAGGTGACTGACTGGTTATGATTCATAGCGTTGAACTTGGACAGTGGGAGTGGCCTTTTATTCAGGACCGAAACCTGGATCAGCTCAGCGCTGCCAAGAGTTCAATAAGCGATGCTATCTGAGCTGGAGATATTTTGTGGGGGAAAAGGTGTTGATGCTGTCAACATACACGTATGTGTACATTATAGACTGGGTTGGGTTGTACTGCAGAGGGTATGGGTTCCTACATATAAACCTATGTATGCCCACATCTAGTCGTTTCTCTCAGTTTTTGACATGGTATCAGCTTATGTTGGGTTCTCTCTCCTACCTCCCTGGCTGCCCTAGTGCTCTCACAGTCCCCCACTTCAGCGCCCTCCTGCGACCTACCATCACGCCCCGTGGCGGCCTTGCCGCGCCCTCGTCGCACACTGCGCACCCTAGTCGCGCCCTACGCACCAAGGTCATGCCCTGGCCGCCCCCCCCCCCCGGGCCCTAGTTGCATTTCAGTCATGCCCCACAGTTGTGCCGCACCGCACGCTGCTGTGCCCCACCGCTGTCGCACTAGCAACTGCCGTCGCCGCGTGTGCGCCTATCGCGCTCCCACTTGCCTCGTGCACCGCTGCGCGCCCTACCGCATGACCTACCACGCCCTGGTGCACCCTATTGTGTGCCCTACCTGTCAGAATGATATGTTTGTCTAGCCTGCAGTGGGATACTCTATAGTGAGTACAACCCAAACTAGGGTTTCCTATATGTATCCTACCTACTGCTAGTCAAACCCCTCTTTGCCTATTTCTCGTTTTCGCCTACTATCTTGATATGCTATCAGAGCAGGTCGACCCTCCTGGGTCGATCCTGTGGGTGGGCCCACCCGATGCTTCCGCTGCTGTTCTGCTTCTCGCGAGCCTCGGGCGCGTGACGTTTTCAGCCTGCCGCGTTTTTAGGGTTTCTACGATTTTCTGCTCGCCGCGCGCTCCGAAAGCTCGGCGGTTTTCTGCCCGCTGTGCGCCCCGAGGCGCGCGGCGGTTTCCCACCGTCGAAGCGCCCCCCGTCGCCCGTCGAAGCGCTCCCCCCCGTCGCCCGTCGAAGCGCCCCCGTCGCCCGTCGAAACGCCCCCGTCGCCCGTCGAAGCGCCCCTGGGCCCCGCGCGGGCCGCGCGCGGCCCGTACGACCTGCGCCAGGCCCGCGCGCGGCCCGTACAGCCCGCGCGCGGCCCGTACGGCCTGCGCCAGGCCCGCGCGTGGTTTCGTTCGACCTGCGCACGCCGTCCCCCGAGCTGCTGACCGCGCCCCACCCCTGCTGCTGCCCGCGCTCCTGTTTTAGGGTTTGGGGGTGGCGAGTATGGGGGTGATAGGTGTGTGCGCCGTCCCCTGCTCCTCCTCCTCCTCCTCCGGCTCCCACTGCTGCAGCTGCCGCTGAGGGGGGTGGGTGTGTTGGAGCCGTCGGAGTGGTACTATCTCAAACTTAGAACTCCTGTAACAGTTCTACATGGTACGATACAGTTGAGAGCTGTGTCGCCACGGTGAGAAGAGGTTTGAGTTCGATTTTTTTTTTTACAGTTTTCTGAAAATCACACACGCAGTTAGGACGTCAAATCTGTTTTTGAGGGTATGTAAGAATGCACCATAACATAGGTACACCCTTTTTATCGATATACTGGCGTCGGTTATAATGATATGCGGGAAAAAACAGCTAGGTCGAGAGCTTTTAGAAGCACGTCCTTGTTTAGTTGTTTAGGGATATAATGCTCAATTATACAAGCCTATTCTACATGTGTTTGTGTATTCTCAATTATACAAGCCTATTCTCAAATGTTTCTCATAGAAAAAACTAAATCAGCCTGCCAGATAGTGCGGGGCGCCGAATAGCTCCGCCAATTCAAAAAGACCCCATGCAGGGCTTGAAAAGTAGAAACGGGGCAAAATACACCCTATTCGCGATAATTGCACACCCCCTACCCTCTTTTTTTAAGGTCCCCTATACCGATTCAGGCTCGATTCGACGGACACCCTGAACCTCAGGGACTATCAGTCGACAGCGAGATGCAGTTTCGTTGAAACAACACCATGTGTTCCGAGTGAGGACGGGGTTGGGTCGACGCGACTGAAGTTATTAATGCTTACGTCTATTCGCGACTGGGTTTCGGAACACCCACCAGCTGTTCAATATTCGCAGCGAACTACCCTCTCAGAAAGTTTGTACCCCGGGAATGTACCAGCAGGTTATGAATTTAAAGGGTGTAAGATTATCGAGAATAGGGTGTATTGGATCTACAGTACAAGCCACCGCAGGAAAATCGTACATTTCAGTGAGAGCATCATTAGATCTGATCTCTACTTCCCACGCGTTCAATATCGTTCAGAAAGAGCAATGGTCGGACTGCTTCAACCGCTAGTCTGACGATCTGGAGTTCCTACTGGCCAACTTCGACAAATATAATTCTGGGTGACACCAATCACTGGCACAGTAACTATTTTCTGACGCGTGAATCGTAACAGTTAGTGTTGCATACGACAGCAACCGGAAATACAAGTACTTTATATTCAACCCTTTTTGGCTCATGTTAGACACATATTTCGTTTGACTCCATGCGGGACGACCGTTTGACATCAGGTTACGCCCCTTTTCGCTCCACACTGTTAGGACGCGTCACAAGTAAAATATCGAGGAAGGATCAGGGTTGTTCACCGAACCTGTCAAACCGATCGCCATATCGGTGTGTCACGACTGCTTTGAAGTTTCAAGTGACACGGTCGTAAAAACATGGGGCAAAATTGCCCGATGTGGACGAAATTGCACGATCGATGTGTGACAGGGGCACATCGATCGCCTGAAATAGAAGGGAAAATTGTACGTTAGCGAAATTTAACGAAAATGTGTAACCACCTAAACACCGATTCTAGGCAGGATCGATGTTCTACTTGTGACGCGTCCTTACTGGCCATATTGACGGTGTCACTGGCCATCACGACGGTCCGGATGTACTGACATCAATGCGTCATGTATGGTTCTGGAACATACTATATAAAGATATTTGCAGCATATAACCGTACAAATTGCAAATTTTATTCTAGTACCATTTGTTTTTTCGCCACCTATATGGGGTTCGGTTGCAATCACCAGGTTGCTAGGGTCCACCTACACATATGCACTGTAGCCAGTGCTTCTGTCGTTGGGACAATTGAGAAAGATGATGTGCGAAGATGGTAAATATACAGTTCGATTTACATTTCAGTCAACCTTCAATAGATTACAAATATATTTTACAATTAAGATATGTTTGACATTTGCTGGCAAACAAAATTTGGGAGGTACCTAATGAATATTTGTTTTCTATTTTAAGATAATAAAGTTCATTGTATTTTTGATAATGTATAGCAAATTTATCTCCTTGTATCGTATTAAGTCCCAGAAACTGGCTTCACGCTTTTGAAAGAGGAAAAGGGAAAGAGGGAGAAGGAAAAGGGAAAGAAAGACACCAGAAACAACTCAAACGCAACACCCATAAAAAGCCCCATAAAAATACTCCATAAAGAAAAAACCCAACCAGGATCCCCTACCAGACGTCCCATCTCGCACCCCATTCCCCCTCGCCCCCCCCCCCCCCCCCCCTCCCCCCCAAGTCACATCTGCACATCCACCATGTAGGGGGCCTCCACCCAAAGAGGCCCGCCCTCCACCTCGACATCGTCCCTCTCCCGATCCACCAAGTCCACATTCAACCCCCCCATGGAAGACGCCGCCCGAAGCAGGATGACACGAGCTTGCGCCCGTTGTAACGCCACTCCGATGAGCGCCTTCAGAGACCCCAAAAGGTAAGCCGAGAACGAAGTGTCATCCTCCCGACAAGCCCCCCGTGACACAGCTAGCCCCACGTGCGCGTCCCCCTGCTGTCGAAGCCACCGCCGGAAGCGACCGCCGAGACACCCCCACGTCTCCACTATCAAAGGGGTGAACTGCACGCCTCGGTTCCGTGCAAGAAGAGGCGCGTAATCCCCCGTTTTGCGACGCTCCCACTCCTTTGCCGCCACGCCTATAGACCGCCCGCACTGCCCTAGCAGAGATGGAGACAGTGATAGGAGCTGCATTGTTCACTTTAGTCTAGGAGATGAGGGAAGCTTTAGTGAGATTCTTGCTTGAAGGATGACATCAAGTTACTAAAAGAACTACACCGAAAACGAGATTTGTAAGTAAATGGCGCAAAGTTAGTGCAGAATGATACCTTGATCGCCGCCGAAGTATTTTGTTTGCTTGCTGGCTTTGAGTTCGTGGTCAATCTGTCGTTTCGATTTTGAAATCACGTGACGCGTCAACTAAGTTGACTGTAGACTCACTGTACCACCGACTTTCGGGAAGACTGTACGCAAAACAGTGGAGGTTGTGGAGCGGCTATTTTCATACGAATATTGTAAACTACCCTCCTCAGTGGAGGGGATTTAATAAACAGCTTATTCCCTTATAACCATATGTGATGAGAGATGAAAATTTGAGCATGTCCATTTCATATGTGAGTGTACAATGAATATTTTGACTGCGGTTGGTACGTTCCGTATGCTGGCTTCGAGAGGGCGGTCAATCTGTCGTTTCTATCATAGTTCACATGTCGCTTCAAACTGACTGTGGGAGGGAAATTGGGGGTATCGAATCGACACAAGCCTTCTTCACCCTGTGTCGTTCTACGGCTTGTCTCTTCCTCCCCCCTTTTCCACCCTCCTGAATCTGTCGTTTTCTTTTGGAGCATCTCGAAGGACGACCAAACGACACATCTGTCCCCTCCCCCCGCCAAGCAGCTCCGTTCTGAGCGCGGAGCATCATCCGCACCGCAGCTGTCTCCCCCGGAGTCCCACATCGCAATCGTCCGTGTGACTGTGTCCCTCCCACGTTCGCATCTCACCCGCTCAATCACCACCCAATCACCACTCGTTCATCCTCTACCCCCATGAACCAACCAATCAGGTTCCCAAAACCTCGCCTCTCCCCACGTGGACTCGACGTGTCCGTCCCTTCCGTCAATCGGTCTCCGCCGTGCCGAGCCTCTTGGAGCTTCCCCGCCATGCTCCAACCACCATGCCTCCGTCCCCCCGTTTCCCCAATCCTCATTTCCCTCACACGTGCCGCTGCTTGAGGCCCCCTTCCGTCGACAAGTGCCTCTTTCTCCAATCGTCCCCCTCCCTCAAACCCACCCGTTCCATCTCTCCAGCGTGCTCCTGCCTGAGGCCCCCCTTTGCCCATGCACATCAGACATCACAGCAGTAAGATAAGAGACCCTGTTTCTTCGTCCCATCCATTCTCTTCACGCGGTCTTGCTGCTTGAGGTCCTTTTCAACCTTGTCCTCAACCTCCATAACTCTGTGCCTCAGGTCGTCGTCCTTGATTGGTATCGCGAAATTCGCGTCCCGTTCTATAAGTTGGGAACCTCGCTTCAGCCTGGCAAACGTGACCCCCATACGCCCAACCTTTCCGCTCCTTCCTCAGACGTCAACGTTAACCCTAGACCTTGCTTCCAATACGTCTCCAGCTTGGATAATCAGTTCTTAAGTAAGATTTCTTTTCAACGGAAAATGTCGTATCCGGTAAATGCCGACGATTTGCGTGCGGCTCTAGAGGAGCTTCTCTCCACCCGGGCTCTGCTCGCTCGAACGAGCGGCTCTGCTGTGTGTTGCGAGGAAACCACCCAACAATCTGACGCCTTGAAACACGAAATCTGCTCGCGGCAAGGCCCAAGTGCGACATCGTTATCATCCCGCGTTGCTCGCTCTGGCGCGCAAAGACTCTTCGCGCCACGCAACTCGTACGCGTCGTGCCAATTCGCTGATGTCTCCATCGCGACGCCTGATTACTTCAGTACCGCCGAGACCGACATGCTCAACTCGACGACGACCTTTCTGAGACTCCTACCGTCGACTGCTATGTCTCTTGCCACTACGCATACGCGGATTCTGCGGCGGACGAGGAGGCGGAGAACGAGTTGCTGGATCTGGAAGAGTTCATGGCAGCCCAGCTGCGCGCCGACGGAGACGGCGAATGCGCGGACGGCGGCGAGTGCCACCTCGAATCGTGTAACTGCTCGCGCAGCCGCAGCAATCGGTTAAACGCCACCCGCAACTCGAGTGTTTCCGAGGCTGATCCATGCGTCGCCAGCGCTGCTGATGGCGAGGCAGATCGCGACGAAGATGAGTCGTCGCGGTCCGTCGAAGGCGACGACGAAGATCCTGCGGGTCATCAAAGAGGCGACCAGAGTACCAGGCGGGATTTTGTCCTGTCCGAATCGCGTCTAAGCTCGCTGTCGTGCAAAAGCTGGGATGACTTGGAGGAGACTTGCGCAGATCTGGACGCTCAGAACCTTCAGATCCTAGAGTTGGACCTTACACTAATGCTCAGACGCCCAGCTGATGCCGATGTCCGCTGCGACCTGTTGACTGTTGAGTACCTAGCTTCTCCCGCCGCTCCTGCCATGGCTACAGCTTTTTGAAGTCTCGGAGCGAGAATTAGAGAGCTGTTCAGCTTGCCTACTAGCCTTTCTACTGCTATGGTGGAAGCTCTTACGGTAATTATTAAATTATGAAGCAAGAACTACGCTTGTATGACCCCTGATTTTCCGTCTAAGCAGGCTTCACACATTAATATGACCCCTGATTTTCCGTCTAAGCAGGCTTCACACATTAACACCTGGCATTTTTTTTGGAAACATCTCCTGCCTGGCCAGTATAACTGTCTAGTAAAGAACATCCCAGCACAACAGCACTATTGTATGTACATTTGCAAGTGTGATGTCAGTGAAATTGAGCATCATTCTCTCAAATCTGCTGCAAGTCAGCTAGACTACACCTTCCAGCCTCTACAAGTCCAACCATAGAAACTAATGGAGTCATCAAGAACCCAAGCACTGCCGCCATCACAGCCTTGAAGATCTGCGGCCCTGGCCAGTCGGGTATGTCAACATTCCCATGCCAGAGAGCCAGTAGGGGAACCAGGCATAACGGCCAATAGGGAATGGCAAAAAGCGCAGAGCACATTGCTCCCCTGAGTACTGAATGTACGAAGCGGAGGAAGCGAGGTGGCTCTGGCTTTGGCTTGTATGCAACGAAGTCAAAGTCCCCCCGGCAAAAGATCCAGCGTATGACCGAGTCCAAGAAGAGGAAACATTTCCACGTGCCACCACTGTGGCTACTTGTAGGCTTTGCATGAATGTCAGTCGCCTTGCTGCTGTTGCCATCAGCATCTGCCGCAGCCGCAGCAGGTTCACCAGGAGGAGGGGTGGCTGCACCAGAAGCAGCACCGTCAGCATTGAAGTCTTGGAGTGGACGAGGTGCATGCTGATAAAAGATGGGCTGGATTCGTTCTGATTTCACATCCAGCCTGTGGGGAATGTACAGTGGAGAAAGGGAGAGGGAAAGGGGGTGAGGAGAGAGAGAGAGAGAGAGAGAGAGAGAGAGAGAGAGAGAGAGAGAGAGAGAGAGAGAGAGAGAGAGAGAGAGAGAGAGAGAGAGGGATGGAGATGGAGCGAAAGTGGAGCGAGGGAGAGAGAGAAAGAAAGAGAGAGACCGTTGTGATGGTTGGGAGGCTCTGATGTTTATGATCGATGGACTGATAACGAGCAGCAGTTCCTGACTGGCATGTGAATCATGTCTCAGTGCGACTAGACAGGCCACCGGATCTCAAATGGCCTTGAAATTGCATGCAACATCAACGGATGTGTCGCTTCGCGTCGTCGAATCGACAGGACATCCCTCGCTCGCCTTTAAAACCAACCTCTTTCTCCCACAGCACGCCCCTAATAAGGCGGCTTCTCTCCTCTCATCTCACCGTGTCAGCAGTCCAGCAATGACCCACGTCAGCGTGCCTTGAATCATGATCGTCACGATCGCGTCGCCGGCAAGGCTGTTCGGCAGCTCCCATACACGCACGGGATCCGGCGACCCCCGGTACATGGCCGTCGCAATGCCGAAATTCGCTCCAGCGTCTAGAATAGCGGATCCCACGCCTTGCACCACTAGAAGGTAGATTAGCTGCGAACGGGAAAGCTGGCTCCATGTGGACCGGGAGAAGTGGAGGATGGGAGGACGATCCGGCTCGGTCGAGCAAGAAGCGGGTTCGGGAGACATAGAGGCGGCCTGAGCTGGGATAATGTGTGTCCGGGGGGCGAGAGGTCGAGATTATGGATTGCGTATGTGCTCAGGTGAAATGATGAGATGTTGTGAGGAGAAACGAATGACGACCACACGCAGACCTAGTTTCATCAGCTGTTCCGCACACGGGCTCGAAAAATGGCAATTCCTGGGCTGGCAATAGCTGCGGCAAACTAGTCGTTGTAGCAAGTGTTCATGGGAATGGAAGATCTAGGGGGTTGCCTGAAAACGCCACACCGAAATTCCTTGCTCCCAGAACCAGACTGTTGATCAGGTTCGGTTGGTTCGGTGTTCTGCTGGCATGGATTATGAATATCATCTGGCGTGGCCTCGGTAATATCTGGGGGTGCACACTCCAACACTGGCTCTCTTCATCTGACACCCTCGTTTGTCTCACACTGTACGTATCCAAGATTAGCAGCCGAAACTCCTATAGTTTACCCAACCTGGGATGGAAACTCGAGTATTCTTTGAAGGGTGTAATTTGTAAACAGGGGGGATTTCTTCACTGACTTATGGTTTGATTGCATTGTTTATAGTTACACGCATAGCATGACATACACACACAACAAGGCAGCATGCTATGGCACAAAATAAAATGGATTGGGTAGCTTGAAGGTGCCATTTCCCGTCGCATCTCCTGTAATGTCACTCCACTGATCACCCACACTACCCACAATGTGCATTCCCATGGCCTCTATCTCCCTCCTGCATCGACTCTTGAACTGCACCGCTGTTTCCTGCACCACACTGCCATTCGCATCCAGAGGCCTGCAGTGGAGTGGCACGCGCAAGACAATAAGGGTCAGCATTGTTTGCCAGTGGACTGCACAACAGATAACACATGCATATATTGGTCACAACACTTACATACAATAAGAACCCCCACTACACCCCAAATCTCCTCTTCCCACACAGACTTAAGCCCTCACTTTCGTCCCTTCACACTCTTCCCCCCCCGCCCCCCCCCAAGACCCCTCACCTCATCATGAGCACCTTCCATTGTGTCACACCAACCCGCCTCAGGTTCTCCACTGTGGCAGCTCGCTGGGACTCCGGCCGCCCTGTCACCAGCGCCACACCCAACCCACCCGCACCCACCCCACCCTCCCTGCTATCCTCCTCCGCATAGCTCTCCTCGGCATATCTTTCCTTCCCCGGGCCGTTATTGTCATGAATGCTTGCAGTGGTCTGCAGGGCCCGGACGAGGGCAATGCCTGCAGGCAGTGGTGGTGCTGAAGAGGTGAACACCCAGTCAGCCCACTTGGAGGAATCGTACGGCTCTGACCTGATAGGCGCATAGGTGGCAAAGAGCGGGTGCTTGATTGAAACGCACATATCATTAGACAAAAAAACAGTTTCAGAAAAATGTTGTTGCAGAGAACAGTACGAATCATAGCAGTCAGCGACCTGTTTTGGCATTCTTGTGTGCAACGATTTCCACAACACGCCTGTATGCCCTGTCTAAGGCAGGACTGCATGCCTCAAGCTCAAGAAGCTCAAGATGCGTCTAACCACTAGTTCACGGCCACGGATGCCAAAGATAATGCGGGAAGATCCGTGGCTCATGACCCATAACTGGAAACCACCCATCAACCTGGGTGCTTGGCATGGCACATGCTGCAGCACCGTGCAGCTAAATGTCCTCATCGTACCTGATGGCACCTCATGGCACCTCATGCCATCGTATCGCAACTCACCCATATCCATGTGCCTCCAGGTAAGGCAGGTTGGAGAGCAGTGTCTCATCAATGTCAAACACCACCACCTCCTGCCGCTTCTGCTGCTGCCCCCTCCCCACCTCCTCGCGCCCCTCACCACCCCTCGTCTCCCCATTCCCGTTCCCACCTTCCTGTGCTTGCTGCCTGCTAGTTTCCCAGTTGAGTCTCCCACTAACCCCCCTGTAAGGCGGTTGCCCCTCACCCCACACCCAATCACCCTCCGAATCCCCTCTTCCAGCTGCACCCGCGCCTTTCCCCTCCCCACCCTTCCTCCCCAAAACACTCCCGACTTGTACTCCCACCGCCCCTTCTCCCCCACGTCCCCACCTTTCCCACGCGCCCACCTCATGGCTCAGCCCATCAACTAGTGGCACTTTAAAGAACGCCGCAGCAGCAGCGATGGCAGCAGAGTGATCAGCATAGTAGGCCCCCGAGGAGACGTAGCGAGCCACGTGGGGCACACAGCATGGGGGGAGATTCCATGACTTGAAGTTGTTCACTGCTGCGTTGAGCAGAAACGCATGGCACACAGGGCAAGAGGGCGAGGAAGAGGAGGCGGAGGAGGAGGAGGTGGTGGTGGTGGAGGGCGAAGGGAAGAAGGGCGTTGATGAAAGGATCTGTCGTGGGCAGGCATGCGGATAGGAGAAGAGAAGTAGAGAAAGGATGTAGAGAAGTAGCCGACAGGAGTAAACAGGGATACGATGGCGTTGGGATATGAAGTTAGATGTCAAACGGGAGGTGAGACGGTGTAGAGTAACATGCCAAACAGCACACTTTGACTAAACAAAGTATGCAGCTCTTTGGCTGACACCGCCACCCGACACACATTCCCTGTTCCGCACACCGCCACATCAACTCACCGTCACCACGCCTCCACCCCACCACGCCCAAACCACCATGCCTAAAACCATCAGGACTGAGTCCCACCTGCTGGATAAATGGCTGTTCGTAGCGAATCAACGGGTATGGCACCCCTGACAGCAGCAGCAGGACTCCAACGGACAGCACCACGAGCAGAACCAGCAGAACGAGCAGCAGTAGAGTCAGCAGCGGCAGGAGGGACAGGAGAGCATTAAACAGCCTTGCCAAGACATGCAAAACCGTTGGCAGCGTCGTCTGAGGCTCTGAATCCGACCCCTGTTTGCCGCTGCTGTCATGTTCAGTCGGCATTCCTGCTGGTGTGCCCTTGCTGTGGCCATGCTGCTGTAGATTTCTCTCACGCTGTTGCTCCCCTCCGTGTGACCTTTTCTCCGTCTCTTTATCGTGCTCCTTAAACACCCAGCCGTTGCCACCTGTTCTCATGAGAGCAAGAGGATACACCGGTAAATAGGGAACAGTTGTAACAAAGGTATGCAACAAAGGTTCGCTAGAAATTAGCGCCAGGCCTGCCGCTGGTTGAGGAATAAACGCTTATTAAGGACGCATATGAAAATGCTGAATGGGCGACACTAATCAGCCAGGTGCGATCGTCGCAGCTCCGATTCTAGCGCTGAATCTCTTGCCGCACGCATATGGCGAGCGACGAAGCGCTAGAGATATCAACCATAGCCGAAAGAAGCATGAAGAAGGTACAAAAATTGAAGAATCAATAACAGGCCTTGATCCGCACCTGAGAGTGGCTGTACAAGAAGAGGCAACGAGAGCGGTGGGGGAGCATCCATGGCGTGCGAAACATGAAGGTGGTAGCTGGCACGGGGCAAGCTGTTTTTCATGGTGCACGTTGTTTCTGCAGAAATCGTTTCGCTGGCTGAGAACGGGGATAAGGATATAAAGTAACGCGATATAGAGCGTAATTCACCAGTACTGGAAAACAACTGTACAAATGATACTGGTACGTACTACAGCATGGACCATGAGCATGGATGATGAAAAGACGGGAAGCAATTTCCAGTACATAAATAGTAGTTTCAAATATAGTTTATGAATCTATAGAGGAAATTCATCATGTGAAAATATTAGAAGGTCTGGGGATGCAATTAGCCTGAGAAAGGTAGATTTAGCGCGTTAAAAACCATTTCAAAAATCAACTTCATGTTGTAGAAAATGTTTGTCTGTACATACGTCTACAGTTCCCTGTGGTTGCCGTCTACAGTTCCCTGTGGTTCCCTGTGGTTTCGTGGGTCTCCCCATCCCATCGCTTGCGCAGTGCCAGTGCCCCCTCCACCTCACTCGCCCAGCCAATCAAATCGGTCTGACACTGACAACTAACGCAGGGACCGACATCCTCTTTCCAGTGACTCTCCCGCTTCAAATTTCAGCACAGCAGTGATTTGATAATTGATTATTCATTCATTCCGTTCTTGCTGCGTCGTGCGGTAGCATGTGCACGAGATCTAGGTTCCGCTAGCAACGGCCCCCACCGCCATTACATGTCGCTCTGGACTTTCATCCGACCCGTACTTTCCGCCGCGCGTGCTGATCGACCGCGGCAGGCTGATTGATAACGGCCGGCACGATGGCCGATAGGAAAGTTTCCGCCTTGTTACGCGCCCGACCCGCAGGGCCAGTTCTCCCCCTACCCGTCCTGCTCCTGCTCGGCGCAGCGGCGGCGGCGGCGGAATGGTATCTCGGCGGCCGGGTGCCGCTGACGTGGATCGTGGCGTTTTTGGCAATGACGATGATGTGGCAACACGTGAGTGGTAGAGAGCGAATAATAAAGATCCGAGCATAGCAGATGGTTAGCATTGGCTTCTTCCCGCCTGGTCGCATTCTCAGAAGAACGCCTAGACTGCGTATAAAGATCTTCCGCAATGCGCGCTGAAGACCCATTAGACCTGCGTCTGCGCAGCATTCGTGCTGCGCAACGTTGTTATACGCAGACGCATCTCTGCGCGACGCTCATTCTGCCTCTGCAGCAAGAATGACTGCCGACAACTGCGCTGGCCGCATATGTTTCCCAGCCGCTGCCTGTCAGCCGTTAGTCTGCCTAACGGCTGACCGTCCGGTTGAGAGTCACCTTTCCTGCTCGCCAGACGCACATTCAGGACGCCGCCTGCAAACGGCACGTCGCGTATATTTCAACCTTGTAGATCGCTTTTGCACGGAGCACCCATGCGAGCACGTAGCTTCAGCTGCTGTAGCGTGGATATGATTCAAAAAGAAGCGACACGCCCCAAAAATCTGCCATTCTTGAGTCCTTCCCGTGCTGCCAGCTGCCAGCTGTCGTGCCCGACACGTGGAGACTGACCTGTGGGTTGCAACAGTGCTCCAAGCACTACGGTCTCAAATGTGCACACCAGAGCCTCAACCGCCCCCCCCCCCCCCCCCCCCCCCCCCCCCGCGCGCGGCCGCCACGCGAACATTCAAGGGAAAAAAGAAAACAAAAAAACGTGAAAAAAAAATATAAAAAAAAGATCCCGCCACGGAAGAGCGCTGTGCAAGGCGAGCTGGTGATCCGCCTGTACTTGATGGCAGAGCTAACGGCGATGCCATGTATCGCTGACCACGATCCGCCTGTGGTTCTTGCTCGCAGTGCTGCGCGTCCGATTCGCGTGCCCTGCTGGATCGGATGCCACACTTTGTCTGGCCCTTCAAATTGCGAACCTATTCTGGCGTGTGGTTGCGTGCTTGTGAACGCACGCAGGCGTTTCCGATGTATGCTCCTGTTTCATCCCAACTCGCCGTTCCCTCTCCCTTTTCCCTCGCGCGATCTGTGGGCTGCGCGCGTGGCGTCCCGTGCGAGCGTGCATGTGTGCATGTGTGCATGTATGCATGTGTGCATGTATGCATGCGTGCATGCGTGCATGTGTGCGTGTGTGCATGCGTGCGCGGCGCAGAGCGTGCGAGGGGAGCAGCAGCAGCGCAGGCTGTACGAGGAGCGGCGAGAGGAGGAGGAGCGCAGGGAGATGTGGCAGCAGAAGCTTCTCAGGGACCTGGTACGCGCTACTCCATACGCCATACGCCCTCGCAGGGCGGTGCTGGATGGGTGGGTAGACCGTAGCCGCCACAGTGGGAGCAGATGAGAGGGGTAGGACGGAGAGGAAGCATCACTAACCCTTTCCGCTCGCCTCTACCCCGTCTCCGGTTCCCCAACACCCCCCTTCCCCCCCATCAAGTCCCTTCCACTCTACCTGAGGCACCTTCCGTTCCCTTTGCTATGCTATTTTACGTCCGCCACTCCTTTCTAACTATCGCTTCTTCTCACCACGTCCTTCCCTGCGTCTCCCCTCCCCACCTCTCCCCTCCCCGCCTCTCCGTTCCCCGTCTCCCCTCCCCACCTCTCCCCTCCCCGCCTCTCCGTTCCCCGTCTCCCCTCCCCGCCTCTCCCCTCACCCGCCCCCCTCTCTTCGCCCGCTCCTCCCGCCCTCCGCTCTTCCCCTCCCCCCCACCCCGTGTGAGGCGGGGCGGCAGGCGGTGTCAGCGCGGGAGCCAGCGGACTGGCTGAACAAGCTGCTCGTGCTGCCTCTCCCTCACCGCCTCTCCCCTCTCCGTCTCTCCTTTCACCCATTCCCCTCTCCTCGCACGTTCCCACCCCAACCACCCTCCGTCCCTCCCATCCCCCCTCCTCTGTGCGGCGTGGCGGCAGGCGGTGTCAGCGCGGGAGCCAGCGGACTGGCTGAACAAGCTGCTCGTGCTGCTCTGGCCCAACGTGCTGCACCCGCGCACGCTCGCCGCCACGCAGGCCGCCATGCAGGTGAGCTGGCACGCCATGCAGGTGAGCTGGCTCGCCATGCAGGTGAGCTGGCACGCCATGCAGGTGAGCTGGCACGCCATGCAGGTGAGCTGGCACGCCATGCAGGTGAGCTGGTACGCCAGAGCTGGCATGCTGCGCGATGCAAGCACTTCTTAATGAGGAGTGACTGCTGGCAGGCACACTTGGCAAATTAAGATGCTCATTGTCCCGACTCATCGTGGCAGTATACACTGCCCCATACGTGCACAGCACTCCCCCTCGTAGTAGTACATGTTCCGCCGCGTGCTGTCTTCACTTCACCCTCGTCCTCCCTCCTCTGCCCGTGTGTGCGTCGCCCCCACCAACAGAGCATCATGGACAGGGATGTGCCGCCACACGTGGTGAGTTGACGGGGATGTGGCGAGGTTAGGGTTGTGTGCTGAAGTATGGGTGTGTCTAGTGTGTGTGTAGTGTGCTGTGTGTGTAGTGTGCTGTGTGTGTAGTGTACCGTGTGTGTAGTGTGGTGTGTGTGTAGTGTAGTGTGTGTGTAGTGTGGTGTGTGTGTAGTGTACTGTGTGTGTGTGGTGTGTGCATACCTGCATCAAACCCCCTCCACCTTTGGTTTGCACCAGTCGTGTGGCGTTGTCACCCTCGTTTAACCAAACCCACGCCTTCCATCTCTTGCCCATCACTTCCCTGTTCCCCTTCCCTTCCCTGTTCCCTTTTCCTTCCCTGTTCCCCTTCCCTTCCCCGTTCTCCTCCCCCATCTCATCCCGTCCCGCCATGCAGCAATCCGTGGAGATTCTCGAGATGGATTTCGGCGATGCAGCGCCGCAAGTGGGTCCTCTCGGCCTGTTCTGGTCAACTCGCCAGCCACACAAGTCCCACTCAAACCGCCGCTGCTGCCGCCGGGCTGACAGCTGCCGGGCACGCGAGTGGTGGAGCAGCAGGGGGAGAGGGAGGGGCGGAGGGCGCAAAGGAGCAGCAGGAGGGTGAGCGTGAGCAGGAGCACGTGCAGGGGGAGGAAGGTGGGGAAGGAGAGGAGGAGGGGGAGGAGGAGCAGGGGCTGAATGTGGACGTGCGGTGGGGCAGCAGCGGGTTGTCTGTGGTGCTAGCGGTGCACTTCGCCTCGGACGCCCCTTTCCATTCCTCCTCCTCGCACTCCCTCCTGCCCGCCGCCTCCTCGTCGCTCTCTTCACCGCAGCACGGCACGCCGCACTCCCTCGCCTCCTCCTCGTCTGTGGCTCATGGCGGGTTCAAGATTCAGCTGGCTATCTCCAACGTCGCTGTTGCTGGCACGGTCAGTCACTCACTCTCCTTGTCTGCTTGCCTGTCCGACTGACTGTCAGTCAGTCAGTCAGTCAGTCAGTCAGTCAGTCAGTCAGTCAGTCAGTCAGTCAGTCAGTTAGTGTGCTCTCTGTACGTGGTTTGAAAGGCTCTGTAGTTTTCAATACGCACGATTCATTGATGCATCCTCTCATTTCCGCTTCCTTCACCACTCCCACTCCCTCGCGCCTTCTCTCCCACAATCCCCTTCCTACTCACCCCGTACGCCCCGTTATCGCCTCCCACACGGCAGGTGCGTGTGGTGCCGGTGTGCAGTGGCGGTGCGCTGCTGTGGTCGTTTGTGCGGCCGCCCGCCGTGTCCTTCTCCCTCGCCCTGCACCACCACACCAACGCCGACGCCGCCCTCTTCCTCATCGCTGGCTTCGACGAGTGGCTGGTGAGAGGAGGGGTTTGGGTGGGTGGTGAGGGGAGGGGTTTGGGTGGGGGTGGGTGGTGAGGGGAGGGATCGGTGGGGGTGGGTGGTGAGGGGAGGGATGGGGGTGGGTGGTGAGGGGAAGGATGGGATTGGGTGGCTTGTTTAGGCATGATTGGCTGTTGAACGATTGATTGATGCACAGTCCACCGCATCCCTTCCCCACTCCCCAAAGGCCACATCTGTTGTTCTGGTTCTTCTCCCCTCACATCCATCCTCCCACCATCCTTGTTTATTGATCACCAAACGCCCATGCTTATCATTCCTTGCTGGCCTATCACTATCACCATTCCCTATCCTTGGCCAGCCAGGCAGCCATCTCCCCCTCAGCGTCACCACACTCAACCCCTCCCATCCTCCCTCCCTCCCTCTCTCCCTCCCTCCCCTCCTCCCTCCCTCCCTCCTCCCTCCCTCCCTCCCTCCCTCCCTCCCTCCCTCCCTCCCTCCCTCCCTCCCTCCCTCCCTCCCTCCCTCCCTCCCTCCCTCCCTCCCTCCCTCCCTCCCTCCCTCCCTCCCTCCCTCCCTCCACCCACCCACTTCGCTCCATCTCCTCATCTTCACACACACCTCCTTCCGTCCCCGCCCCTCTCCCCCTCCCCGCATCTTCCCCCACTGCCCCCGATCACCTGCAGACGCGAGTGTTCTCGTCCTACATAGCAACCCATGCCGTTGACCCAGTCAAACAGCTGCTACCCCTCACCTTCCCTCCTCCCTCCCTCTCTCCCCCGCTCCGCCCCTCCTCCTCCCCGCTCCCCTCCCCCCCGTTGTGGGCGGCTACCTCTCGCTCTCCCTCCTCTCCGCGTCCAATCTCGTCCGTCCATCTGATTCTCCTCACAACGCCCCTCCTCCTGCTTCTGCTGCACTAGCGTCACTGGCAGAAGCAGGGGCGGGAGGTGCAGAGGCAGCAGGGGAGGAGGCGAAGGGGGCAGTGCTGGGTCCATGTGTGGTGGAAGTACAGTGTGGGGATATACGTAGAGCCTCCTTGCCCAGTGTCACCTCAGGCCGAAACCCTAAATGGTCCTCCTCACCTGCTGCTGCTGCTGCTGCTGCTGCTGGGGATGCAGGGGCAGCGGGTGCAGCAGGAGTGGGAGCGGTGGCAGGAGCGGTGGCAGGGGGCGAGGAGGGGCCGATGCTGCTGTGGGGCAATGGGCCGCGCTTCTCCCTCACTCTCACTGTCTGCGAGCTGTCTGGGAAAGTGGCGGCAGCAGCTGCTGCTGTCGCTGCTGACGGTGCAGCAGCAGTTGCAGCGGCAGGGGGAGGAGGAGGCGGAGGGGATGGTGTGGCCTCGTGTGTGGTGCTAGGGACAGCACAGCTGCACGTGAGTCATCTCGCTCGCGCTCTCGTCTCCCCTTAGCCTACCCTTCTACATGCTCACAGTTGTCCAAATGCTCGTACCTCTCTGTGCCTCTCTTTGCCTTCCTGTGCCCCTCTGTGCCCCTCTATGCTCCTCTGTGCCTCTCTTTGCCTTCCTGTGCCCCTCTGTGCCCCTCTGTGCTCCTCTGTGCCTCTCTGTCCCTTTCTCTGCTGCTCCAATCCCTTCCTTTCTCCCCCTCCAACTCTCTGCTGCATGACCTCCCTCCCTCCCTCCTTCCCTCCTGCCCTCCCTCCCGCCGGCCCTCCCTCCCTCCCTCCCTCCCTGGCGCCCGCCCGCCCGCCCGCCCGCCCGCCCGCCCGCCCGCCCCCCCTCCCTCTCTCTCCTCCTCTCCTCGCCCGTCCCTCACCCAGGTGGCGTACACGGGAGTGGACGGCAGCACAGGGGACGCCACCCCCTACGCCGTGCTGTGGGGCGTGGGTCCGCACCGCCTGCCAGTAGTGCGCCGCGTGCCGCTCTCGCCCGCCTCCTTGCGCCCCGTCACCATCTCCCTCGCCCTTGACTACCCCTCCACCTCAGGATCTGTAAGTCTCTTTCAGCCTTCCCTCCTCCTCTATAAATCCCCTCCTCCGTCTCTCCCCTTCTCCCTCTGTCCGTCTTCCCTCCCTGCACCCTGACACCATCTCCCTCGCCCTCGACTATCCCTCTACCTCCAAGTCTGTGAGAATTTTCCACCCTTCCCTCCTCCCCAATACTTTTATGGCGCCTCAAGAATATCTCCCTTGCCCTCGACTATCCCTCTACCTCCAGATCTGTGAGACTCCTCTAGCCTTTCCTCCTCCCATGCTACTGTACTCCTCCGTCCCTCCCACTGTCGCCCTCCCCCTCTTCCCTCCCTGCTCCCACCCTCCGTCCGTCCACCCTCCTGCCCTCTCTTCTGCTGTGCTTTCTTCTGCTCCTGTACCTCTCCGCTTTTCACATGTGCACACACATTAGGCTTTCGCTTGCCCATAAGCAGCCGCCTTCCTAATAGGGATTCTACCCAAGACTGGCTCTCAGCGATCGCATATCCTGTTAGCTGTTGTCCTCGGCCTGCTCTTTCCCCACCATCCTCCGTTTCCTGCTCCCCCCTTGCAAACCTGCTGCGCCTTGCTCTTAAGCCTTCCAACTCCTCTCATCCCAACCCATCCCTTTCCAACTCCTTGCCCCTTCCCTCCCTCCCCCCACCCCCCATCTCCCACCCCCCACTCTCCCAGATCCGCATTCGCCTCTCTCCACCCTCCTGGCTCTCCTCCCCGGCCCCCACACCCTCACTCCCCTTCACTCCGCCACCCCTCTTCCCTCCTCCGCACCTCATTCCTTCCCTCCTCGCCTCCTCCTCTCCCTCCTCCTCCTCGGTGCCCGCCCTCCCGCCCGCGCCTCCCGCGTTCACGGGGCGCAGCATCCGAGTGACGGTGGTGGAGGGCCGGCGCGTGTGGGAGAGCAGGGACGGGAGAGCAACGGGCGTGGGCATGGGGGGCAAGGGCGCGGGGGGAGGAGTGCCGGGGATAGTGGTGGAGGTGGAGTATGGCAAGGTATGGTGGGAGTGGGAGGGGGAGAGTTGGGGTGGGTTGGGTGGGATGGGGGCACAGGTGCTGAGAGAGGGGGAGAGTGAGGCATAATGGCAGGGAGGCGAGTGAGAAGGGAGAAAGAAGAGGGGATGAATGGGGAGGTTGACCAGAGCATGAGAAGTGCCCATGTATAACGCATCCCACCCCTCCCCACGCGTTACCGTCTTCCCTTTCTACCCACTCTCCTTCCCTCCTTCAACCTCCTTTCTCTTTCCATCTATCTTCTTTATCTGCTCCTTTTTTCATGAAACTCCAGCCCCAACTAACCCCACCCCCACCCCCATCCCTACCCCTACCCCCCTTCCCCTTCCCCTTCCCCTTCCCCTTCCCCTTCCCCTTCCCCTTCCCCTTCCCTTCCCCTTCCCCTTCCCCTTCCCCTTCCCCTTCCCCTTCCCCTTCCCCTTCCCCTTCCCCTTCCCCTTCCCCTTCCCCTTCCCCTTCCCCTTCCCCTTGAAATCCCCTTTCTCCACTCTCATCTCCTCCCTCCGTTCTCCCTTTCTCCGTTCTCGTACCACCAACCCCCTTGGCCCCTCCGCTCTTTCAGCAACGCGTGCGCACGAGGGCCATCCCGGACGCCAACCCCGTGTGGGGGGACGCGCTGCAGCTGCGCTTTGAGTCGACTTAATACTCAAAACTCTGAAACTCCTCCCCACCAACCCACCTTGCCCCCATCCCTCCGCTTCCCCAGCAACGCGTGCGCACGAGGGCCATCCCAGACGCCAACCCCGTGTGGGGCGACGCGCTGCAGCTGCGCGAGGTGGCGGGGGCGGCGCCCCTGCTGCACGTGCGCTGCCTGGCCTTCTCCTCACTCGCGCCCTGGTCGCCCATCGCCCTCGGCCACGCCTCTTTCTTCCTCCACGTCCGTCCGTCCGTCTCTGCACGCTCACACTGCTCCAGCTTGCTTCCACGCCTCTCGCCCTTTGCCGGCGTGCCTTGCTGGGTTGGGCTGGGTTGGGCTGGGTTGAGCTGGGTTGGACTGGGTTGGGTTGGGCTGGGCCTTGATGTGCGTGTGTCCCCCTGCACATGTGCTCTTCTGTGGCATACAAAAGTGTGATCTCGTACGATTGTGTGGCCCTGTGCCCTCTGGCTGATCTGTAACACTCAACCCTCCAATCTCTCCCGACCCTGCTCCTTGCCTTATCTCAATACTCCCATCCCTTCCATCCCTCACATCCCTCTCATCCCTCTCATCCCTCCCATCCCTCTCATCCCTCCTCTCCCTCCCATCCCTCTCATCCTTCCCATCCCTCCCATCCCTCCATCCCTCCATCCCTCCCCTCCCTATCCCTCCCATCCCTCCATCCCTCCCATCCCTCCCGTCCCTCCTGTCCTTTGCCTTCCCCAAATCCCCCTCCCCCCACCCCCAGCCGGCAGCACTGCAAGGCGATGCGGGGCTGTGGTTGCCCATGGGTGGGGTGGGAGGCTCAGGGGACGTGCACCTCATGCTGGTCCCTCTCTTCCCCCCATCCCTCCCGTCCATCACCTCTCCCCCCACCCCCAGCCGGCAGCGCTGCAGGGCGATGCGGGGCTGTGGCTGCCCATGGGTGGGGCGGGGGGCTCAGGCGACGTGCACCTCATGCTGGCGCTCGAGCCACCGCATGCACAGGGGCCAGGGGCAGGCGCAACAGCAGCAGTGGGAGGAGGGGGAGGGGGAGAAGGAGTGGCGGTGGATGGTGGCGCGGGCGTGGATGGTAGCGCTAGCACTGGCAAGCGACCAAGCAGTGTTCTTAAGGTCAGTCCCCTTGGAGGGTAGTTTACCAGCAGGCGAAGCCCTAAACGTCCCTTCGGGGCACAAAGCACACACACGCAACAGACCCTCATCTCGAAGCAGTCCTCTGTGCAGACCCGAGACTCTAAATTGCCAATTGGTGTTCACAGCCCTCTGTTCATGCCCCACGCGCCCAACCTAGTATGTATCCCTTTCTGTGTAAGGCCTGCACCGAGTCAGTCCGCTATATTTGGATCACTTATGCGGATTCTCTATACGCGTAATCCTTTCTGTGCTGAACTGCTGTGTGCTGAATTGGGCCTCGACAGGTCGTCAGCACCCTTTCGCCCCCAAGGGCCTCGCAGACTCATTGCACCGGCTGCAGGTGACAGTGCTGGGCGTGTGCGTGGAGTCTACTTTTCAGGCGCCTCAAAAGCGCCCTTCCTTACCCTCCCAATCGTTATCCTCTCCCCCATTCCCGCCAGGCCCTGTCACGCAAGGACCGTGCAGTGTCGTCGCGGCGGCTGCAGGCGGCGGTGGTGTGGTGGGCGTGCGTGGGGTCTATTTGTCAGGCGCCTCAAAAGCGCCCTTCCTTACCCTCCCAATAATAATCTCCCCCTCCCCCCCCTCCTCCCCACCATCAGGCCCTGTCACGCAAGGACCGTGCAGTGTCGTCGCGGCGGCTGCAGGTGACAGTGGTGGGCGTGCGTGGGCTGGCATCACACCCCGCTGTCGTGGCAGCCAAGGGAAAGGCACCCGACACGTACGCCACCGTGCGCTATGGCGCTACCAAGCGCCGCACCAAGGTGCGTGCAGGCAGTGAGGCAAACCTTGGCGCATCTTGTGCGTTCAATCTTTGAGGTGACCTGTGAGTGCACCCCACTGTCGTGCCGCCAAGGGAAAGGCACCAGACACGTACGCCACCGTGCGCTACGGCGCTACCAAGCGCCGGACCAAGGTGCGTGCAGAGTGCATGCCACATGAGGCGCGCCTTTGCGCACGCCACCGTGCGCTATGGCGCTACCAAGAGGTGCACCAAGGTGCGTGCCGTGCCGTGCAGAGCGTGTGTGAGGCGGCCTGTGAGTGAGTCCACTTGTAGGGCGTGTGGTTTTAGTCAACGTCGCTCGCACCAAGGTGCGTGCACGGCGTGAGGCGACGTGTCAGCGGCCTGTGAGTTGATTGATTGACTAAATTCACTTGTGACCCGAATCAGCACCCCACTGACAGAGGAACCAAGGGGAGCATGCATGCATGGAGTGAGGGGCGAGTGGGAAGCTGGTTAGCTCACTGGGCTGGTTGGAGGGCGGGGTGCAGAGCCGGAGTGGGTGGGACCGTTGCTCTTCACCCGTCCTTTGCTCGGGTGCCCAGCATTTGCCCCTCTTGTCAGAATAGGGATTGGATCGATTGATTAGAAACTAAGATACACGGACTTAAGTACCACAAGATAGGAGGGATTGGTTGGATGAGATGCAATCCCAAGGAAATCCTAAAGAGATCCAGCCAATCCATCCAACCAACCAAAGGAGGATAAATTTTTGGTTGGGGATGAGGTTAGATAGGTTGGGAATAAAGTCTACACCCAACCCAACCAGAAACTGAACTTGCTAACAACGTAAACCCAAACCTTTGAAGGCTAACATACAAAGTGCAGCCTATTTCCAACACCTCTCTCCTCCGCTGCATCTTCCTCTCTTTCTTCCCCTCTCCCTCTGCTTCCCTCCCACCAGGTGGTGCATCGCAGTCTAGCCCCGGAGTGGCAAGCGCTATTTGACCTGCCAGACACGGGAGAGGAGTTGGAGGTCACGGTTAAGGAGCCCCACGGCCTTGCCCTCGCCCTCTCCACCGCCCTCCCCCTGGGGTCCTGCCGCGTGGACTATAGCGGCCTGCGCCCAGGGTCCTCCCAGGAGTTGTGAGTTGCTTACACGTGTGTGGGTACTGCGGCGTGTGATGGTTTCTGCGTGTGTGCATGCACGTGTGTGTGGTTGCGCTGGTATGAAGAGACGCAGTCTGTGAAGGGAAGGATGAATGGAGGAGAGTGGAGTGATATGTTTGGATCAGTTGCTTGTTCCTTGCGTGTCCAGTTCTTGTTCATTGTTTGCTGCTCTCTGCTTTAGACGTAGCCTTTTATTTTCCTGTTTGAGATTCACTGTTTCCGAATCTCCGCTCCCGCACTTGCACCTCAAGCTTCTTTGACCTTGAGGGGAGACACTCTGTACTCTCCCTCACCCCCACGCACGCCTTCTTCCAACCAATTCCCTCCCTCCCCTCCCATGTCATGTCATCTCCATGCAGTTGGCTCCCTCTAGCCGGTGCTGACCACCCCGACTGTCTACTCGGTGTGACTGTTGCCATGCGCCATGCTGCACCTACTACCACACCTGCCACTGCTGCTGCCGCTACCACCGCCGCTGCCACTGCTGCTGCTGCTGCCGTTGTTGCGGGTGCTGCTGGGCCTTCTGCTGGGGCTTCATCTGTTGCTGCAGCGGAGGGGTTGGGAGGAGGAGTGGGGGCAGGGGGGGGGGGGTAGCGGCATCGGATGACCCGAGGGCACAACAAGTGGCAGCGGTGTGCGAGAGGGTGAGTGGTGGCTGTGGGCGAGGGTGACTGGGGTGTGTGGTGTGTGGTGTGGGGTGTGGGGTGTGGGGAGTGGGGTGCGGGGTGTGGGGTGTGGGGTGCGGGGTGTGGGTTGTGGTTTTTGTGGTGTGTGGTATGTATTGCCAGGATGTGCTGCAATCATAAAATGCCGCGGTGTGTTATGTCATGGTTGTCACTGTGCTTGTTCTGCCATGGTGTGACAGCCAGTGTCTCACTCCTTCGTTGCCCCCTTCCCCCCTTCCCTTCTCTCCCCTCCCCACGGCCAGCTTACCACTGCCATTGCGTCTCTCAAAGCCGCGACCGCTCAGCAGCCCTCAGAACCAGCTACAGCAGCAGCAGGCTCAGGAGCAGGTGCAGCAGAGGGAGCAGCGGCAGCAGTGGAAGCAGTGGAGGCAGCAGCGCAGCAGCAGCATGCGGCGCTGCAGCAGCTTCTAGCAGACAGAGACCTGCTGCTGAGCCGAGTGCAGGAGCTGGACCATGTGCTGGCTGCTGTGCTGGGGCCTGCTGCAGGCGCAGGGGGAGCGGCGGAAGGGGGTGCGGCGGAGTAGTGCGAGCGTGAGTGGACGCCTTGTGAGGCGAGTCAAGGGGAAGCAGTAGTGGTATGGTAGCAGTCTTGATTTTCAGTAGGTGAGTGGGGACAGAAGCTGCTGAGCCGAGTGCAGGAGCTGGACCATGTGCTGGCTGCCGTGCTGGGGCCTGCTGCAGGGGGGTGCAGCGGAGTAGTGTGAGCGTGAGTGGATGCCTCGTGAAGCGAGTGAATGAGTAACAGTCACAGTCACAATCGCAGTCGCAGTCACAATCGCAGTCGCAGTCGCAGTCACAATCGCAGTCGCAGTCGCAGTCACAATCGCAGTCGCAGTCGCAGTCCCAATCGCAGTCGCAGTCGCAGTCGCAGTCGCAGCCTTACTTTCAGTTGCCGGATGGACACACAAAGGTGCTGGCAGACCGAGACTTGCTGCTGAGTCATGTTCAGGAGCCGGACCATGTGCTGGGTGCTGTGTTGGGTCCCGCTGCTAGCGCAGGGGAGCAGCCAACAGGGCTGTGGCAGGGAAAGTGGGGAAGTAGTCTGTGGTAGGATATGGAGCGTGGTTCCGTTATTTGAGGTAAGGTGAGCCAAAGGTTGCAGTAGTATTAGCAGTGGCAGCGGCAGTAGCAGCAGGAGTAGCAGCATTGACTGTTGTACTCAGGAAGGTTTTTATATATTACTCTGGTTGGCCTCACATTGTGTACATTTAGATTTACAGATTTCGTAGGTAATTACGAATTTTACCAATGCTATCCAATTTTTTATGAAGAATTTAAGGGCATCGAAGAATGTACACGACATTCACCCGCGACTGTTCTACACATCCGTGCCCTGTGCCCAAAACCCTCCCGATTGGCAGCGCCCACGGTCGCACTGTCTAGATAAGTCTGGCTTGCCCAGATGTGGTGGAGGTGAAATCGGGGCAGGCCGACTTTCGATACTGTACACGAAATTGCCCAGCCCGTGCACGCGAGATTGCCTTGCACGTTCCAGAAACCTTGCACCCGTGGGTTTCTTGCCGCGAAGTTGCACCTACGTTACAAGCACGTCGACCAATAAGAGCCACAGAAACGGAAGTCTGACTGATGAGACTGCAGTCAAACAGTCAACGGTGAGTTACAAAATTTTTATATAAGCCCTTTTTGCCCGATGCGAATTGACGAAACCACCGCGAAATGCAGAATCACTTATACGCACATGGGGTAGGCCAAAGTTGGGGGGCTCAACCGGGCATCATGTGTATTCCTTGCACAGGCTGTCTGTCGAACCGTCCGTCCGTACCCCCCGAGCCGAGCCAAGCATACAGTACATACAGTTACGTGGTGGTTGATGTTGAGAGGTCTGGTTTTGAGGGTAGGAGAACACGCTTTGTAGAGCCTCCAGAATTACGCCAGTTACGACTGCGGATGTATGTTTAAAGTGTACTGAACTCACAAAACAAAATGCTTCCAAAACACCAGCCCATCAACCTCGACGGGGTGCGACATCACATCACCACGCTTAGCGGGGCCTTGTCTCTGGTATCGACGGGCCTGTTGCTGAGATGGGTTAATCACTTCAAAAAATTAATGCCAGGTGCAGCAAACACCTTTGGTCAGTTGCGCCCACCCATTCGTCTCCCAACACACGTGGCACGGTCGTGTAGCTGTTTCGGTGTGAACTGAAGCACATATGTGTAGTCACCCTGCCCTTGATGTAAAGTGCCGAACACAACAGCAAATGCATCACCACATTTCAGAAGCTGTTTGTGGGCTGTGGGATGGAAAGCAAGGTTTTCCGCGCTGCAGCAGCATTAAAGCCGTGGCCCAACTTTCAACTTCAACTTCAAGGTATTATAGCTTGGAAGAGGTGACCCAGGCAGTTTGGAGCCGAGAAGTTTGTCCTCTTCTGGTTTTCGACCAATAGAATTCAAGTTACACACAAGCCACTTCTGTCCGCCTACTGTTCCTAAGAAGTTGCACCCGCCTTTAAGTTTTTTCGCCTTTGCGGTTCGGAACGACGCACCCAAAATCGCACACATTTACTGATCACCAATTAGGTTGGGTTGGGACACCTTTACGGTCCGCCACCCGTCAAGAAAACATAGCCACCTTTGCTTCTGGTCCAGACCACCAAACTCGGACATGACGCACCACCAAGGTTGATTGTCGTTGGCATTCTTGTTGCTCCGTTTCTATTTCTGGTTTTGTTCAGCTGTCCTAGCAGAGGCGACCCCCTAATAATTCACCAAATCGTTCTACATCCTCAGATTGTTGATGGGTTGTAATTAATTGCCAGCAACAGCGCCAACAGCGGTACTACCCATGACTGCCCCGTTGTCCGCCGCGCAGTGGCAGGCACGCGTTACTTTTCACGCCCCCACGTTCGTAATCGGCGTTGTAACAGGTGTCGTCCTCCTATTCGTCCACCAGCACATCACCTCCACCGTAAATGGCGGCATTGGCGGCACGCCGCCCGCTGCATTCTTCCGCAATTACTACAACGACAGTAACGGAGACAATTCCGCGCATGCGGCGGAGGACGCGGCGGCGGAAAAAGGCAGTCAGGACGCGGCTCGTGGGGGGTGGAATGGCGGGGGCGACGTGTTGCCAGGGCTGATGGCGGCGCGTCACGTGGGGTACAACACGAGCGCGGGAGTGGCGGAGGGCAAGCTTAACGTGCACATCGTGGCGCACTCGCACGACGATATGGGGTGGCTCTCGACCGTCGATCAGTACTATGTACGCGCCGCGCCGCCGCCGGGAATTGCGGGCGGTACCGCATTCAGTAGCCTGAGCTCCACGAATCGCGGTTTTTAAATGGCTAATTTATTTCTGCGAGACAGCAAGCTTTCAGACCAGACATAGTTTATTCGCTCGTTATACGTGATGATTATCGAGGCAGTCACAGTGTCAGCATTTCTCCACCAGGTTACCACGTGACGCCCCGCTCCGCGCTGGCGCCGCCGATTCGGCGGTTGTGCGGACTCCGTCCATCAAGTCAATTTCGCGGCTTGCCGAACGTCCCGCTGAACCGAACGAACGCGGACGATGCTCGCAGCGGCGTTCCGCGAAAAGCGACGCTTTTCCGTGACCTTGCCGCGATGGCAGTTGCGGAGCTCCGCGATGGCAGCAGTTGTGCTCCGCGAGCGAACGTGTGAGCGGACGACGCGGCATGCGACTCGACGCAACGCGTTCCATTTGTCGCATTAGTTGGGGCACTGCTAGCCTACGGTAATTTTACTACTCCTACTATCGCGGCGCTGCGCCTGCCGCTCTTCGCTCACCCTCTCCCTGCACTCACCCTCTCCCCTCTGTCAGCTGCGCAGGTGTCGTACCCGGGAGGCGCGATGCAATGCCTGAGATTAACGTGATGGCGATTTCGAACCAGCACATTCACCGCCGCCCTTTCGCGCCCCCTCCCACTCCTTTCCCCCTCTTCCTCTTCCTCTCCCCTCCCTTCCCCCCCTCCTTTTCGTCGTTTCTTCCTCGCCCCTTCCCGCTTCCCCCCCCCGCGGGTTGCGCCTTCCCCCCTGCGCGCGGGCGCGGGGCCGGGCGCGGGGCGCAACAGGCGGAGAAGGTGGCGAGCATAATAGACTCGGTGGTGGCGAACTTGGAGGCGAACCCAGACCGCAAGTTCGTGCAGGTGGAACAGGTGCGCTCACTCCCACACTCCCGCCTTTTGAGGCGCCTCAAAGCCGTCTCATGTCTCGCGGTTATTGAGGCGCCTAAAATGTGGTGGTGAATCCAAACCGCAAGTTCGGAACAGGTGCGCTCACTCCCACACGTCCACCTTCCTGCCTGCCTGCCTTCCTGTGGCTGCTTCTGCTGCTGCTGCTGCTTCGGTTGCTGCTTTGGTTCTTAGCCTTCGAGGATTATAACGAAGGGCTCACTCACACACACGCACGCACGCACGCACACACACACACAAAACTGACAGGCACGCACACACTAACTGATGGGCACGAGTCGCACACCCTCAGAGAGCAGTCAGCCACCCACATGGCTACCCTACCTCACTTGTTCTTCCCTACGCAAAATTGACGCATGAGCACAGAGCAGAGAAAGCACGTGTGCGTCTGTGCGCGTGTGTGTGGGAGTGTGTCTGTGCGCGCGCAAGCGCGCGTGCGTGTGTGCGTTTGCGCGCGCGTGCGCGTGCGTGTGCGTGCGTGCGAGTGTGTGGTGCATGGCTGCCCCACAGGGTTTCTTCTACCGCTGGTGGCAGCAGCAGTCGGACTACATGCGTGCACGAGTCAAGACCCTCGTTGCCAACAACCAGCTCCTCTTCACGTCCGTCTCTCTGCCCTGCCCTGCTCTCCCCCCTTCGTTTCTTCCCCTCAACCCAACCCAATCCCTCTGCCGCTCCCGGCTCTCTCCGTGATCGCACGCTTTTATGCACCAATGCTCTCTGTTCCAACCCTCCCCTTCTCCATCCACCCCCCTCCGTCAACACCCACTCACACACATGCCATCCCTCCTTTTCTCCCTCTATTCTTGCTCCTCTCCTCCCCTTCCCCTCCCTCCGGCCCCCTTGCACGCCCACCATCACCATACCTACCTGCTGCGCCCACTACCATGTGTCCTCACCACACCTCCCTATCCATCTTCTCCCCAAATGCCCCGATCCCCCCTATGCTGGTGGGTGGCTTGGCATGGCAGCAACGGCGGGTGGGTGATGCATGACGAGGCGTGTGTGCATTACACGGACATGCTGCACCAGATGACGCTGGGCCACCGCTTCCTCAAGCGCGAGTTCAACGCCGTGCCAACCGTCACCTGGCAGGTCGACCCCTTCGGCCACTCTGCCACGCACGGCTACCTGCTCACTGCACAGGTATATGGGAATCCTTCGACAGTCACTTTTGGGAATTCTCGGACATCACCTGACAGGTCGACCCCTTCGGCCACTCCGCCACGCATGGCTACCTGCTCACTGCACAGGTATATGGGAATCCTACGACAGTCACTTTTGGGAATTCTCGGACATCAACTGGCAGGTCGACCCCTTCAACCAATCCGCCACGCATGGCTACCTGCTCACTGCACAGGTATATGGGAATCCTACGACAGTCACTTTTGGGAATTCTCGGACATCAACTGGCAGGTCGACCCCTTCGGCCACTCCGCCACGCATGGCTACCTGCTCACTGCACAGGTATATGGGAATCCTTCGACAGTCACTTTTGGGAATTCTCGGACATCACCTGACAGGTCGACCCCTTCGGCCACTCCGCCACGCATGGCTATCTGCTCACTGCACAGGTATATGGGAATCCTTCGACAGTCACTTTTGGGAATTCTCGGACATCAACTGGCAGGTCGACCCCTTCGGCCACTCCGCCACGCATGGCTACCTGCTCACTGCACAGGTATATGGGAATCCTTCGACAGTCACTTTTGGGAATTCTCGGACATCAACTGGCAGGTCGACCCCTTCGGCCACTCCGCCACGCATGGCCACCTGCTCACTGCTCAGGTGTGTTGCTTCCCCCACACCCGCTCAGGTGCGGTTCTCCTCCCCTCCAGTCCGCTCAGGCGTTCTGGACTGTCCGCCAGCAGGGTCACACTAAGCCCACAGCTGTCTCGTCTCCCCCCCACGCTTCTCCCCCTCCCCCCTTCTCCCCCACCACCCCATGCCCCCTTTTCACTCCTCGCCTCTTCTGCCCCATGCCATCTGCCTCCTTGGATCCTCAAACACGACTGGCTTCTACGCCTGTCTCTCTGCACCTCGTTCCCCCGCAACTCACCTGAACTGAAACCGTCCGAGCACGTGGACCTGTGGCAGGCGGGCATGGACGCGGTGTTTGTGGGGCGAGTGGACATCAAGGCGCACTTTTAAGTCGACTCCCTTCTCCCTGCCTCTTTCCACCTACTCTCCCTCCCCCCCCACCTCTCCCCCTCCCCCCCCCCCCCCCCTTCCCCCCCCCACCCGGTGTGGCAGGCGGGCATGGACGCGGTGTTTGTGGGGCGAGTGGACATCAAGGAGGGGCGGCGCCGCAAGGACCAGCGCACCTCCGAGTTCCTCTGGCACGCCTCCGAGACCTTCGGCCGCGATGCTCAGGTAGGGTGGGGTGGGGTGGGGTGGGGTGGGGTGGGGTGGGGTGGGGAAGCGCACATGGGGAGTGGGCTGTGCGGGGGGCGGGGAGAGGAGTGGGGCGAGTGAAAGGCTCGGGGGGACTTGTGCGAGCGGGTTGGAAGAGAGGGGCCCGTGTGCCATAGGAACGCGATAGGGGTGAGGGAGATTGGGAGGAGGAAAGTACACGCTTGATGCCTAATAAGGTGTGTAACTAGCTGCTGCTGCTGCTGCTGGTTGCGAGCTGCGCTAAGCGCTCTTTTTTTTCTTTCACCTCCAGCAATCCCTTTCCCTGTACCCTGCTCACGTCGAACACGCATGGGTGCACGGCACAGGCAGGTGTTCACGGGTATTCTGCATCGCTACATCTACTATCCCCCAGAGCTCTTCGTAGTCGACTCAAAACTCACCTCGCAATCCCTTCCCCACTACCTTCCTCTTCCCCCACGCGTGTGTGCACTCGCATGGCATGGCATGGCGTGGCATGGCAGGTGTTCACGGGCATTCTAGACCGCTACACCTACTATCCTCCAGAGCTCTTCAAGTGGGAGCCGGGAGATGACCATACACTTGGAGTCAAGGTGGGTCGACGCGAGTCAAGGTGGGTCAACGCAAGTCAAGGTGAGTCAATGTGTGTGTCAATTCGAGTCAAGGTGGGTCAACGCAAGTTAAGGTGTGTGTCAATGCGAGTCAAGGTGGGTCAACGCAAGTTAAGGTGTGTGTCAATGCGAGTCAAGGTGGGTCATCGTGAGTGAAAGTGATCAACGTGAGTTAAGGTCAGTCACGTTTGTTTGCGTTGAGGCTCAGTGTGCGTGCAATGGCCTGCCCTGCTGCCTGCGACTTATCTTATCCGCAACCTTCCATCTATGTTGCAAAATACGCGTATGGCGTACGGAACGCGTACGAACTATACGGTATCGTACATACGCGATACGCAAATTTCCAGCGTACAAAAAACCTCGAAATACGGTGCGTCGGGCAGGTCAAAAAATTTTTAGGGCAGGTGAAAAACATTTCAGTTGAGGTAGAATGCTTATAGGGAAAGAACTTCAGCAATACTTGATGCGGATAACTCCCGTGGGGTTTACGCCAGTACGAAATTGTTGGCTAGAATCGTCCTAATATTGCGGTTGCTAAGATCTGCAAGTGACGCGACGCCGCTGCTAGCAATAGCAGTAAACTTGGCGTGAGACAAATGAGACTCGCTGTTGTACTCACGCCGACGTGCGAGCAGCTCGTAAGGGAAGGTTGGATTTGGGAGGTGGTGTGAGGTGATGTGCGGTGGAGGGGAGGGGAGGGGGGCATTCGAGTTTCGAATCTCAAAATTACGACGTGTTGCGACCCACCCGGGTCGGGTCGGGTCGGGTCGACCCGGTCGACCATGGTCGACCCGACCCGACCCAACCCCAAGGCGACTCGAGAAATCAAAGAATTTCCCGTTGCCTTCTCTGCAAATTCGAAGTAAAGAGAAAGCAAGTGCTCCGCAGGTGGAAGGTGGGCGAGGCAATGTTTGGCGATATTACCGGGTATCTTTTGGTTAAACGAGATACAAGCGACATCCGCGCGAGAACCACAGATTTCGCAGGCTCCGGTAACCTGCTCCAGCTCGGCTGGGTTGGGTTTGGTCGGCCTGGTCGACCCGACCTGGTCGACCCGGGTTGACCCGGGTCGACCCGACCCGGGTTGGGTTGGGTCGGGTCGACCTGGTCGGGTAGGTCGGCAGTGCGGGCTTCCTAGAAATTCGGGATCGGGGGGTGGTCGACCCGACCCGGGTGGGTCGCAACACGTCGTTAGGTTTCACAGAATTTCAGATCGCGAAATCAGCGGCAACAGATTTTTTCTCTTTTTTTTTCGGGCTGCCCGACGAAACGTATCGCGGATTACGGAACGTATCACGTTTTTCCGTATATACGTTCTCGTATAAACGTGATACGCGTAGAAGCCCGAGCGTTTTTACCAACATAGCCTTCCATTCCACACCTGCTCTTCACCTGCTCTTGTCCTTCCTCCTATGCCTCCTCTCCTCAATCTTCTCCCTGCGGAGCGCCTTCACAAGGCATGTGCAGCATTTGAGTTTTAATCCCTCACAATGGCATGTGTGTTTTTTCTGCATGCCACACGTGCTTGTGTGGCATGCACGCATGTGGAGCGTTCATGCCGTGTCTATTTGCTCCATGCCATGGGCGTGTGGCTTGCGTTATGTGTGCGTTGCATTGCATGCCATGTGTGCGTGTGTGTGTGTGTGTGTGTGTGTGTGTGTGTGTGTGCACGCGCGCTTGACTGTATGTGTTTGTGTCCACGCGTGTGTGAATGTTGCATGCATGGGTGTGCATGCATGGGTGTGCATGCATGGGTGTGCATGCATGGGTGTACATGCATGGGTGTGCATGTGGCATGCATGGCAGGATAACATCTGGTCCTCAGAGACAAATGTGAAGCAGCGAGTCAGCGCCTTTGTCAACGTGGCCCTCCAGCAGGTGCGGTGAAGCTGGGGGGGGGTGGTGTGTGAATGAGGGCTTTGTGTGAATGGGGATGTGCGGTGAGAATTAATTTGGGGGGGCTGGGTTCGCTGGGTGGCTGGCTGGAGGGTGGGGTTGGATGTTTATCCATGGCGGAGACTGAGTGGTCATGACATTGGCCGGATTGGTGGGCAGTGTGGCAATTGTGCGATGGCTGATGGTTTTTGGTTGGGTGGGTGGTTGGTTGGTTGGGTGGGTGAGTAGTGCTGACCAGTGTACCATGTTGCCGTCTTGGCTGCCTCTTTGACTGCCTCTTTGACTGCCTCTTTGACTGCCTTTACCCATTTCACTCAGCTGCATTGCACGTGTGCGTCTCTGCGTGTGTGTGCGCGCGTGGTTATTTCGGGGCGTGAGGGGGCATCTGTGTTTCTGTGCGGGCGTATGTGTGCGTGATTATGTGCATGAGTGTCTGTGTGCGGGAGCATGTGTGCATGCATGCGTACGTCTCTGCCTGTGCATGGGCGTGAGCACATGGCGTCACATGGCGTCACATGGCGTCACATGGCGTCACATGGCGTCACATGGCGTCACATGGCGTCACATGGCATGGCATGGCATGCAGGCGGCCAGTTACCGCACGAATCACATCATGTGGACCATGGGGGAGGACTTCTCACACGCGGATGCACTGCCGTGGTTCTCCAACCTCGACAAGCTCATTCACTACGTCAACCTCGTGCGCCTCTCACAAACCCTCTCCCACTCCCACACCCTATCCCACTCCCACACCCCACACCCTCTCCCCCGCCACACCTTCCCACGCCAAACCCTCCCCCACGCCCTCGTCTCGTCCTACAAGAAACAGCTCACATGCATCCACTGGCGCATCTACGACCTACCTCCCATCCTACCTCCCATCCTATGGTTAATCAATCTCACATCTGTACTTGTACTTTTTAGTTTAGTGTTGTTGCTCTTTGTGTTTGGTTGTGTTTGCTCTTTGTGTTCAATTCTAAGCTCAAACTCTGACACCTACCTCCCATCCTGCGTCCCCATCCGCCCTTTCCGGCCCTTCCCCTTCCCCTCCCCCCCCACTTCCATGGCTTTTCACTCATCCGCCACCTTTCCCCGTGATAGTTTTCCTTTCCACTCCTGTGGCCCCGTTCCCTGTGATGGTTCACCCGCTGGCCCTCCGCTCCCTCCTAGCTTTTCCTTTGCCTCCCTCCCCCTTGCCTTTCTTTCACCCATGCTGCCTCCCTCGGTGTTCTTGCTTGCGTGCCTGCGTGCTGTATGCGTGTGTGCATGTATGCCTGGTGCGCGTGTGTGTATGCATGTGTATGTGAGTATGCGCGCGCGTGCGCATGGGTGCATGTGTGCATGGGTGAGTGAGAGCATGTCCGCGTGGGTGCATGTGTGTGTGTGTGCATGGGCGCATGGCGAGCACAGGACGGGCGAGTGAATGCGTTCTACTCTACCCCAGCCATGTATGTGGACGCCAAGCACCGTGCCAACGAGTCCTGGCCCACCAGAACAGGAGACATGTTCCCGTGCGTGCCCTCCCCTCCCCTCCCCTCCCCTCCCCTCCCCTCCCCTCCCCTCCCCTCCCCCCCTCATTTCTGCCTCTCTGCCCCTATTTCCTGCCTGCCTGTCTGCCTCCCTGTTAGAATCATGCTAAGTGGAAAATACGTGGAACTGGTGCTCTTCATACTTGACGTCAAACCAAAGGCCATCAGCTGTTTTTTCTGGTGCCGCTGCGTAGCTGAGACGGGCTGAGTTTTTTAAGGTGCATCAAAAGTCGCGGTGTAGCTGAGGCGGGTTGAGTGAAAGGAGCTCTGATTCCACGAGTGCCACATGATGATGTTCCTAACAAGGTGACTTTTGAGTCGACTCAAAAGCCACAAGATGATGTTCCTAACAATGTGACTTTTGAGTCGACTCAAAAGTCACATGATGATATTCCTATCAGTCGAATGTGCCTTTCAAACTGATTCCTTTGACCCACTTTTCATTCGAATGTACACAGTACATGTACATGTACATGCACGTCCTTCGGCCCGCTTTCCATTGCGTAGCGCACAGCTCATTCTCGCCGCCTCGCTCGCTTGCCCTTTCCGTGCTACCCTGCTTAGTCCTGCCCTCAGTCGTAGACAACACAGCACACACAACCAGCGTCCCTCACTCACTCACTCACTCACTCACTCACTCACTCACTCACTCACTCACTTATCAGTCAACTCACTGCCACAACCGGTTTGCCTCGTTTCAGTCCTCTCCACCTGCCCTCCCCTGCCTGTATCGCGTCCCTAGCACCAATCAGCACTCTATCTCCTGCTACCTGTCACCACCCTCCTTTCCCCCACCTCTCCCATGCATGCGCTGTGCCACACACAGCTTCGATGACTACCTTTGAGACGTCTCAAAACTCCTCCTACCAACTTCCTCCCTCCCTCCCCCTCTCCCGTGCGTTTTTGCCATACACGTGCAGCTACGATGAGCATGACGGGGCCTACTGGTCGGGTTACTTCTCCAGCCGCCCGTCCTTCAAGTACATGGCTCGCGTCTGCAGCTCCCTGCTCCTCGTAAGCCCTCCCTCCTTCGCTCTACCCTCTACCTCCCTGCCTTCCCATTGCCCTGAGCCCGTCGCTTCATACCCCTCCCCTGCTCCCCATCTATCTATCCCTCCCCCTCCTGCCTTGCCATGTATGTGACCTGGTGCCTCAATCACTTGCTTCTCTCACTCAGTACCCCTTCCCCGCCCTTCACTGCTCCCCAGGGAGCCACCTGACTGCCTGCTGCTTGCTGTCTGTCTGCTGTGTGCCTGCATCCGCTCCACCTTCTCTATGCCTTGCTCTTACTCTCCAAAGCCAGCCCCGCTCTCCTCTACCCCTCCCCACCCTCTTTTCCACTCCCTACCTCACCCTCTCCTCCACTCCCTCCCCCACCCTCTCCTCTTTCGCCCCTTCTCCGCTTCCAACCTGTCACCTCTCTACCTCCCTTCCCCCCCCACACCCCTCCTTCCTCTCTCCTCCGCTTCTCTCCTCTTCCCCCCCACCCCCCACCCCCCACCCCCCCTCCTCTTCCCCCCCTCTTCCCCCCGCGGCCTGTGGGGGCGTCACCCACCACCAGGCGACCACAGCAGCGGAGGCGCTGGTGGGGCGCAGGGCGCTGGAGCAATGGGACGAGCAGGAGGGGCGCTCTCTATGCCATGCTTCCAATTCCAAGCGCCCCCCTTCCTTCCTCTCTCCGCTTCTCTCCTCTTCCCCCCTCTTCCTCCCAACCACCAGGCAACCACAGCAGCGGAGGCGCTGGTGGGGCGCAGGGCGCTGGAGCAATGGGATGAGCAGGAGGGGCGCTTGGAAGCGCAGCGAGTAGAGGCGTGCGAGACACAAGAAGAGGCGTGCCCGGGGACGGAGGGGTGGCGGCGGAGGGTGCCAGGCTTGGCGTCAACCGCACCGCTGGAAGATGCTGTGGCGATTGCGCAGCACCATGATGCCATTACTGGGACGGCCAAGCAGCATGTGTCGAATGACTACTCGCTGCGCCTGCACGCTGGCGCTGTGGAGGTGCGTTGGTTTAGTCAGCCGACTCAGAAGCCATTTCGAAGATGCTGTGGCGATTGCCCAGCAACACCATGATGCTATCACAGGCACGGTTGAGCAGAGCAGCATGTGTCAGATGACTGCTCTATGCGCCTGCATGCTGGTGCTGTGGAGGTGAGGAGAGGAGGTGAGGATGAGGGGAGGAGAGGAAAGGATAAGGAGAGGAGAGGGGAGGATGAGGAGGAGAGGGGAGGATGAGTGATGGAGATGACAAAGGACTGCTTGAACATCAAATACCCCACCACACACTGTCCCCCAAATCCCCCAACAGTCTCCACCCACCCCTCTATTCTTCGTTTCCTTCCTGTTATTTATCCCTCTATTCTCTCTTCCTTGTGCCCCACCTTCCCTCCATCCCCTTTCCTCTGTCCCCCCCTCCCCTTGTTCTCCTCTTTCTCACTCCGTCGCACCATCCCCAGGCCTCACAAGTGCTCACATCAGCTCTTGCCTATCTCATCACCAAAGGCGCGCATACTGCCTTCCTCTCAGCCACAACCAAGAAACAGCAGCAGGAGCAGCAGCAGCAGCAGCAGGAGCAACAGCAGCAGCAGCAGCAGGAGCAACAGCAGCAGCAGCCGCAGCAGCAACAGCAGCAGCAGCAGCAGTGGCAGCAGCAGCAAGACCAGCTGCAGCAGCAAATGCAGCAGCTGCGACAGCAGCAGCGGCAGCAGCAGCAGCAGCAGCGGTGGCAGCAGCAGAACCAGCAACAGCAGCAGCTAACTCCTGATAAAATTCCAGCATTCATAGCTGCTGCGGCAGCAGGGGCAGCAGGAGCAGCAGGAGCAGCAGGAGGAGCAGCCGCAGCAACAGCGGGCCAAAATCCAAACCCCACGCCCACACCCATGCCTGACATGCCCTTCCCCTACCGTAGCAGACCCTTGCCCGAACAATTCTCCGAGCCTGTTGCGCCCGAGCGTCCTCCTCCCCCCAAGAACTACAACCCAAAGCAAGCACCACGGGCTGGAGAGCCGGGTATAACTGTGGACCCGCACTGGCTGGAGCGGCAGCAGGCGTGGGAGGCAGCAGTAGCACGAGCGAGAGGGGGAGGGGGAGGGGAGGAGGGGGGAGGGGCGAGGGGGGAAGGCGCAGCAGGGGCAGGGGAGGCTGCGGAGCCATGGAGGCGGTCACCTATGGAGGTGATGCACGAGGGGGAGGAGGCAGGGGAAGGGGATCGAGGAGGGGAAGGGGACGGGGGAGGGGAAGGGGAGGGGGGAGGGGAAGGTAGTTTAGGCAAGCTCGGAAGGCGGCTGTTGGGAGTAAATGGGCAGGGAGATGGGGGAGTTGAGATGGCTGAGGGGGGAGAGGGGCAGCAGGGAGGGGAGGCATGGGAGGCAGAGGGGGAGGGGACGGGTGGGCGGAGGAAGGATGGAGGAGGAAGTGGGCGGCCTGACAGAGTGCTCACGGGTGAACCGGGCGATACGAGTGACCCGACTGCTGCCATGCCTGCGCTCGACTTCGCCCTGGTACTGTGCTCTGCCTGTGCTCATCCCGTACCAGCCTTCCGTGCCCCTCAGCTGTGTTCAACTCACTCTCCTTGCCTCTCTTCCCTTCTCGCTGTGCATCCATTTGGTCCCTGGCCCCTCCTCCCCTACTCACCCGTTCACCCCTTCTCTCCAGCTCTGCCCTTTCTCCCCTTCTCATCCTCTTCTCTCCTTCCCTGTGCTCCCTACCCCACCTGTCTGCCACCTTCCCTTCCGCTCCCCTTCCCCCCAACCCCCTGCAGTGCCCTCTTCTCAACATCTCCTTCTGCCCGCCCTCTCAGCAGCTGCTCTCGCCCTCCTCCACTCTGGTGCGCCCTCAGGAACCCAAGGGGGAACGGACGGGGAGGAAGGAAGGGAGAGCGGGAAAGGAGAGTGGGAAGGAAGTGCGGAAGAGAGAGTGGTTCGAAGAGAGAGAGTGGGAGTGCATTGTGGTCGCACAGCAGTTATGCACACACTGTTTGAGAAGAAGCATGTTGATCATCCTACAAATGAAGGAAATGCATCCCATTCCTGCTCCGGCTCCTGCTCCTGTCCCTCACCTGTTTATCCCCCCCCCCCCCCCGGCCCCCCTCTCTCTCTTCTCTCCTGCCTGCAGGTCGTTGTGGCATACAACCCCCTCGCCTGAGCTCGCTCTGAGATCAAGTTGACTTTTGAGTCGACTCAAAAGTCATCCGACTCCTGCTCCTCTCTCTTGCTTGTCTGTCCCGCCCCCCCCTTCTCTCTCTCTCTGCTCCACTACCTGCAGGTCGTTGTGGCATACAACCCCCTCGCCTGGGCTCGCTCTGAAATCATCCGCTTCCCGGTAAGCCACCTCACACATCCCAGCAAAATCTATATCAGACCCAAGTTGACTTGACCCGGTCCTCCCTGCCATATCTCACCCCATCTCCCCTTGTCCCATTCCCCCCACTCCCCCCCAGGTGTCCTCCGCAGGGGTGGAGGTGAGGGATGCAGCGGGGCGAGTGGTGCCAGCACAGATAGTTCCAGAGGGCCTGGTGCCGCCGCGTCAGCGCGCCGTGCACGTGCAGGCAAACACCGGTGTTCGCCTGCAGCCCACCGCGGGGCCCTTGTCGGACGGCTCTGCTGCGGCGCCGCTGCTGAGCGTGGTGTTTGAGGCACAGGTGCCGCCTCTGGGCTATGCCACCTTCTTCCTCTCCCCCGCCCAGCCAGGTGCGCGCAGGTCCAGAGGGGGAGGGGGACGCGGGGGGGGGGGAGGGGACGGGGAGGGAAATGGGGGAGGGGGAGGGGGAGGGGGAGGGGGATGGGGAAGGTGGAGGTGGTGGGAAGGGAGTATCGGAGGGTGAGGGTGGTTGGAGGAGCTTGGTGGGTGGGGGTCTGCAGGTGCGCCTTGGATTGGAAGGACAACTGGTGTTGTTGATTGGGAAGTGCCTGTCTTGAGATATGCCAAGAGCAATGCTGGGATGTTGGTTTGGTTGCGTGTAACGTCTGTGGGTAGCATATCAGGTTTCCTGGTGCTTTGCTGCTCTCTTATCCGTCAATGCGAGCTCTTTCTCTACCCCTTCACGGTTTGGCTGGATCCTCTGTCGCCCCATCTCTTGCCACCCCCTCTGTCTCAAGCTCCATCGCCCCTTCTGTCTCCCCCTCTCCACCATGCCCGTGTTTGCGAGCGAGTCCAGGTGCAGCAGGCATGGCGAGCAACAGCAGCGAGTGGAACGACAACGTGCCGCTGCAGGGCGCTTCTGCAGCCGACACTGCCACACCAGAGGGCAGCGCAGCACCAGATAGCAGCGGTGCAGAGAGACAGGAGGGAGAAGACAGCATCGTTCTTGGAGGCCCATCTCCGCTGGTTTCAGCTGCTTCTGGTGGGGCAGGAGGAGGAGGAGGGGGAGGGGAGGCGTGGGCGCGAGTGAGCTTCTCGCGCAACGGCTACGGGATGGCAAAGATGGAGCTCGTGCGAGGCGGCGATGCTGCTGCTGCTGGCAGCTCTGCTGTGGTGAGTCTACTTTTGAGGCGCCTCAAATGTGAGCTTCTCTAGAAGCGGCTACGGGATGGCAAAGATGGAGCTCGTGCGAGGCGGCGATGCTGCTGCTGCTGCTGGCAGCTCTGCGGTGGTGAGCCGCGTGCGCAGGGAAAGGTAGCGTGCATGCGGTGCTGTGCTGTGTTGCACACCTGGCTTGGGCACAGTAGCATCGGTGGCCTTGGCTGCTATTGCCTCTGCTTGTGCTTCTCCCCACGCCCTTCTCTCCTGCCCCGTGCACGACTGTGCTACACTCCCCCCCTCACCGTGTCCTGTCGTCTAGCCCTCCTCTCCTCCTCCCCACAACCCCTCCAACGCCTTCCTCTCCCTTCTTTCCTCCCGTACCCCTTTCCCCTTACGTTGGATCACAGCAAGCAGAGGTGGAACTGTCAAGCAATCTCATGGCGTATAGTAAGACCATGGTGAGTCTCCATGATGCAGCATCACGCATGCACACGTGCATGCATGCATGGCAGTTGATGGTGGAAACCATTCCTTCCTATCTGAGCCATCAGAGGAGACAGGCTGGGTGGAGATGGCATCAGAGGACTTGCAGGATCTGCAAGGGTTCGGCATTGACGCAGCAGTTTTGTAGCCTCATGATTGGACATCGCCCTATCCTCGTGCATCCTTGCACTGATAAAGCCTTGCTTGCGTGAGTGACGGACTGTTAAGGGGGTTTGGGCACGGTGTGAGGACTACCCTTAAAGAGCATGGCTCAAACCGAGTCCATCCGTGTCCTTTAGCGTGAGTGACGGACCATTCAGGGAATGGGGCATGGTGTGAGGACGCGCATCCGTGTCCTTTAGCATGAGATGATGGGGAGGGAACAACTGGGCTGAGCGGCAGATGATGGGGGGTACAAACTTGGCTGAGCTGGAAATGATGATTGGTTCTTGGCTTCGTCACATGCACCTTGATGTGTTGTCGCACACTGTTTTCCCTTTTCGTCCTCCCAACTCTCACCCCCCCACTCTCCCTCCTTCCCCCCCCACCCCCCACCCCGCCTCACTCTCGCGCACTCACCCACACATGTGCACTCACATGATCTTTCATTGACACGTGCTCTCACTCTCTCATACATGTGTGTGCGCACACACATGAACACACACACGCCCTCCCACTCTCTCACATCACATGGGTACATCCACAGAGTGGTGCGTATGTCCTCTAGCTTTGAGGCGCCTTAAAACCACACCCTCCCTCCCTCCCTCCCGCCCTCCCACTCTCTCACATCACATGGGCACATCCACAGAGTGGTGCGTATGTCTTCCGCCCCATGAAGCCAGCAGAGAGAGTCGATGCCAACAATACTGATGGGCAGGTGGGTGATGATGCTGATGATGATGCTGGTGATGATGCTGATGATGATGCTGATGATGATGCTGGTGATGATGCTGGTGATGATGCCGATGCTGATGCTTATGCTGCTGGCGATGAGGTGCGCCTGCCTCACTACCATCCCTTCTTTATTCTCCTTTTTCACTAGCATACCAGGGCACACCTGCTCTCCTCTGCCACACCTGCCACACCTGCCACACCTGCCACACCTGCTCTCCTCTGCCACACCACACTCCTCTCTGAATTCTCCTTGCCGCCCCCCCTCCCTCTCACCTTTCCCTGCTCCCCCTTACCCCCTCCGGGCCCAACGGTGGGAGGGCAGGTGCCAGTGCGGGTGGTGAAGGGGCCGCTGCTGCACGAGTTCCATCGCAAGGTGGCGCCCTCCGTCAATGAGGTGCTGCCCCCCCACCTCTCTCCCCCCTCGCTGCTGCAGCAGCAACAGCAAGAAAAGCAGCAAAGCGGGTGATGATCTGCATGCTTCACTCACACATGGTTGTTGCACGCTCTTATGACTTGCACTCACTCACTCACTCACTCACTCACTCACTCTCGGTAGCACACCTGCTCCTGCTGCGCCCCCTCGCTGCTCTCCCCGCACGGCAGGTGTTCCGGGTCTATCCAGGGAAAGACTATGCCGAGCTGCATTACGTGGTGGGTAACGGGGTGCGTGGGTGCGTGTGTGGGTCAGTGAATCGGTGGGTGCGTGGGTGGGTCGGTGGGTCGGTGGGTGGGCTGTTTTGTGGGTTTGCGAGAGGGGGGCTTGTCAAGGAGTCTTCAATGAAGAGAATCCTATAAGCGCACAGACCTTCTTTCTCATGGAAGCCCATCCTTTCTTGTATGTCCTTTTCCTTCTGAGCCGATCAAGTTGAATTGAAACCCTTGTGCAACCTAGCATGGATGGAACTTGTCCCCAATCCAGTTTGCAGCCACCTACAGTTGAGTGGCAAAGGTTCTCATCTCAACAACGTCCAACGGAATTCTTTCGTGTGCCGTTGCACCGCCTCCTCCAAGCTTTTGCATACCAAGAAGCACACAGCCAACCTCTTGCTTGTCCACCCTTGTCTCTTGAACTCTTCCTCTCTCTTCTCTTCTCCCGACCCGGGTGCATGTGTGTCTGGTTGCTGTGCTGTGTACCTTGGCTTGTGTTTTGAAGTGGTGTCCCTTGCTGTGGGCTGACGTGGGTGGGCGTGGGATATGCGCGGTGCTGTGGTGGGTGTGTGCGGATGTGTGGGCGCGTGGGCGGGCGGGAGGGCCGGTGCGTGGGTTGGTGGCTGGGTGGGCGGGTGGGTGGGTGGGTGCGTGATCACATGGGTGGGTGAGGGCGGTGGCGGTGGTGTGGAGTACAGGTGGACATAGATGAGAAGGATGCGTACGCCAAGGAGTATATCACTCGCTTTGACTCAACCATCCGCTCCAACTCCACCTTCTACACTGATTCTAACGGCCGAGACTACATGACACGCGTGCGTGCCGTGCCACCTCCACACGCGCACACTCACACAATGAACCTTCTTGCTCGCTCCTGCTGCATCCTTATGTCTTTCTTCTCCTCCCTCCTGCAATTTTCTCACGTTTCCTCCTTCGTTTTCTTGCTTTGCTGATTGTGGTGTGCTGCTGCTGCTGCTGCTGCTGCTGCTGCTGCTGCTGCTGCTGCTTCTTGTGCCTCAGGTCCGCAACTACCCATATGACGCCACAGAACCAGCCACACATCCCATTGCGGGCAATTACTACCCGGTACGGCACCTGCACCTGCATGTGCACGTGCACATGCACATGCACATAGACATGCAAATGCACATAAACAAACGAATGCACATAGACATGCAAATGCGCATGCCCCTGCACATGCATTTGCACATGCACATGAACTTGCAATTGCAGGTGGAGGAAACACTTCGCACTTTGCCCTCTCATCCCCACTATCCGCTTCCCAACAGCCCTACCCTCCAACTCCCAATTCCCAACCCACAGCTCTCGACCCCCAATTCCTTCAATTCCCCTTGTCCAACACCCATAACCTCCCTCCACCTAACGTGTGGTGCGCCCATGGGGGATCCCAGCATGCAGCTGTCAGTGCTGGTGGGCCGTGCCCTGGGGCTGGGGGCAAGCAGCCTGGCTGACGGGCAACTGGAGGTCATGTATGAGAATTCTCAAAAGTGACCCCCCGATATCCTCCCCCTGCTGCCCTCCTCAGCTGACGTGCGGTGCGCACATTGGGGACCCCAGCGTGCAGCTGTCAGTGCTGGTGGACCGTGCCCTAGGGGCAAGCAGCCTGGCGGATGGGCAACTGGAGGTCATGCTGCACAGGTGGGGGTGGTGCTGCACAGGGACGGAAGGGAGTGGGGGGAGAGTGGTAGCAGAAAGAGAGGCAGCAGAAAGAGAGGCAGCAGAAATGGGTTAATGTGGAAAGGAGGTGGGTGGGGCGGTTGTAGGAGAAGCAGGGAGGGGGGGATTAGCATCGCAGTGCATCACATGGGCTCTTGTCAGTGGTTAACCTCAGTACACCACCGAATCAATCCCGCCCCACTACCCCACATCTCACCCACTGCACCTGCTTCCCATGCCCCACATCAACTCCCCGCTCCCAACTCACCAATCCCCACATCCCACTCCCCACATCCCACTCCCCATTCCCCAGTCCCCACATCCCACTCCGCACTTCCCGTTTCCCTCTCCGCTGCCGTATGCGCGGTGCATGGCAGGCGGTTGCAGACGGACGATAGCAAGGGCGTGGCGGAGCGGAGGTGCTCAAGGAGAAGAGCCGTGCTTTGAGTCGGCTCAAAACACTCCCCACCCCTCCCCCCCCCCTCCCCCATCACCCCACGCCCACGCACGGTGCATGGCAGGCGGTTACAGACGGACGACAGCAAGGGCGTGGCGGAGGTGCTTAAGGAGAAGATCTGCATCAACGGCGGGCAGTGCGAAACCCTCTCTGTATGCCATGCTGCATGCATGCACATGCACACGTGCGCACCTGCACACGCGCGCACCTGCACACGCGCTCACTTGCATGCGCGCACCTGCACACACATACACGCAAATGCACGCATGCACACACAGTCAAACACATGCACCTCTCTGCTTTCATCCTTCCCCTATCAAAGCCTCTTGCTCCTCCTCATTCGTTTCACCTCTGCTCTTTCTACCCCACAGGTCGCACTGCTACTACCAGTGGAGCTCGTATACCATGTCATGTCATGGTCTTTCAACTTCCAGTTCTCTACCCAGCTGTGGTCTTTTACCCGCCCCTTCTCCCCTCTGCGTGTGTGTGTCTCAGGTTGTTGGCTCCATCCGCTTTGCCCTGCACCCCGGGAGGAGGAGAGTTCCTGTCGCTGCGGCTGCTGTTGCCGGCGCCGCTGCTGGTGGTAGTGGTGCTGCCGCTGCTGCCGGTGCCGATGCTGCTACCGCTGCCACTGCAGCTGATGCCAATGCTGTCCCTAACAACGACGGTTCCCCGACTGCTACCGCTCCATCGGGTGGTGGGGTGGTGGAGGAGTGGCAGGGAGGGGAGGAGGCGGCGCAGTGGAGGCGAGAGCATGCTCAACGCCTGCTGACGCCTCTGCAATTGGCATTTGCAGTCGAGGTACTTGCATTGCTTGTGCTGCCCTGCATGAGTGGCACCTGTCCCAAGACACCTTGGATATCTGGCAACCAAAACCCTACACCACACACAGATGAACACCCACACGCACGTACACCCCATGCACTCACCCCCACGCACTCACCCCCACGCACTCACCCCCATGCACTGACGCCCCCGCGCCCACACCCCAACACCCCGTGCAGAGCACGGAGGCGCTGGCAGCTGCAGCGGGGAAGCTGAGGTGGCGGTACTCGCTGAGTGGGGAGGGCGGGGAGGGCGACGTGCAGGCGGGCGGGCTGTACTCGCTGCTGCCCAACGTGGCGGTCATCTCCATGCAGGAGCTCTCCCCCAACCACCTGCTGCTGCGCCTCGCTCATCTCTATGAGGTAACCGCGCGCATTGAGGTGATTTTTGAGGCGCCTCAATAATCGCTGCCGCCCAACGTGGCGGTCATCTCCATGCAGGAGCTCTCCCCCAACCACCTGCTGCTGCGCCTCGCTCATCTCTATGAGGTAACCGCGCGCATTGAGGTGATTTTTGAGGCGCCTCAATAATCGCTGCCGCCCAACGTGGCGGTCATCTCCATGCAGGAGCTCTCCCCCAACCACCTGCTGCTGCGCCTCGCTCATCTCTATGAGGTAACCGCGCGCATTGAGGTGATTTTTGAGGCGCCTCAATAATCGCTGCCGCCCAACGTGGCGGTCATCTCCATGCAGGAGCTCTCCCCCAACCACCTGCTGCTGCGCCTCGCTCATCTCTATGAGGTAACCGCGCGCATTGAGGTGATTTTTGAGGCGCCTCAATAATCGCTGCCGCCCAACGTGGCGGTCATCTCCATGCAGGAGCTCTCCCCCAACCACCTGCTGCTGCGCCTCGCTCATCTCTATGAGGTAACCGCGCGCATTGAGGTGATTTTTGAGGCGCCTCAATAATCGCTGCCTCCCAACGTGGCGGTCATCTCCATGCAGGAGCTCTCCCCCAACCACCTGCTGCTGCGCCTCGCTCATCTCTTTGAGGTAACCGCGCGCATTGAGGTGATTTTTGAGGCGCCTCAATAATCGCTGCCGCCCAACGTGGCGGTCATCTCCATGCAGGAGCTCTCCCCCAACCACCTGCTGCTGCGCCTCGCTCATCTCTATGAGGTAACCGCGCGCATTGAGGTGATTTTTGAGGCGCCTCAATAATCGCTGCCGCCCAACGTGGCGGTCATCTCCATGCAGGAGCTCTCCCCCAACCACCTGCTGCTGCGCCTCGCTCATCTCTATGAGGTAACCGCGCGCATTGAGGTGATTTTTGAGGCGCCTCAATAATCGCTGCCTCCCAACGTGGCGGTCATCTCCATGCAGGAGCTCTCCCCCAACCACCTGCTGCTGCGCCTCGCTCATCTCTATGAGGTAACCGCGCGCATTGAGGTGATTTTTGAGGCGCCTCAATAATCGCTGCCGCCCAACGTGGCGGTCATCTCCATGCAGGAGCTCTCCCCCAACCACCTGCTGCTGCGCCTCGCTCATCTCTATGAGGTAACCGCGCGCATTGAGGTGATTTTTGAGGCGCCTCAATAATCGCTGCCACCCAACGTGGCGGTCATCTCCATGCAGGAGCTCTCCCCCAACCACCTGCTGCTGCGCCTCGCTCATCTCTATGAGGTAACCGCGCGCATTGAGGTGATTTTTGAGGCGCCTCAATAATCGCTGCCGCCCAACGTGGCGGTCATCTCCATGCAGGAGCTCTCCCCCAACCACCTGCTGCTGCGCCTCGCTCATCTCTATGAGGTAACCGCGCGCATTGAGGTGATTTTTGAGGCGCCTCAATAATCGCTGCCGCCCAACGTGGCGGTCATCTCCATGCAGGAGCTCTCCCCCAACCACCTGCTGCTGCGCCTCGCTCATCTCTATGAGGTAACCGCGCGCATTGAGGTGATTTTTGAGGCGCCTCAATAATCGCTGCCACCCAACGTGGCGGTCATCTCCATGCAGGAGCTCTCCCCCAACCACCTGCTGCTGCGCCTCGCTCATCTCTATGAGGTAACCGCGCGCATTGAGGTGATTTTTGAGGCGCCTCAATAATCGCTGCCACCCAACGTGGCGGTCATCTCCATGCAGGAGCTCTCCCCCAACCACCTGCTGCTGCGCCTCGCTCATCTCTATGAGGTAACCGCGCGCATTGAGGTGATTTTTGAGGCGCCTCAATAATCGCTGCCACCCAACGAGGCGGTCATCTCCATGCAGGAGCTCTCCCCCAACCACCTGCTGCTGCGCCTCGCTCATCTCTATGAGGTAACCGCGCGCATTGAGGTGATTTTTGAGGCGCCTCAATAATCGCTGCCACCCAACGTGGCGGTCATCTCCATGCAGGAGCTCTCCCCCAACCACCTGCTGCTGCGCCTCGCTCATCTCTATGAGGTAACCGCGCGCATTGAGGTGATTTTTGAGGCGCCTCAATAATCGCTGCCACCCAACGTGGCGGTCATCTCCATGCAGGAGCTCTCCCCCAACCACCTGCTGCTGCGCCTCGCTCATCTCTATGAGGTAACCGCGCGCATTGAGGTGATTTTTGAGGCGCCTCAATAATCGCTGCCGCCCAACGTGGCGGTCATCTCCATGCAGGAGCTCTCCCCCAACCACCTGCTGCTGCGCCTCGCTCATCTCTATGAGGTAACCGCGCGCATTGAGGTGATTTTTGAGGCGCCTCAATAATCGCTGCCACCCAACGTGGCGGTCATCTCCATGCAGGAGCTCTCCCCCAACCACCTGCTGCTGCGCCTCGCTCATCTCTATGAGGTAACCGCGCGCATTGAGGTGATTTTTGAGGCGCCTCAATAATCGCTGCCACCCAACGTGGCGGTCATCTCCATGCAGGAGCTCTCCCCCAACCACCTGCTGCTGCGCCTCGCTCATCTCTATGAGGTAACCGCGCGCATTGAGGTGATTTTTGAGGCGCCTCAATAATCGCTGCCACCCAACGTGGCGGTCATCTCCATGCAGGAGCTCTCCCCCAACCACCTGCTGCTGCGCCTCGCTCATCTCTATGAGGTAACCGCGCGCATTGAGGTGATTTTTGAGGCGCCTCAATAATCGCTGCCACCCAACGTGGCGGTCATCTCCATGCAGGAGCTCTCCCCCAACCACCTGCTGCTGCGCCTCGCTCATCTCTATGAGGTAACCGCGCGCATTGAGGTGATTTTTGAGGCGCCTCAATAATCGCTGCCACCCAACGTGGCGGTCATCTCCATGCAGGAGCTCTCCCCCAACCACCTGCTGCTGCGCCTCGCTCATCTCTATGAGGTAACCGCGCGCATTGAGGTGATTTTTGAGGCGCCTCAATAATCGCTGCCACCCAACGTGGCGGTCATCTCCATGCAGGAGCTCTCCCCCAACCACCTGCTGCTGCGCCTCGCTCATCTCTATGAGGTAACCGCGCGCATTGAGGTGATTTTTGAGGCGCCTCAATAATCGCTGCCACCCAACGTGGCGGTCATCTCCATGCAGGAGCTCTCCCCCAACCACCTGCTGCTGCGCCTCGCTCATCTCTATGAGGTAACCGCGCGCATTGAGGTGATTTTTGAGGCGCCTCAATAATCGCTGCCACCCAACGTGGCGGTCATCTCCATGCAGGAGCTCTCCCCCAACCACCTGCTGCTGCGCCTCGCTCATCTCTATGAGGTAACCGCGCGCATTGAGGTGATTTTTGAGGCGCCTCAATAATCGCTGCCACCCAACGTGGCGGTCATCTCCATGCAGGAGCTCTCCCCCAACCACCTGCTGCTGCGCCTCGCTCATCTCTATGAGGTAACCGCGCGCATTGAGGTGATTTTTGAGGCGCCTCAATAATCGCTGCCACCCAACGTGGCGGTCATCTCCATGCAGGAGCTCTCCCCCAACCACCTGCTGCTGCGCCTCGCTCATCTCTATGAGGTCAGCCCCTTCACGCACCTGCTGCCCCGCACCTGCTGCCCCGCACCCGCACCTGCTGCCCCGCACCTGCTGCCCCGCACCTGCTGCCCCGCACCTGCTGCCTTTACCTGCTGCCCTTACTTCCTCCGCACCCTCTCGCCCTTTCTCTCGGCAACCCCATCCCCCGCTCTCTGTCTTACTAACTGGAATTTGAGAATTCTCAAAAACCAGCTCCCTGCTCTCTGTCTTACTCAGACCCACTCACTCCCTCTCCTTCGCTCGCTCCATTCAAACCTCCTGGGCTTATGCTACATCCCAGTGTCCCACCCACAGCATCCATCTGCTGTGTCTTATTCCTAAAACATTCGTGCACCTGTTGCTCGGCATGGTTTTTTCCCTCACTCGTAGTGCTTTCACCTCGTGTTTTCCTTCCGTTTCCTTCCGCGCCCCTCCTTCATCTCTTCTCCCCCTTCTCTCATCCGCCCACCCCGTGGGCTGCCATCAGGCCAAGGAGCATCCCTCTCTGTCCACCATGGCCTCTGTGCCCCTGCGACAGCTCTTTGCTTCCAGACAGGTGTGTATGTCTCAGCATGTCTCAGCATGCGCCTTGGCCATGTGTGGCATCCATGCATGCGCTCCTGGCCACCAGAAGCGATGCAGCCACAAGCATGTGCTCCTCCCTCCCTTCATCCATGCACAATGCCGTGCCACGCTCGCACTTGCCTCCCTACCGTACCTCCGATCAGCAACCAATGCATTCGCTCCATCTTGCCATCTTATGCACCCCCCTTCTTCCCAGCGCCCGAATCACTCTGTTCCATCCCTCTGTCTTTCCACCATTGCCCCGGTTCCATCCCCACAGATCATCTCTCTCACAGAGCTCAGCTTGACGGCCAATCAGAAGAAGGCAGACATGCGCCAGCCAATGGTATGGCGGGAGGAGTCGACAGCATCAGCACAGGGTGCACCAGTGGAGGTGTCATCTGAGAGGCCGGTGTATGGGGGGGAGGTGGATCCACAGCAGCTGGTGGTGGAACTGGGGCCATTTGAAATTCGCACGTTTGCACTCACGTTCAAGCCCTTTTCGGCATGATACTGCATGCTGCTTTGCTTGTCCTCAAAACCACATATATCGTCGTAATCATGCTATTATTTATTATATCAGATATCTAGATACCATCGTAGTACCCACTACAACTGTAGTATGTATTAGTCAAGTCAACCAAACATGCTTGAGGACACTAAAGAATCATGGCTAGTACATTTCAATAATGGTGCAGAACTATGAAAGTTGTTTCTAAAAGAACTATAAATATCTATATGAAAGGAGAACGGATGGGTGTGTACTGGTGGACGGGCTGCCAGTTAAGTTTAGAGGCATTAACCCTGGATTTCTGTGTTTTGGGCTGACGCTTTTCGGTTCTCACATTCCGTACCGTACCAATTGGCAGAACTTTCTGAAAGTGTTGTGCTGTAGGACCTTTCCTTTCGACTCTTGAGTATTTCGGGTCCCAACGCTGACTTGAGTTCTACACGAGCCCCAAATTATCCGAAGTACCAAAGGTGGATGCTACGACGGGAGAGAAAACCTATCCCTGAAATATACCTGGCAGTGTAAACTGGAGAAAATTTCTGCAAAAAAGAGGTCCTCAAATTCTTCATGCCTGGTCAGCAGGCATCAATCCACGAGGTTACACTTTACAGCCATGATGGCAAGGCGAGAGCCACGCGGCTCTGGTACAGTCGCTCAACTACTAAACTTAAATTATGGTGCAGTTATCTTGAGACAAATGGGGGAGACATCCGCACCGTAGAACGAGATACCAGGGCAAACCAAGGTACGGTTAGCACGTTTAGTAAATAGTAACTTAATGAGCCGGAGGACTAGCGCAGCACGTGGTTATCCTGTCGTTCGTCGCGACTAGGAATTAGGTAGAAGCTAGGGGACCCAGAAAAGAGCTCGCTTTCGTAAAGCAACCAGAGTGCTTCGGATTCGACATTCGTGCGACTCGCTTGATAGTGACTGTCTTGACTCTCTGACACACACCAAATCGAAAAACGTTGAGACAGCCGTAGGAAGCGCAAACGTACTTGGCGAACCAGCTATTAACTTACCTATTAACTTACGCACCCCATCGACAAACCTAGTGCCGTTCTCAAAGCGCAATTCCGCGCAAGAAATCCTCTTCCCGCTGCAGTTCCGTCAGTTTCATAGGCAGCGACGGTAGCGAAAGCGCCCACAGCTGACCCTGACAACGCGACGAGCACCAGCAGCAGCAGGGCCGCGGCCGTGCCGGGGGGCAGCCGTCTCGACACACGAAACTGGGAGCAGAAAAAGGCGGAGAACTGCTATTGCCGCGCGAGCGACAGAGGCAGGAGAGGCAGGAGGGGTGACAGGCAGACGGGGGAGCACGGAGGCAGCAGCGGTGAGTGGTATGGACGTGGACGGAGAGTGTGGGACGGACAGGAGCGAGGCGATGGCGGAAGAGGGGGCGGAGGGGAAGGCTGTTAAGGGCGGGAGAATGGACGGAGCTGCACAGGAGAAGGTCGTAGTTCTGCTGGGGGAGGGAAGGGATGGAGTTAATAGCTTCGCGCGGAACCTTGGTAAGACTGAGGAAGAACAAGTTGGGGACACAGAGGTGGTGGGGAGGGAGGAAGAGGAGGAGAAGGAAGGGGTGGTTGCAGTGGGGGAGGCGGAGGAGGAAGGCGTGGAGGAGAGCGAGTTGCGGGATGTGGTGGCACCGATGCCGGTGATTGGGGGGGAAGCACAGGGTGCATGTGGGGTTGTTGCGGAGAGCAGTGGGGCCGAGTTTAAGAAGGAGGCGGCAGCAGCAGGGGTGGCAGCGGGCAAGGCAAGGCGGCGAGTGCGGTTTGAGGAGGGGGAGAAGGGGCTGCATGGGCTGGCAGCGCTGAGGCTGCGGCAGCACGTGGCCCCCCGCACACAGGCGGCAGCAGAGGACGGGTCGGTGGGGGGCAGCAGGGGGGCAGGGGCAGAGGCAGGCGTGGGGTGGGCGGGTGGCAGGGCAAGCGGTGGCGGCAGCAGCAGCAGTGCTGGTGGGCTGGCTGGTGGAGGGCTGCTTGGGCGACCTCCCCCGTTGGCGCGAGCCACAAGTGACTGCTCGTGGGAGATGCGGCGAGTGGCCTTACTGGGGGCACAGCACGGCACTCCGCGCGCATCGGCCGCTCACTCCCACCTCAAGTTCTCCGACGCACTCGACCAGCTCGAGCAACAGCTGGGCCACTCCAGCCCAACCAGAGAGGATGACTTCTCTCTCGCCAATGACTGGGAGGAGCAGCCAGACCAGGTGAGGCCGAGCACTATGCGTAGGCAACAAACCACTCACTCTCTCCTTAAGATTATTCGCCCCACCTTGCCCTTTAAAGATGTTGAATGGTACATGGTGAAAACTGTACTTGAAGGCTTGGTCGAACCGAACACGAGCCATTTTGACCAACGTGGTCCAGATTCAAACTCATCTATGCCCACTGCTTTCTGCTCATATGAACAAATGTAGAATGTTTGAGTAGAAAGAAATGAGCAAGAATGAGTTCAGATCTTGACCACGTTGGTCGAAACGGCTCAGGTTATGTTTGACCAAGCCTTCAACTACAGTTTTGAACACGCTTTTTTTTTCTTCTTCTTCGGGTATTGTCTTTGCACGATATCGTGCAAGGGGTCGTGGAGGCAAGGAATTGGTAGGTATGGCCCAGTTGTGGCTGGAGTCTGCTAATCTAGTCGAACCCAACAGAACGGTTGACTCAAGCTGCAATCGGTTCGTGCCGAACTATTATTACTAGTATCACTCATCCGAACGGTTTTAGAACAAACCAGTTCGTGTCGAAGAGGGATGAGGTAACGCTGTTGCGTAGTTTGCGCGTATGCTGATTCAATCCGAATAAATTTAGAACGAACTAGTTTGTGTCGAAGAGAGATGAGGTCATGCTGTTGCGTGGTTTGTGCGTATGCTGATCCAAACCTTATCTCTTCTTCTGGCTATCTTAACATTGCCTCTCTTCCCCTTCCTGCAGCAGGAATGGAGTTCCCAAGGGTCACCAGCAGAGGGAAAACCGGCTGTGGAGGCAGAGGCAGTAGAGGGTGGGGGCACAGAGGAAGTGGTGCGGAGGAAGGAGGAGGAGGACGAGGAAGGGGTGGTGGCAGTGCGGGAGGCGGAGGAAGGGGTGGAGGAGAGCGAGCTGCGGGATGTGGTGGCACCGATACCAGTGATTGGCGGCGGGGGGGAGTTGGCGGGGGCGGTGGCAGCAGCAGGGGTGGCAGTGGGCAAGGCAAGGCGGCGAGTGCGGTTTGAGGAGGGGGAGAAGGGGCTGCATGGGCTGGCAGCGCTGAGGCTGCGGCAGCACGTGGCCCCCCGCACACAGGCGGCAGCAGAGGACGGGTCGGTGGGGGGCAGCAGGGGGGCAGGGGCAGAGGCAGGCGTGGGGTGGGCGGGTGGCAGGGCAAGCGATGGCGGCAGCAGCAGCAGTGCTGGTGGGCTGGCTGGTGGAGGGCTGCTTGGGCGACCTCCCCCGTTGGCGCGAGCCACAAGTGACTGCTCGTGGGAGATGCGGCGAGTGGCCTTACTGGGGGCACAGCACGGCACTCCACGCGCATCGGCCGCTCACTCCCACCTCAAGTTCTCCGACGCACTCGACCAGCTCGAGCAGCAGCTGGGCCAGTCCAGCCCAACCAGAGAGGATGACGTCTCTCTCGCCAATGACTGGGAGGAGCAGCCAGACCAGGTGAGGCTGAGCACTATGCGTAGGCAACAAACCACTCACTCTCTCCTTAAGATTATTCGCCCCACCTTGCCCTTCAAAGATGTTGAATGGTACATGGTGAAAACTGTAGTTGAAGGCTTGGTCGAACCGAACACGAGCCATTTTGACCAACGTGGTGTAGATTCGAACTCATCTATCCCGACTGCTTTCTGCTCATATAAACAAAGGAAGAATGTTTGAGCAGATAGAAATGAGCAAGAATGAGTTTAAATCTCGACCTCGTTGGTCGAAACGGCTTAGATTCTGATTGACCATGCCTTCAACTACAGTTTTGACTACAGTTTTTTTCTTCTTCTTCTTCTTCTTCGGGTATTGTCTTTGCACGATATCGTGCAAGGGGTCGCGGAGGCAAGGAATTGGTAGGTATGGCCCAGTTGTGGCTGAATTCTGCTAATCTAGTCGAACCCAACAGAACGGTTGACTCAAGCTGCAGTTGGTTCTAGTCGAACCATTTTCACTGAAATTTTGTTATCCGAACAAATTTAGAACGAACTAGTTTGTGTCGAAGAGAGATGAGGTCATGCTGTTGCGTGGTTTGTGCGTGTGCTGATCCAAGCCTTATCTCTTCTTTTGCTGAGTGACAACAAGTTAGTGCATTCTTAGCTACCTTAACTTTACCTCTCTTCCCCTTCCTGCAGCAGGAATGGAGTTCCCAAGGGCCACCAGCAGACGGAAAGCCGGCTGTGGAGGCAGAGGCAGTAGAGGGTGGGAGCACAGAGGAAGTGGTGCGGAGGAAGGAGGAGGAGGACGAGGAAGGGGTGGTGGCAGTGGGGGAGGCGGAGGAAGGGGTGGAGGAGAGCGAGCTGCGGGATGTGGTGGCACCGATACCAGTGATTGGCGGCGGGGGGGAGTTGGCGGGGGCGGTGGCAGCAGCAGGGGTGGCAGCGGGCAAGGCAAGGCGGCGAGTGCGGTTTGAGGAGGGGGAGAAGGGGCTGCATGGGCTGGCAGCGCTGAGGCTGCGGCAGCACGTGGCCCCCCGCACACAGGCGGCAGCAGAGGACGGGTCGGTGGGGGGCAGCAGGGGGGCAGGGGCAGAGGCAGGCGTGGGGTGGGCGGGTGGCAGGGCAAGCGATGGCGGCAGCAGCAGCAGTGCTGGTGGGCTGGCTGGTGGAGGGCTGCTTGGGCGACCTCCCCCGTTGGCGCGAGCCACAAGTGACTGCTCGTGGGAGATGCGGCGAGTGGCCTTACTGGGGGCACAGCACGGCACTCCACGCGCATCGGCCGCTCACTCCCACCTCAAGTTCTCCGACGCACTCGACCAGCTCGAGCAGCAGCTGGGCCAGTCCAGCCCAACCAGAGAGGATGACGTCTCTCTCGCCAATGACTGGGAGGAGCAGCCAGACCAGGTGAGGCTGTGCACTATGCGTAGGCATTAAACCACTCACTCTCTCCTTAAGATTATAGCCCTACCCTGCCCTTCAAAGATGTTGAATGGTACATGGTAAAAACTGTGGTTGATGGTTGAACCAAAGACGAGCCATTTTGACCAACGTGGTCCAGATTCGAACTCATCTATGCCCACTGCTTTCTGCTCATATGGACAAATGTAGAATGTTTGAGCCGAAAGAAATAAGCAAGAATGAGTTCAAATCTCGACCACGTTGGTCGAAATGGTTCAGGTTCTGTTTGACCAAGCCTTCAATTACAGTTGAACATGTTTTTTGTTCTTCTTCGGGTATTGTCTTTGCATGATATCGTGCAGGGGTTCGTGGTCGTGTAGGCAAGGGGTTGGTAGGTAAGGTCCAGTTGTGGCTGGAGTCTGCTAATTTAGTCGAACCCAACAGAACGGTTGTCTCAAGCTGCAATTGGTTCTAATCGAACTATTTTCACTGAATTCGATCATCTGAACAAATTTAGAACGAACTAGTTTGTGTCAAAATGAGATGAAGTCATACTGTTGCGTGGTTTGTGCGTATGCTGATCCAAGCCTTATCTCTTCTTTTGCTGAGTGACAACACGTTAATGCATTCTTAGTTACCTTAACTTTGCCTCTCTTCCCCTTCCTGCAGCAGGAATGGAGTTCCCAAGGGCCACCAGCAGAAGGAAAGCCGGCTGTGGAGGCAGAGGGAGTAGAGGGTGGGGGCACAGAGGAAGTGGTGCGGAGGAAGGAGGAGGAGGAGGAGGAAGGGGTGGTGGCAGTGGGGGAGGCGGAGGAAGGGGTGGAGGAGAGCGAGCTGCGGGATGTGGTGGCACCGATACCAGTGATTGGCGGCGGGGGGGAGTTGGCGGGGGCGGTGGCAGCAGCAGGGGTGGCAGCGGGCAAGGCAAGGCGGCGAGTGCGGTTTGAGGAGGGGGAGAAGGGGCTGCATGGGCTGGCAGCGCTGAGGCTGCGGCAGCACGTGGCCCCCCGCACACAGGCGGCAGCAGAGGACGGGTCGGTGGGGGGCAGCAGGGGGGCAGGGGCAGAGGCAGGCGTGGGGTGGGCGGGTGGCAGGGCAAGCGATGGCGGCAGCAGCAGCAGTGCTGGTGGGCTGGCTGGTGGAGGGCTGCTTGGGCGACCTCCCCCGTTGGCGCGAGCCACAAGTGACTGCTCGTGGGAGATGCGGCGAGTGGCCTTACTGGGGGCACAGCACGGCACTCCACGCGCATCGGCCGCTCACTCCCACCTCAAGTTCTCCGACGCACTCGACCAGCTCGAGCAGCAGCTGGGCCAGTCCAGCCCAACCAGAGAGGATGACGTCTCTCTCGCCAATGACTGGGAGGAGCAGCCAGACCAGGTGAGGCTGAGCACTATGCGTAGGCAACAAACCACTCACTCTCTCCTAAAGATTATTCGCCCCACCTTGCCCTTGAAAGATGTTGAATGGTACATGGTGAAAGCTGTAGTTTAGGGCTTGGTCGAACCGAACACGAGCCATTTTGACCAACGTGGTCCAGATTCGAACTCATCTATGCCCACTGCTTTCAGCTTATATGAACAAATGTAGAATGTTTGAGCAGACAGAATTGGGCAAGAATGAGTTAAAATCTCGACCACGTTGCTCAAAACGGCTCTGGTTCCGTTTGACCAAGCCTTCAATTACAGTTTTGAACACGTTCTATTTTCTTCTTCTTCGGATATTGTCTTTGCACGTTATCGTGCAAGGGGTCGTGGAGGCAAGGAATTGGTAGGTATGGCCCAGTTGTGGCTGAAGTCTGCTAATCTAGTCGAATTCAACGGAATGGTTTACTCAAGCTGCAATCGGTTCGTGCCGAACTATAATTACTAGAATCAATCATCCGAATGGTTTTAGAACAACCCAGTTCGTGTCCAATAATGATGAGGTAACGCTGTTGCGTGGTTTGTGCTTATGCTGATCCAAGCCTTATCTCTTCTTTTGCTGAGTGACAACAAGTTAATGCATTCTTAGCTACCTTAACTTTGCCTCTCTTCCCCTTCCTGCAGCAGGAATGGAGTTCCCAAGGGCCACCAGCAGACGGAAAGCCGGCTGTGGAGGCAGAGGGAGTAGAGGGTGGGGGCACAGAGGAAGTGGTGCGGAGGAAGGAGGAGGAGGAGGAGGAAGGGGTGGTGGCAGTGGGGGAGGCGGAGGAAGGGGTGGAGGAGAGCGAGCTGCGGGATGTGGTGGCACCGATACCAGTGATTGGCGGCGGGGGGGAGTTGGCGGGGGCGGTGGCAGCAGCAGGGGTGGCAGTGGGCAAGGCAAGGCGGCGAGTGCGGTTTGAGGAGGGGGAGAAGGGGCTGCATGGGCTGGCAGCGCTGAGGCTGCAGCAGCACGTGGCCCCCCGCACACAGGCGGCAGCAGAGGACGGGTCGGTGGGGGGCAGCAGGGGGGCAGGGGCAGAGGCAGGCGTGGGGTGGGCGGGTGGCAGGGCAAGCGATGGCGGCAGCAGCAGCAGTGCTGGTGGGCTGGCTGGTGGAGGGCTGCTTGGGCGACCTCCCCCGTTGGCGCGAGCCACAAGTGACTGCTCGTGGGAGATGCGGCGAGTGGCCTTACTGGGGGCACAGCACGGCACTCCACGCGCATCGGCCGCTCACTCCCACCTCAAGTTCTCCGACGCACTCGACCAGCTCGAGCAGCAGCTGGGCCACTCCAGCCCAACCAGAGAGGATGACGTCTCTCTCGCCAATGACTGGGAGGAGCAGCCAGACCAGGTGAGGGCTCACCACCGTACTCAAGCAACAAACTAGTTTCTCTCTCCCTAATGCTATCAGGCCAGGTGAGTGCGTACCATCATTTTGATGCAACAATTCAGTTACTCTTTCCTTCATCGTTGTCTGCCCTACCTTTTCCCCCCAAGAAAAATTAAGCTGGACCTATAAAGATTACATATACATGAGCAAGAATCGCACTCGAACCGATTTGGATTGGAGTTATTCCAACCAAATCGGTCCGGTTCAAGTCGACCAAATTTGGGGACCACGATTTCGAGGTTGCATATTTGTGCTCGAGCTTTTGGAGGCCATGCTTCGTAAATCAGTTTGTTTGTTTGTTTGTTTGTTTTGTGCCTTTTTTTGGGGGGGGGAAGGGGGGGGTGTTTTTTGTGTCGTTAAGGACCAGGGTGTAGTTTTCCCCGTCATTTTTATGTTGATTTCTTGCATTGAATGGGCAAACAACGGGTCGACAAGAACAGAAGTCAATTTTACTCAAACCATCTTGACAGGAAAAAATACGTTTATACGAAGCCGTGCGAGTCAAACCGAACCGAGCTTAGCCATCTCTATGGTTGTGTGGTTGCGCATATTCTATTTCAAATTCTATCCTGTGTATTCCATAAGTATCAAGCCTAATGACATTGCGAGTGATCCAAATTGGTTGAGTGACTACAAGCTGAAGAAATGGCAGTTTGCTTTGCCTCCCCTCTCCTCCCCTCAGCAGAAATGGAGTTTCCAAGAGCTATCAGACGAGAAAAATGTGACAACGGGGGCAGAGGAAGTAGAGGGTGGGGGCACAAAGGAGGTGGTGGAGAGGGAGGAGGAGGTGGTGGTGGTTGCAGCGGAGGAGGAGGAAGGGGTGGAGGAGAGCGAGTTGCGGGATGTGGTGGCGCCTATGTTGGTGATTGGTGGGGGTGCTGGAGAGGGCAGGGGGGAGGAGTTGGCGGGGGCGGTGGTGGAAGCAGGGGTGGCAGCGGGCAAGGCAAGGCGGCGAGTGCGGTTTGAGGAGGGGGAGAAGGGGCTGCATGGGCTGGCAGCGCTGAGGCTGCGGCAGCACGTGCCCCCCCGCACACAGGCGGCAGCAGAGGACGGGTCGGTGGGGGGCAGCAGGGGGGCAGGGGCAGAGGCAGGCGTGGGGTGGGCGGGTGGCATGGCAAGCGATGGCGGCAGCAGCAGCAGTGCTGGCGGGCTGGCTGGTGGAGGGCTGCTTGGGCGACCTCCCCCGTTGGCGCGAGCCACAAGTGACTGCTCGTGGGAGATGCGGCGAGTTGCCTTATTGGGGGCACAGCACGGCACTCCGCGCGCATCGGCCGCTCACTCCCACCTCAAGTTCTCCGACGCACTCGACCAGCTCGAGCAGCAGCTGGGCCAGTCCAGCCCAACCAGAGAGGATGACGTCTCTCTCGCCAATGACTGGGAGGAGCAGCCAGACCAGGTGAGGCTGAGCACTATGCGTAGGCAACAAACCACTCACTCTCTCCTTAAGATTATTCGCCCCACCTTGCCCTTCAAAGATTTTGAATGGTACAGGTGAAAGCTGTAGTTTAGGGCTTGGTCGAACCGAACACGAGCCATTTTGACCAACGTGGTCCAGATTCGAACTCAACTATGCCCACTGCTTTCAGCTTATATGAACAAATGTAGAATGTTTGAGCAGACAGAATTGGGCAAGAATGAGTTAAAATCTCGACCACGTTGCTCAAAACGGCTCTGGTTCCGTTTGACCAAGCCTTCAATTACAGTTTTGAACACGTTCTATTTTCTTCTTCTTCGGATATTGTCTTTGCACGATATCGTGCAAGGGGTCGTGGAGGCAAGGAATTGGTAGGTATGGCCCAGTTGTGGCTGAAGTCTGCTAATCTAGTCGAATTCAACGGAATGGTTTACTCAAGCTGCAATCGGTTCGTGCCGAACTATAATTACTAGAATCAATCATCCGAATGGTTTTAGAACAACCCAGTTCGTGTCCAATAATGATGAGGTAACGCTGTTGCGTGGTTTGTGCTTATGCTGATCCAAGCCTTATCTCTTCTTTTGCTGAGTGACAACAAGTTAATGCATTCTTAGCTACCTTAACTTTGCCTCTCTTCCCCTTCCTGCAGCAGGAATGGAGTTCCCAAGGGCCACCAGCAGACGGAAAGCCGGCTGTGGAGGCAGAGGGAGTAGAGGGTGGGGGCACAGAGGAAGTGGTGCGGAGGAAGGAGGAGGAGGAGGAGGAAGGGGTGGTGGCAGTGGGGGAGGCGGAGGAAGGGGTGGAGGAGAGCGAGCTGCGGGATGTGGTGGCACCGATACCAGTGATTGGCGGCGGGGGGGAGTTGGCGGGGGCGGTGGCAGCAGCAGGGGTGGCAGCGGGCAAGGCAAGGCGGCGAGTGCGGTTTGAGGAGGGGGAGAAGGGGCTGCATGGGCTGGCAGCGCTGAGGCTGCGGCAGCACGTGGCCCCCCGCACACAGGCGGCAGCAGAGGACGGGTCGGTGGGGGGCAGCAGGGGGGCAGGGGCAGAGGCAGGCGTGGGGTGGGCGGGTGGCAGGGCAAGCGATGGCGGCAGCAGCAGCAGTGCTGGTGGGCTGGCTGGTGGAGGGCTGCTTGGGCGACCTCCCCCGTTGGCGCGAGCCACAAGTGACTGCTCGTGGGAGATGCGGCGAGTGGCCTTACTGGGGGCACAGCACGGCACTCCACGCGCATCGGCCGCTCACTCCCACCTCAAGTTCTCCGACGCACTCGACCAGCTCGAGCAGCAGCTGGGCCAGTCCAGCCCAACCAGAGAGGATGACGTCTCTCTCGCCAATGACTGGGAGGAGCAGCCAGACCAGGTGAGGGCTCACCACCGTACTCAAGCAACAAACTGGTTTCTCTCTCCCTAATGCTATCAGGCCAGGTGAGTGCGTACCATCATTTTGATGCAACAATTCAGTTACTCTTTCCTTCATCGTTGTCTGCCCTACCTTTTCCCCCCAAGAAAAATAAAGCTGGACCTGTAAAGATTACATATACATGAGCAAGAATCGCACTCGAACCGATTTGGATTGGAGTTATTCCAACCAAATCGGTCCGGTTCAAGTCGACCAAATTTGGGGACCACGATTTCGAGGTTGCATATTTGTGCTCGAGCTTTTGGAGGCCATGCTTCGTAAATCAGTTTGTTTGTTTGTTTGTTTTGTGCTTTTTTTTGGGGGGGGGGAGGGGGGGGTGTTTTTTGTGTCGTTAAGGACCAGGGTGTAGTTTTCCCCGTCATTTTTATGTTGATTTCTTGCATTGAATGGGCAAACAACGGGTCGACAAGAACAGAAGTCAATTTTACTCAAACCATCTTGACAGGAAAAAATACATTCATACGAAGCCGTGCGAGTCAAACCGAACCGAGCTTAGCCATCTCTATGGTTGTGTGGTTGCGCATATTCTATTTCAAATTCTATCCTGTGTATTCCATAAGTATCAAGCCTAATGACATTGCGAGTGATCCAAATTCGTTGAGTGACTACAAGCTGAAGAAATGGCAGTTTGCTTTGCCTCCCCTCTCTTCCCCTCAGCAGAAATGGAGTTTCCAAGAGCTATCAGACGAGAAAAATTTGACAACGGGGGCAGAGGAAGTAGAGGGTGGGGACACAAAGGAGGTGGTGGAGAGGGAGGAGGAGGTGGTGGTGGTTGCAGCGGAGGAGGAGGAAGGGGTGGAGGAGAGCGAGTTGCGGGATGTGGTGGCGCCTATGTTGGTGATTGGTGGGGGTGCTGGAGAGGGCAGGGGGGAGGAGTTGGCGGGGGCGGTGGTGGAAGCAGGGGTGGCAGCGGGCAAGGCAAGGCGGCGAGTGCGGTTTGAGGAGGGGGAGAAGGGGCTGCATGGGCTGGCAGCGCTGAGGCTGCGGCAGCACGTGCCCCCCCGCACACAGGCGGCAGCAGAGGACGGGTCGGTGGGGGGCAGCAGGGGGGCAGGGGCAGAGGCAGGCGTGGGGTGGGCGGGTGGCATGGCAAGCGATGGCGGCAGCAGCAGCAGTGCTGGCGGGCTGGCTGGTGGAGGGCTGCTTGGGCGACCTCCCCCGTTGGCGCGAGCCACAAGTGACTGCTCGTGGGAGATGCGGCGAGTGGCCTTACTGGGGGCACAGCACGGCACTCCGCGCGCATCGGCCGCTCACTCCCACCTCAAGTTCTCCGACGCACTCGACCAGCTCGAGCAGCAGCTGGGCCACTCCAGCCCAACCAGAGAGGATGACGTCTCTCTCGCCAATGACTGGGAGGAGCAGCCAGACCAGGTGAGGCTGAGCACTATGCGTAGGCAACAAACCACTCACTCTCTTCTTAAGATTATTCCCGCCACCTTTCTCTTCAAAGATTTTGAATGGTACATGGTGAAAACTGTAGTTGAAGGCTTGGTCGAACCGAACACGAGCCATTTTGACCAACGTGGTCCAGATTCGAACTCATCTATGCCCATTGTTTCTGCTCATATGAACAAGTGTAGAATGTTTGAGCAGAAAGAAATGAGCAAGAATGAGTTCAAATCTCGACCACGTTGGTCGAAACGGCTCAGGTTCTGTTTGACCAAGCCTTCAACTACAGTTTTGAACACGTATTTTCCTCTTCTTCTTCGGGTATTGTCTTTGCGCGATATCGTGTAAGGGGTCGTGGAGGCTAGGAATTGGTAGGTATGGCACAGTTGTGGCTGAAGTCTGCTAATCTAGTCGAACCCAACAGAACGGTTGACTCGAGCTGCAACCGGTTCGTGCCGAACTATTATTACTAGACTCAATCATTCGAACGGTTTTAGAACAAACCAGTTCGTGTCGAATAGCGATGAGGTAACGCTGTTGCGTAGTTTGTGCGTATGCTGATCCAAGCCTTATCTCTTCTTTTGCTGAGTGACAACAAGTTAATGCATTCTTAGCTACCTTAACTTTGCCTCTCTTCCCCTTCCTGCAGCAGGAATGGAGTTCCCAAGGGCCACCAGCAGAGGGAAAGCCGGCTGTGGAGGCAGAGGCAGTGGAGGGTGGGGGCAGGAGGAAGGGGTGGTGCGGAGAAGGGGCTGCATGGGCTGGCAGCGCTGAGGCTGCGGCAGCACGTGGCCCCCGCACACAGGCGGCAGCAGAGGACGGGTCGGTGGGGGGCAGCAGGGGGGCAGGGGCAGAGGCAGGCGTGGGGTGGGCGGGTGGCAGGGCAAGCGATGGCGGCAGCAGCAGCAGTGCTGGTGGGCTGGCTGGTGGAGGGCTGCTTGGGCGACCTCCCCCGTTGGCGCGAGCCACAAGTGACTGCTCGTGGGAGATGCGGCGAGTGGCCTTACTGGGGGCACAGCACGGCACTCCACGCGCATCGGCCGCTCACTCCCACCTCAAGTTCTCCGACGCACTCGACCAGCTCGAGCAGCAGCTGGGCCAGCCTAACCCTGCACACGAGCAGCAAGAGGAGCACACACACCACGACCTCACGGAGGACATGGTGTCTGAACTTCCTGAGGAATTGGGGCGCTTTGATTAAGTTATTTTTTTTCGCTTATTTATTCGGTGTGTAATTGTTTCTTGCACTGCTTGTCAAAGTTAGCTGTAGAAAGTAAGAATGAAGAAAGGAGAGGTTTGCACTAGCAACAATGGTGGTACAAATAGCTAACCCTAGAAGGGTTGTACTCGCTATAGAGCACCCCACTGCAGGCTAGAGCATAATATTCTGACACACCCCCATAGTCAAAGTGGGGTGTAATCAGCAGAGCAAGCAAAGTAGTACAAGCTCAGGGTGGATCACGATGTCACCACACATTCTGAGCACAAGCAAGAAGCAATAGTTTAAGGTTCACAATTATGAGCAAAGCTAGAGGCAGTCACAGGGGGCAAGTGAGGAGGAGGAGGGCTGGTGAGAGGAGAGTAGATAGGAGGCGACGACTGAAGATGCAGACACACGGGCAACAGACGGCTCTGGTGCGACAACGTGGCTACCGGGAATGAGTGCCCCGGAGTACAGGAGTAACAGGCTCCGCGGCTAATATGCGCGGCAGGAGCAACGGACCCACAGGCGACGGCGCAACCGGCTCTCTGAGCTACCGGGAATGAGTGCCCCGGAGTACAGGCGCTGCGTACGACACGACGGCAACCTCCGCTCAACCTCCCCCAACAGTCCCACACCCCTCGACACACACCCCCTGCTGCGCCCCTAGCTCCACTCCCCCTTCACCCCCCTAGGACCACTCCTTCGGCTCCCCACACAACCACCCCCCTGAGCGGCAGCTGCAGCAGCGGGAGACGGAGGAGGAGGAGAAGGAGGGGACGGGGCACACAACCGGCACCCCCACACCCGCCACCCCCACACTCTACATCCCCAAACCCTAAAACGGGTGGGATAGGGGCAGGAGCGCGGGGGACGGCGAGAGGGGGACGGACGAGGCGCGCGCAGGCTGCCCGCGCCGCGCGCTGGCCTGGCGCAGCCCGTACGGGCCGCGCGCGGGTCCCAGGGGCGCTTCGACGGGCGACGGGGGGCACTTCGACGGTGGGAAACCGCCGCGCGCCTCGGGGCGCACGGCGTGCAGAAAACCGCCGCGTGCCCCAACCGCCCGAGGCGCCCGGCAGGAAGTAAAGCAGCGGAAGCATTAGGTGGTGGGCCCACCCACAGGATCGACCCAGGAGGGTCGACCTGCTCTGATAGCATGTCAAAGTTAGCTGTAGAAAGTAAGAATGAAGAAAGGAGAGGTTTGCACTAGCAACAATGGTGGTACAAATAGCTAACCCTAGAAGGGTTGTACTCGCTATAGAGCACCCCACTGCAGGCTAGAGTATAATATTCTGACACTGCTCGTTACCCCCATTCTTTGTAGGACTTTTAGAAATATGCGACGAGTATGTTCCCCGCCCAAGCTCACGAGATGCTGGTCGGCAAATGTGTAGTTTCCTTGTAATATGGATGATTCCTAAGTGTAAGAAAATTATTAGCACAAAAAGCAGTTGTAACATTACACAATAGCTACACTATCATGCAGTATATGAAAATATTCTAAACATTTTATCTTATCTAACACTGTTAGTAACCCAAGTCAGCCAGTTTCAATTACTGTATTTGATTATACAGTGCTAAACTCCCCTTCCACATGTAGAGGCTGCGGAAAAACTAGTAATGAAGATTGAGCTTGTTTACTCGTTAAGCTGTAGCCCTGATGATTTGGCCCCATGTGGCCACGCACTGCATCAGGTGCCGCTTGCAACGAATTGGGAGAAACTTGAGCAACGGCACCGGGGGAAGCAAATACCATGTGAGGGCTAGTCGCAGCAGACGACGTGGATATTACCCTCGATGGCGGTGCAAGAGGCGGTGATTTGAATGGTCCAGTGGGCGATGCCCGTGGAGGCATGGCCTTCGGAGTGGTAACAACGGCCGGTCGTAGTAACAGCGGTCGCGGCGTGGAGGGGGCAGACAGCACCCTAGGAGAGAACCAGTCCTTCACCCACGCAGAGCCACTGCCAGGAGATGTGGGGCTCATGAGAGCTGGTGCCTGCCCTACACCAACAGACCCATCAGCCGCAGCAGCAGCCCTACCATATCTCATGCCATCCCTTGCGCCGTCTTTCACGCCATCCCTCATGCGCACTCCGTCCCTGGACGCCCCAACCTGTGCGGCACCTTCACCACCTCTCTCACCCTCACCACTCCTTGCTCCGCCCCTCTCTCCAGACCTCGGCAACCCCTCCCTTCCCTCGCGCGCCCCTCGCCCGCTGCTGCCTGTAGAAAACCCCCCTGCCTGCCAGCCCCCGCCCCCTCCATTCCTCGCCCCTGCAGTATTCACTTTATCTCCGTCCCTCTCGCTTGCGCTGCTGCTCACCCAACCGTTTCCGGAGCTCCTCGAGCCTGTGGTTCTGGGTCCCATAGCGTCCACTCTCGCCCCGTGCTCGCCCATCACAGCAGCGCCTGAGGGACGAGCCACCTGCAGGCGCAGCGACTTGAACTGGGCTAACCGCTGAGATCCTGCCTGCAACCTGCCGCTGCTGCCACTGCCGCTGCCGCTGCCGATGCCGCTTCCGTCCTCGCTGCCGTAACTGCTGCTCTCTCGCACGCTTGTCGAGCTCCTGCTGCGAGTCATCCCACCGTGCCATGATCTGCCACCACCCGCATCTGCACTAGCAACCTTCGCAGCACGGCCATCCCCATTGCCTCGGCCCGCCTCCTCTGCCACACCGGACGCCACAGCCACTGGCAGCAGCAGCCCACTGAATGCGCGTCTCCCCCCCCACTGCCCGCTCCCCTGCCCGCCCCCACCGCCGCCACCGCCGCCTCCACCGCCGCCGCTGCCGCCGCTGCCAGCGCCACCCCGCCTACCGACGCTGCTGGCCCTGCTCTCCTGCTCCGCGGCAGACGGCGCATTGATCCGATCCTGCGCTCCCATCTCGGACCTTTGCTGCTGCCGGTCAGCAATAAACGCATGGTTTCTTGCCACGCTGTTACTAGCGCTGGACATGGAGGAAGCAGAAACAGTAACAGAAGAAATGGTGGAAGAAGAAGAAGAGGTGGAGCTCGCGCCAATGAACTCCGCCATTTGGCTCGCCCAGTCGCTCGTAAAGGCGGCGGCGCTCTTCCCCTTGCCGCCAGCCGCGGCGTTTGCGCCGCTCAAATCTCCGCGAAGAGCGGGGAGCTCGAGTATCCGCTTGACCTTCCCTTCCGCCGGCTTTTCTCTCGGCGAGAGAAAGTCTACTAGCGACCAAGGCCCCGCTCCTTCTGAAAAGCTGCTGCTGCCGCCGCCGTCGCAGCAACTGCCTCCGCCTGCTGCTCCCCCGCCTCCGTCGCCGCCGTTACCGCCGGTGGTGCCGTCGTAGCCTGCTAGGAACGTGGCTAGCCTGCGATCCGCCGCCGCGCGAACGTCGCTGTTCCGCGAAAGGCGGGGGCGGGGCAGCGCCGTGAGCGCGCGGACGAGCTTCCGCGACGAGGCGGAGAGCAGGCCGCGCGGAGAGATGAGGGGCGCGGCGGAAACTTGCGTGGAAACGGACGCGGAGGGACCTGCCGCGGAACCCACTGTGGGCGCGGCGTCGGCAATGCGACCGACGCTGCTCCGCGTGCGACGAAGCGAGGCGGCCGTATCAGTAGTATCCGGAAACGACTCCGCTGCGCTCCCAGTGGGAGTAACTGCGGAGAAAGAGGTTATGTCACTACTGCGATTAGTAATGTCAGTGCTTCTTGCAGCCGCCGCAGCGTGGTCGGTCGGACTGACCGTGCCGGCCGCTTCAGAAGCCACAAGCAGAGGCGAGGTCGCCGTTGAACTGCTGGTGGCGATTTCGCCGCCTCCTGACGGCATAGACGACGCTCGAAACAACCGCGACGCTGCGGCCGCCGCCGCGAACCACGAGTGGTTGGACGCGGCACCGGCGCCTCGCGCCTCGTCTTCCGCGACGCGTTGCGGATCTGCCGCCGTGGAAGAGGGTTTGCGGGACGGAACGGGCGCAAAACAGCCCACAGCGGCGGTTGGAAGAATTATCGCGCGCATGACGTCATCCGATGCGTCATCTGCCTCCCATACCGAGTCGGCACGCGCAGATCTAACGTCGACTGGGAGTTCATGATGCCGCGTCGCCTTGCTTATCCTCGGATCTTGGGTCGGCGCTTCGCGGCGCCCCATAGCGCCGGAGGCGGAACGTGAATGGTCTGAGCGAGACTCGGTAATCCATTCAAATCGCAAGGAGCTTGAGGAGGATTCCGCAAAGGTGGCCGACGCAGCGCGCGCGAGAGCCGCAGGGCGGAACAACGCGTACGTCCCGCCCGGCTGCAAAAATTGTTCTCGCGGAAGGGGCGCAGGAACGGCCGGCTCTTGCGGAGGTTTGGGAGCGGAGGCGGCGGGGAAAAGGAGTCCCGCGGATGTTCCTGCAGCTAGGGATCCGCCGCTACTTCTTGCGGTAGCCGCAGCTGCCGCGACTCGCGGTGGGAAGACATCAATGGCGGCAGGTTTGGGGGAATGGCTGTCTGTTGCAGATGCAGAGCGAGTCGCCGCTGCGGCAGGATCCACGGCGCTATTTTTTGGAAGTGGATGGTTGAGCGACGCGAGAGAATGGCAGGGGAAGCCCCTCAAAACGTCGGCAACCTGCAGCAGCGGCTCGTGATACAAACGAATAGAGCCATCCGGAAGGAGGACTATGACGGGATTGGTCGGCTCTGCAGCTGGCATGCCTGCGGCTGATAATGGAGGCTGTACGAGGGCGGTAATTTTTGCAGGTAAGTGGATTTAGTTCCCGAGGCGAGACAAACACATGTGGATCTTGAACGTGAGGGATGGGTTAGACTAAAATCACTCACCAAGTCTCTTCAGCCTGTGACAGTGAAGCTGTGAGAACTGGTTTCGCGAGAAGCTGTGTGTTTTTCTAGTAACGGGCAAGCAAACAAGGAGCTGACAAACGACTTACGGTTCCTGCTGTGATTTGATCAGTTCCACAGCACAGTATTGTACACTTTTGTACAGCGCAAAGACAGGAGAAAGCCTCCTCAGTTGGATTTGGAGGTGTTCATTACACTGTACCCCACGAAATACGTCTCACCTCACATCTGTACGTTCGCTGCCCAGTGCCTTGTCCACAGCACCTTTTCCGGTCGTGTTGTCCGTTCTTCACGGCGCGCCACGACGATCTTTGACCAGGCAAGTGACATTGGGCAGTGGGCAGACGTTCTTGTAGAGTTGACAACAATGACAAATCTCGAAAGTCTTCGTGGCTGGATGTGAGGGCATGCACTGAGCGTGGCTTTTGCACTCCGTTTTGAACTTCCCGTTCGCTAACAGGACACTTTGTCTGAACACTAACGGTACAGATGCCTTGTGAAAACTCGCAGGGCAGTGGAAATTGTCCAGGGTATATGCAGGCAGACGGAAACTACAGTATCTGTTTGGTTTGGGCTCAGGTGAATATGTTGACCTTGCTTGCCTCTGATGTCTTTGCCGCGTCAAACTTCTGCTGTGGTTGGAACTGAACTACTGTACTGTATCTGTTGGGCGCGTTTTCCAGACCATGCGTGCAGCTTGATATTTAGCAAGCGTAATACGCGCTATGGCGTGCTCTTTATCTAGTTTGCACGCTCATTTCTGCGTCCTAACATGTTCAAATTAGCCCACTGTTCGAGCGGGAATACAGTACATTTTGAAAGAAGATCGCTGGACCCCGAAATCGATTGTTGAGTCGCGTCGCGCATCGCACATCCTTCTGATCTGACACACCGCATCAAGCCATGAGTTGTGCTTGTTTTTGCAGGCATCGAAACGACGACACGACACGCTGGAATGGCACCTTGTCTCAGCCCCTCCCCCTTCCCTCGCCCACCCACAACAACCGTCTGTCAAAAGCAACAGCTCTTTTTCGGCACGGCGGGAGAACAGCCGCACCTTTCATTTCACCCCGCAGATGTCATTGTGCCTTTGGCGCTGCGTAAACAGTCATGCCGCCTTCTAAACGCCGGGAGTGCTTAGGATTACTGTGTACTGAGGCCTCGCAGCTTCCTCGCTTTCACGAGTTTGCGTCACATGTAGGAAATGCCTCCATCCAGCCAATGTTCGAATGCTCCACACCACAATCGCCACAACTTCCAGTGGTACTTACCTGCTGAAGGTCCATGGTGTGTAACCGGAAAGATAAGAGGCAAGGACGACGGGATGCCATGACCATATCTGGAACCAACGTTCTAACTAGCGCATCTCCGACCAACGCTCGCGTACGACGATCTTGTCCCCCACCGTTGTACGGCGACGCAGACTCGGAAGCGCGCTAATCCGCGCCTGCCACGTAGCGCCGCCCTGGTCTCGCTCGTTCTATCGCTCTCGCCGAGAGAGAGCCGCGGCACCGCCATCCACTCCCACTTTGCCACTGGCTCTCCTCTTGAGAGCTAGATAATAAGGACACAGGTTTTCCCTGATACTCTTCCTTTCGGTTACTCCCTGGCACCATGAGTGCGAAGAACAGAGAGGCCCGTATACAGCAGCGTTATCTAGCACGCGACCGCACCGCCGCCGTTCGCGGAGTCCTCTTTAGATATCCCAAATCCGCCGCCACCATGTCCGTTGTGCTTCTATGCCTCCTCCTCGCACAAGCGCCACACGCTCAGTCGCACTCGCCGCAGTCTCTCGCGACCCGCCATGAAGAAGGTACGCGCGCCGCACGCACACGCAAACGCGACGCATGCGCACGCGTTTCGGTTGACGCTCAGACCTTAAAGGCCAGTTCCTTCGACAAGCTGCCGGCGATCCGCTTGCTCCTCAACAGTTCGCCCCCTTTTTGTTTTCTCGACGCTCTCGAAGTCCATCAATGCAGCAGCTCGTACCGCCATCAGTCCATCATTCTCATCCGAGCTGCTTTTACCCCTCCCTTCCGAATGAAAAGAAAAGAAGAAGACATTTCTCAAGGGTGGAAGTCACTCCTTCTGAGAGGCTACAGCCTTTTCAGTTCCGCCTCTCCGCTCCATTTCCCGCCCCTCCTATCCCCCAATGACAGATTCTGCCCCGGACATCTCCGCTTCTCCAAAAAAATCCGCATACGCTTCTTTCTTCCCCCGCTCGCTCCGCCGACTGACCGCGCTGGGCCTTGTGCAGTGGTGGCTGCGCCGACATTCCCGCGTACCGGACGCGTCCGCGTACCGTCAGCCGCGCATGCCCTGTAAGCGAAAGGGACAGGGACTTGCGTGACGTGCGGGCCTCCGCATTACTCTTTTGTCCCGCATTTCCTTTACTCCTCCTCTTCCCGTTCTCCCCGCGCGTGACCATTTTCCACGCCTTCCGCTTTTCCCCTCCCCCCTGTCCCCTCCGTTCTCCGTACCCACGCGCAGACGGCCGCACTCTCGGCCTTCCCCCGCCACGCGCGCACCTAATGTCGGCGCAACCCGCGTTCAACCCCGTGTCGCGGTACCTGTCGCTGGGGCTGTCGTTTTCGCCCGAAACGGGCAAGCCCGTGTGGGAGTTCCCTCCCGTCGCGTCGTTCGTGAACAAGTTCGGTCCCGTCGGGGACCAGGGCCAATGCAGTGAGTGCAAAATAGAGAGTAAAGAGTAGAGGGTAGAGGGTAGAGGGTAGAGGGTAGAGGGTAGAGGGTAGAGGGTAGAGGGTAGAGGGTAGAGGGTAGAGGGTAGAGGGTAGAGGGTAGAGGGTAGAGGGTAGAGGGTAGAGGGTAGAGGGTAGAGGGTAGTGGATGTGTTGCGCGGCGCAACACCGCTACATGTAGACACCCCGTGCCACATACCATGGCAGTAACTTCTCTTCCGTCACCCTCATTCCACCCTCGACTACCCACCCTCAATCCCATTCTTGTCTCCGTACGCGTTCTGAGCTATTTCCTGCTCACGCGCGAATACAGCTGGCGCCGTGGATGGCGCAATCACCCGCCGTTCCGCTGCCTGATCCCCACCAGCACCCACCATCTCCCCCCCTCCCTCGCCCAGGCGCGTGCTGGGCGTTCGCCGCGGCGGGCGCCGTGGAAGGCGCGTACTACGCGCTGTCGTCGCAGCTGCCGCCCAACTCGTCGCTGTCGTCGCAGCAGCTGGTGGACTGCGCCGTGGGGTCGTGCATGGGCGGGTACCCCGAGGACGCGCTGCAGTACGCGACGGCCAACGCGCTCGCGTATGCGACATCGTACGCGTACCGTGCGACGAAGGCGACGTGCAATGCGACGGGAGTGCAGCAGCACGTGGGGACGCAGGTCCCGACTACAAATGTGGTAGGGATGGGTGCGGGGTGGGGCTTTGGTGGTGGTGATTAAAAAGGGATTGAGAGGCGTCACGCTGACCGCACGCTGACATCACGCTGACATCACGCTGGGCTGTACTTATGCTGCCTTGCACGTCATCAGTGTGATTATGATGACACCACTCTGCATTCGCTGCCAGTTATGCCATGCTCCACTCATGTTATGCACTGTCCGTGCGGTACTCTGCGGTGCGATGAGGTGCTTTGCCACGCGCACTCCCAATGCTTCCACCACTCAGCTCGCTCCGCCGCCTTCAAACCACCTCCCCCTTTCCCTTTTCATTTCCCCATCCCCTTCCCCTTCTCATTCCCCTTCCCATCCCCCTTTCCCCTCCCCCTCCCCAATCGTCGCAATCGTCACCGCCACCGCAATCGTCGCGTCCTCTGCCAGGCGTTCAACACGAGCACGGTGCCATCGGCGCTGCGCATCCAGCTGTACGAGCAGGTGCCGCTGCCCGGCGCGCTGGGGCTCATTCTCGCCGTGCAGAAGCAGCCCGTTATAGTCACGCTGCACGGCTCGCACCCCTCGTTCGCCATGTACACGGTGAGGCGAACGAGGCGAACGAAGAGACCTGCTGCTGCTGTCTCTTAGAGTGTGATGTGATGAGACGACTTTCGGGTTGTTGCCTGGTGAGTCCGAGTCGAAAAGCGTCTCATCACATCGCACACTGAGGGAGCTGCCTGATGCGCATCTCGCACTGAGGGGGGCTCGTTGGGAAGGAAGGGATGGGGTTGGTTGTGAGGGTGCGGGGCCAGGCGGGAACGGTGGACTGCGGTGGTAGGCGGTGTGGGGTATGGTGTGCTTGTGAATCTAATGCGTCAAATATCCTCATTCCGGACTTGGTTCTGATTATCTGGCTGTGCATTCTCCCCCCAGCCTGCCCTTCTCACGCATCGTCTTCATACCCATTCCACGCTCGTCCATTGCTCCTCCCCCGACCCTCTGCCTGTCCTAACCTCCACTCTTCCCCCCCTCCCCGCCCCTCCCCGTCCCCCAGGGCGGGCTATACGCAGACGAGACGTGCTTCAACCCAGCAAGCCCAGTACTAGACCGCGCGGTGCTCGTGGTGGGGTACCGCTTCACGGCGCTTTTTGAGTCAACTAAAGAACCGCCCCTCCCCACCCCTCCCAACCCCTCCCCACCCCTCCTCGCCCATCACCCTCCCTCCCTACCCGCAGGGCGGGCTGTATGCAGACGAGACGTGCTTCAACCCGGCGAGCCCAGTGCTAGACCACGCAGTTCTCGTGGTGGGGTACCACTTCACGGCGCCTTTCAAGTCAACTAAAAGAACCGCCCCTCTCCACCCGTCCCCGCCCCACAGGGCGGGCTGTACGCAGACGAGACGTGCTTCAACCTAGCAAGCCCAGTGCTAGACCACGCGGTGCTCGTGGTGGGGTACCGCTTCACGGCGCCGGGCGCCAGTGACAACCACTTTGTGCTGCGCAACAGCTGGGCCTATGCTGCCCGGACCGCACAGTGCTGGGCTAGGGGTACCGCTGCACGGTGCACTTTCAGCCTGCTAGAAGAACCACCCCTTCCCTCCCCATCTTGCCCACCCCCCACCCCTCCCCACCCCTCCCCTTCCCCTCCTACAGGGCGGGCTGTACGCAGACGAGACGTGCTTCAACCCGGCAACCCCAGTGCTGGACCACGCGGTGCTCGTGGTGGGGTACCGCTTCACGGCGCCGGGCGCCAGTGACAACCACTTTGTGCTGCGCAACAGCTGGGCCTATGCTGCCCGGACCGCACAGTGCTGGGCTAGGGGTACCGCTGCACGGTGCACTTTCAGCCTGCTAGAAGAACCACCCCTTCCCTCCCCATCTTGCCCACCCCCCACCCCTCCCCACCCCTCCCCTTCCCCTCCTACAGGGCGGGCTGTACGCAGACGAGACGTGCTTCAACCCGGCAACCCCAGTGCTGGACCACGCGGTGCTCGTGGTGGGGTACCGCTTCACGGCGCCGGGCGCCAGTGACAACCACTTTGTGCTGCGCAACAGCTGGGGGCGCGCGTGGGGCGAGGACGGGTACATGCGCGTGGCGGTCAGCAGTGCGCAGTACGGCGGCATCTGTGGGATCATGTACAACCTCGGCGTCTACCCCGTGCTCGACCGTGCGTGCCTCTTGGGTGCCTCTTGGGTGCCTCTTGGGTGCCTCTTGGGTGCCTCTTGGGCGCCCTTGCTGTGGTACTGTTGCGGTCTTGTGGGCCAATTGCTCTGCTCATTGGAATCAACTTGAAACGTAACCTGGGCATGTACCCACCTCGCCTTCACTTCCCCCCTCTCCCTCCCTGCTCTTCTCTCCGCTCCCCTCTCTCCCAACGGTGCAGCCCAGAAGCAGGCTAACCCATGCACGTCATGTGGAGGGGGTGGGTGTAGAACCACTCGCATTCTCGCGCATGGCACATCCACCCCCACGACCACCACCACCACCATCGCCACCACATACTCTTCCTCTTCCTCCTCTTCCTCCTCTGCCCCATCTCGCCGTCTCCGTCGCTCCAACCTGGAAATCGCACGCACGAGGTTGCAGCGGGTGGCACAAGAAGGGCCAGGGGACAGCAGGCGGCAACTGGTTTCCAGTGACAGCAATCCTGGTAGAGGTCAGCGGAAGCAGCACCAGCAGCAACAGCAGCAACGACAGCAGCAGCAGAGCCGCCAGTGGCACAAGGGAGCGAGCAAGAAAGGCGCCGCCACACGAGCAAGCCCGAAGAAAGCGGGCAGTGAGGCTGGCGTTACAGACAGTGGTGGAGGGGCGATAGAGAAGAGCATTAAATTGGCTGCATTGGGGACGCGCGGCAGCAGCAGCAGCAGCAGCAGCAGCAGCAGCAGCAGATCGCTGATGGCAGCAGCCCGAGCTATCTTCGCCGCTGTGAAGAGCAGCAAGGCGTTTGAGAAACTCCGAGGAGCAGCTGCTGCAGCAGCAGCAGCAGCAGCAGCACGCTCCTCCAAGGCACCTGCTCGTGGCAGCAGCACAGAGAGCACTGACAGCAGTGCTCGTGTAAAGCTGCCCTCCGCCCCTTCATGGCCCTCCTCTTCCGCCTCCGCCTCCTCCTCCTCCGCCTCTTCATCCTTATTCTCCTCCAACCAGCCACCACCCAGCCCGCTCTTAAAGCTTGTGAACCCATCCGCTACATACTATCTCGGGCCAACTCCCCCGCCTCCTCAGTCCCCGCCACCCCCTCCGTCCCCGCCTCCCCCCATCAGAACCCCACCTGACAGCATGCCGTGCCCGCCCGTCCCCCCTCCCCCGCCGTCGTATGGAGATTACAGGTGCCTGTGCGGGCCGGGGCTGAGCCTGGCCATCAGCAAGGACGGCAGCCAGGCGTGCGTTATGGGTGAGTTTTGAGGCGCAAGCCTCAAAGGATGGCTTGCGGCTTGTGTTATGGGTGAGCTTGAGGCGCCTTGAAGGATGGCGGCAAGGTTTGTGTTACGTGTGAGCTGTTGGGGTGGGGGGCGTGGGGGGGAAGGGGTGGTGGGAAAGAAAGTGAAGTTGTGTTGGGAGAGAGAGGGAGAGAAGTGGTGTGGGGGGAGGTTGTGGAGTTGAATGGAGAGAAACATAGGAACTCGAGCAGTGTGGTGGTTGAAGAGTGTTGTCCAGTACAGGTGGTTTGATCGAAGGCAACAACATATTCACACTCCTTGCATTCTTCCATTCCCTAATCCCTCCCTGCCCTCACCCCCTGGCCATCCCTCCCCTCACCCCCCCCCCTCCTTCAGAGGACGCATGTGCAGCGTTCACGAGCAACCCGTGCGGGGCGGGCGCGTGTGTGAACGATGGGGAGGGGGGGTACTCGTGTGTGTGTCCGCCCAACTACATGCGCAGCATGCTCAGCTCCGGCGCCCCCACCTGCGTGCCCCGTGAGTCTTCTTCCCATTCCACCCTTGCCTCGCCTTGCGCACCACCAGCTTGCCTTGCGCACCACCAGCTTGCCTTGCGCACCACCAGCTTGCATTGCGCACCACACTGCTCCGCACAGCGCCACAAGAAACGGCACCACACCGTACCACGCCACGCCACAGCATCAAGCCTTCAGCCTACCCTGGAACACTCAGCTACTGCGTGCTGTGCTGCTACTGGTCTAGGTCTTCCCGCCTGACCCTTCCCCACCCCATCATTCTGGTCGTCCCCTCCCTTTATTCCCTCCGAACCACGTGACTGTTGAGTCGACTCAAAACTCGCCCCCCCTCCCTTAACCCCCCGCTCACCCACGCTCTTCCTCTCCGTCACACTCGCACCCGCGTCTGTCACCGTGCAGGCATGGCGGGCAAGAGCAGCACGTACCAGGTGGTGGGGGGCGAGACGTGCTACGACATCTACCTGTTCTTCGGCCTCTCACAGGACAGCTTCCTGGAGCAGAACGCCGTGAGTGTCCATGCTGCCACCGCCGCCGCCACTGCTGCTGCTGCTGCTGCTGCTGCTGCTGCCGCCGCTGCTGCTGCCACTGCTATACCTCTGGTTTCCCTCCATCTATTTTTCTCGTCCTGTGCGTTTAAGACAGTTCCCCGTCGCGTCATGCGCTTGTGTCTCTCTCCTTGCTCCGTATGGCAGGGCATAGACTGTGACAACCTGCAGGAGGGCATGGTGCTGTCTGTGCGCCCAGACGACGACCAGGAGAGCTGCCGCACCAGATACCCCATCTCACTGGTACCTGCCCCGTCTCACTGGTACCTGCCCCATCTCACTGGTACCTGCCCCGTCTCACTGGTACCTGCCCCATCTCACTGGTACCTGCCCCGTCTCACTGGTACCTGCCCCATCTCACTGGTACCTGCCCCGTCTCACTGGTACCCGCCCCATCTCACTGGTACCCGCCCCTTTTCACAATTAGCTTCTCACATAGATCCTTCACTTTCTCTTCACACCCACCTCCTCCTTCCCCTCCCAGTCACCTCTTTCATCCTTCCATCCCCTCTCCCCGGACAAATCTCTTCTCCCTTTCCCGAATCACCTGGCTTTCCACACTCCTCCCAGCAACCACTTCCCTTCCTTTCCCTCAGTTTCCCACCCCAACCCCAGCCAAGAACCCCGCTTGTCAATGCCTCAGACGCCCCCCCTCCTCCCCTCCTCCTGCCGTGTCAACCCCTCAGGTGGACAGCCTGGCATCGGACTGTTCAGCCATAGAGGACCGCTTTGGCGTGGACGTGGCTGCACTAAACCCCGGCCTCGACTGCTCTCACCTCGTGCCGGGCCACCAGGTGACCCACCCACCTCAAGGTTTTGGGGTTTCTTCTCAGGGTTTAAGGTTTACAGTTTGGAGTGCCAGGCTTTAGGATTTCCTTGCCTGCCCTTCCTCCCCATGCACGCGTTCCTGCCTCGCATACCTCACCCACCAACACTCTGATTAAGGCCCTCCCCTCTCCTGGCACGTGTGTCTGTTGCGTGAGGAAGAGCATGGCTGGCGCGGAGGGTATGCTCCTTTAGAGAGAATATCCCTCGGCAGGCGCGTGTGGAAGAGCAGAGCAGGGCAGGGGTGCGTGTATATGCTATGTCTGATTGAGCATCGTCCAATACTCCCTCCCAGCAGGTGTGTGTGGAGCGCGGGAAGAGCATGGCGGGCATGGAGCAGCAGCACCGCATGTGCACCAAGTACCGACGTTGGGGACAGAGCGGGGCGGGGGAAGGGCACGGCAGGTGTGTGTATGTATGTATGCTATGTCTGATTGAGCATTGTCCAATCCTCTCTCCCCCCAGGTGTGTGTGGAGCGCGGGAAGAGCATGGCGGGCATGGAGGAGCACCGCATGTGCACCAAGTACCAGCGCGTGGACGTGGGGGACACGTGCGAGAGCCTCATCGACAGCAACGGCCTCTCGTGGCTCTCGCTCTACCGCCTCAACCCGGGCCTGCTGTGTGATAACCTCAACGGGCTCATTGACCAAGAGGTGTGTAGCCTGTTTCTGAGTCAATTCAAGAAACAACCAGGCGTGAATAACCTGAATGGGCTCAAAGACCAAGAGGTGTGTAAGAAGAGGAGGGAGAGCATGGGAAGTGAGTTGAGAGAGCAAGAGAATGATACTCATTTGTGCAGTTTCCAAAAGGCATCTGCGTCCACTCAAAATCTTGCACCTTGCCTGGTGCACCTGACCTCTCTTTTCTCGAGTTGATAATCCCCAATGGGCTTATCGACCAAGATGTGCGTAGGCAGAGGAGGGAGAGCATGGGAGTAGGTGGGAAGGGAGGTGGGAGAGGAGGAGGGACTAGGAGGGAAGAGAGGTGGGGGTAGCAAGGCGGTCCACGGGGTGAACGCGTTATAACCCAACTGAGAAATTGCTGTCTATCTCGCCTGCTTTCCCTCTCCCCACCGTCTCGCACCCCCTTGGCAGATCTGTGTGGCAGGGCACCCAGTGGGCGTGGTGGTGTGTGGGAAGCCAGTGCAGGGGGTGAAGAACCGCAAGTACACGGTGAATGCAGGCGACAGCTGTGCGTCGCTGGTGGTGGTGCAGTTCCAGCGCACGCCCAGCCTCATGCCGCTGCTCAACCGCGGGTGGATGTGCCGGCAGCAGTCGCTCTTCAAAGGCATGCCAATCTGCATCCCCTCCTGAAGGGCATGATGCCGTTTGTAGCAAGGAGGAAGAGGAGAGGAGGGGGTGGAGATGGGTGCTTCTTGCAGAGCACGCGCAGAGGTATGTGGGAGAGGAAAACAAGGAATCTGTGTGTTTGCTTCGAAGACAAGCTAACGTGAGCTGCGCATGCGTGAGGTTTTGACACTGCAGTACAGGCTGGAGAATAAGCTAACGTGGAAGCATGCATCTTGCTGTTCCACATAGAAGATGGTGCACCTCTTGGTGCCCTAAGTATGCCTTTCTCCTGTGTCGCGGTGATGATATTTATATGGCCACACACAGTGATGATTTTGGCCAATACGCAACAGAATACCTCTTAAGTCTTTATTTTGTGTCGCCAGGTGATAAATGTTGTTCAAAGGTGATGTCAATACCCAGGCCCTACAGTGTATAAGGGCGTATTCCTATGGCCTCATATCAAGCCACCTCCTATCAAGATTGTACCTTTTGTCTGGTAAAAGTAGCGAGAGGTTTAGGGTTTAGGGGAATTTTCAGTGTGATTGATAGGTCAGATTGATAAGAGGATAGGAATACGCCCTAATGGTTGCCTTTCCTACAGAAGCATTGCATAGGTGCCAAAGTTGGGAAATCTATTCAATTTGAGGGAAATATGGAATATTCAAGTCTTAGGGCACATTCCTACCTCGTGTCTGACATCAGGTCATCCGTCCTTAGAAGCTCGGAAGACCCGAAGTGGTTCAAAATAGGGGCAAATCAACATTGAGAAGAGACAAATCAGAGACTAAGGGCGGATGACCTGATGTCAGACCCACCATAGGAATGCGCCCTTACAAGAATAGTTACATTCGCAATGTTGAGGACGTGTCTCAAATGTGCGGGTCCGACGCGGATCTGGCGGACCAGCTCGAGAACCCAGCCAAAACCACCGGCGGACTGGACCGAGGTTAACCTCGATTTAACTTTCAACTGGCATACAGTGCAACGGTGCCATTGAACTGATCGCCAGACCAGCCCGCGCCTGGTCCGCAACTGTAGCAGCTCACACAGCTGTTTGCGAAAATTTTCGCCACTCGTGAATTTCGCTTTAGGTTGGGAAATTTTACGGGGCAAAAATAGAGGTAACTCAATTTCAACATGTCTGAATTTCGTAGATGCTGTTTTTTATTCGCAAGTATTGCACATCCCGTGGCGCGATGTCTCACGTAGACCAGCTCGTGCCTGGTCCACGGCTGGTCCGCGAAGTAGGTCCGTCGGACCAGAATCACGGACCAGGCATGCATTTTTTTTGCAGCGGACCAGCTCGAGGTGGACCAGTCACATGAGGGCGTATTCCTGACTTCGGGTCATCCCATCTTCGTGTCATCCTAATTTGTGGGATCCAATTGCAAAACTCTAATCTCAAACCGCGGGGTTTCCGATTGGCTACCACAATTTTCGGATGACCCAAACACCGGATGACCCTAAGTCAGGAATACGCCCTGAGACACCTTCTGAGTGATGATGCAGTCTGTTCGCGAAAAGCCTGTCAATGCCAGTTCAGCGCACCCGTCTTTTTTAGGAATACTTGCCCATTTCCTTTCACCTTCCTTCTGCCCGAAATTATGCCTAGCACAAGAGTGACAGCACGAGCCAAATGCCATGAATTTCATACACGTACACGGCACGTGGTGCTCAATACGAACTCATAGATTCTTTTGACCAGCCAATCAAAAGAGGGGTATGTACCAGTTTACTTCGGCTCGATTATGCCCGACAGGATCTGATTGAATTTTACTACGCCTCGAGACAGCCCGGAAAACACGATTCGCCTAATACATTCTTGGCAGAGCGAGGCGCGACTGATTTTGCAGAAGCGGCTCGGAGCAGCGACACGCAGCACCCACCACTACTTTTACTCCTCACCTTCCACACCTCATTATGCTTTTTTGCATCTCTTTCAAAAGCTCTGAATTCCTCTAATCCACTTTCAGCCTTCTCCCCTTCAACCCCAATCTAAACCTCGTCTCGCCCAACAAAATTCCCTGTTCCTACGAGTTCGTCCCTCACTGCGCAGCACGCTTGCAGTGGTCAGATGACAGTCGCTTCGCTCATTGCGAGACTCGAAACACACAAAAAGCGACTGCGCAGAGCACGAACAGAACAAGCTCCTCATTGCAGAAAGACCATGCACAAGCTCAGATTGACCGAATTAATTCTCGCATCGTGGCGGGCACACGAGCACCCAAGCAGTACACTTTCCATGAACCATCCAATCGCATTCAGATCAGACCTACGCTGCACTGTAGTAGACCACACCGTGCTTCCACCATGGTATGGGAACCTCTGGTGGAATAGACCGATTGTCCTCGGCTGACTTTTCTCGTTGCTTGCACGCAAATATGTCACCATCCCTATCACCTCAGTCTTCAATGTCATACATCACCCATCCCTGCGAAGTCAATGCAGAGAGCTAGTACCGCTACCCGCGTAACGCCTGCAAGGTCTAGGGCGGAACATCAACACTTGCCACTACGGTCGAAATCCCTCCTGGGCTAGCTCTGGATACAATAAGAATCCATTCTCTGCTTCTTGCCGCGTGTAGCTCACTTCAATATCCGTCCGTCGCACAGCTCGTGCGCTTACATGAGAAGCATCTCCTTGTCGCGCATATCCTTGTCTCTCATATCCTTGCCGCTCTCACAGGTGGATACCGCGACCTTCGCATTACGACTAGTTGGTGTGACGAGACTTGTGGCGCCTCGGGAACCGTGTTAGTTTGACTTCTACCGTGGGAATAGTATATGCCAGGCTTGTTGTAATCTCCTCCTTATTCCCCGCACGGCAAGCCCCCTCCTTCGACGCTGCCGCAACGCTTCGCTTCTCTCACGCGCCCGCGGCGAGCCGTTCACATCCCAGAACTCACAACGACAAAAACTAATAAAGGAGACGCAAGGAAGGCTCGCGAAAGGGCTGATAATCGTGGCCTCCTAGTTGTGTGGAATTCAGCAGTATGAGGACTTTACCTTTCCAGCAGCAGCAACAGCAGCAGCAGCAGCAATACCAGCATCAGCCAACCCTCGGGGCCAGCAGCGGCACCAACTCGCTGCCAACTGCAGCTACCCTCGCCGTCCACCACAGGTTCACTTACTCCCGCCGTCCCTCGCAACAACAACCCTGCTCCCTCCCCTTCTATCACCAGCACTCCTTCCTCCTCCTCCTTCTCCTTGTCTTCGCATCCCCCTCACTCCATCTCTTCACCTCCACGGCACCGGTCTGCCACGCCACTCGCATCGTCAGTAGCCCTACCACCACCACGTTAGGAAACGTTTCTTCCCATCTGCTTCCACTTGCGAGCGCCACCGGCTCCGGCAGCGGCGGCGGCGGCGGCGGCGGCGGCGGCGATGGCGGCGGTGGGCGGCGACAGCTGGGCGTGTGCAAGTACGAGGAGGGGCGGTGGGAGCCGCAGCCGAAGGCGGAGATGCGGTACCACTCCAACTACTGCCCGCTGCTGCGGGTAAGTCGCGCGCACGCGCGTTGTAAATGGGAGAGGTGGGAAGGTTTGTCGGCGAAGGAGAGGGTGGGCAATGCAAATCACATGGCGGAACGCGAAGGGGTGGGTGAGTGGCTGACTGGATGACTGGATGAGTGGACGGGTGTGGATGGGTGTGGACGGGTGTGGATGGGTGTGGATGGGTGGCTGGGAGAATGTTATCCTAGGCTGCATTGCTGCGCAAGTCGCGAGGGGGCTGACGCTTATTCCTGCCTGCCATCTCCCCGCACCTTGCGCCCGTGATGCCGTGCCCAAAGCGCCCTGTTTCTCCCCCCTTTGGCGCGCTGATGACGTTTGTTGCTGCGTGCCATGTGCGAATCTCGCCTTGTTTTTCGCCTTTGGCGCTCTTCCCGCGTCCGTCGTTGCTCGTCCCTCCCCCTGTGCGCAGACGGTGGGGGCTGTCAACTGCCTCAACCCGAAAAGACCGAGAAGCCCTAAGTACCTGGTGCGCCCATCCCCCTTGTTGCGCATTCACTATTATTGCGCATTCTTGCGCATTCTCTCTGCCCGTTCCCCTACCGCACATTCCCCTGATGTCCATTCTCTTCGCCGTCCTATCCCCCAGCCGCCGATTCTTCGCGTCACCCATCCCCTCTTTGCCCTGCTCCCCCGCACCCCCCCCCCTCCGGTCTCCCCCGTTCCCCCTGTGCAGCGGTACAAGTGGGTGCCGCCCACGTGCGGAGCGACCTTCGGGTTCAACGCGCGGGAGTTTCTGAACAGAATGCGCAACAAGTGAGACCGGAGGGGGGCGTGCGGCGGAGGGGTGTGAGAACGGAGGGGTTTGTGAAGCGGAAGACCGGGTTGTGAGGAGGAAAGAGTGTGAGAAGAAGGAGGGGTTGTGAGAACGAAGGAGTGACGAGAAATTTTATTTATGATGTCTCAGGATCTCTCTTCCTGCTTCTCTCCCGCGTCAGGTCACCCTCATCCTCATCCGCTCCGGTTCCCCTTTGTTTTTCCACTACCCCCTCGTGTGTGCGTGCAGAGTGGTGGCGTCGGTGGGCGACTCCCTGTCGTACGAGAACTTCATGCCCTCCATCGTATGCCAGGTGCGCCAGCACACGCAGGGACAGGGGCAGGGGCATCCATCCCGCTTGCGCACTTTTCTATCACTACATCGCTGCTTCTTTGATGCTCCCACCTCCGTCCCTACATCATCATCCAGACGCGCGTTCCTGCTGCATCTTCTCCCCCGCTCTCTCCCCCGCTGCATCACGCACTCTGTCCTCCCCCCTCCCCCCATCCTCTCCCTCGTCCCCCCCAGCTGAACGAGGTGGCGAAGGTGGAGACGGCGGACGAGCTGCTGGGGAAGCTGGCGGGGCGGGGGCTGCCGTCTTCCCCCTTTTGCACCTAGCATCTCCCGCCCACCCCCTCTTCCCCCCCACCTCTCCCCAGCTGAACGAGGTGGCGAAGGTGGAGACAGCGGACGAGCTGCTGGGGAAGCTGGCGGGGCGGGGGCTGCTGGTGCCGACGCACATCATGCGCGTGCGCGCGTACAACGTCACGCTCGTCAACGTCTGGAGCACCTTCCTCAACAGCTACCTCCATGATGAGCAGGTAAGCCCACGCCCGGCGAGCCCACACCAGGCGAAGTAAGTAACCGAGTAACTCGCCGATGAACGCAGTCTAGTTCTGGTTGGGGGTGCTTTTTTTTTTTTTTTGGGTTGCGGAGCAACCTATTGTAATCGATCTGAATTATTTTTCTTTTTTTCCGATTATTTTTTTTTAAGAATATTTTGAGGAAAAAAAACTTATACCGTATAAAATCACCTACCGGTCTTTTGAATTGTGTCTTGCTGCAAATGTGATGCTTTGTTTGTTGTCGCTTTTTTAGTGTGCTTATCTCTAACATGTGCAAAAATTTTGGAGACAACATAGTAAAAAGAAATGAAGAAATGAAATGACCGAGCAAACGGTCATTGCATTTCCATTTCGTTAGAATATTGGAAAAGAAAATATTCATTGAGCGGATCAATGAATATATCGTACCCTATGGTGAGAAAAAAATGCGTCACGACTCACAAATTCAAAATGTATACTACTACCGCTTCCCCAGCCTAGCATGGGGGGGAAAACAATAGTATACACGTTAAATTAGCAAGCTATAACATGAAGCAATACAATCTGCAAATCTCGAAGAAAGCTCTACACCGATCAAGTCCAGCTCAAAATGGCTTCACTTTGATAGTGATACACCACTGAACCTTTTGTGACAATGATTAGCAAGAACCCTCTTTGAAACAAGCAGACTGCATTACTAATGCAATGAAAAGCAACATGTGACAAACACTAATAAAACAATAATGCAAACAATTACACAAACACTATGCATGTTTAAAAAATCATAATGCACTGAGTTGTACGAGACGCTCCTTCCTATGGATAAAGATCTGTTATAAGAAAACATGACAAAACACAGAACCAACACACACAGAGAAAGGACAAGAAAATTCTATATTAAAAAATATATATGTGGAAACAGAATGGAAGAGGAAAACAGCAGGGAAAAGAACAGGCGAAAGGAAACGAGGGGATGAAGGTAACGGAAGCGAAAGGCAGAGGGAAGGAACAAAATAAGAACAACATGAATGAAGGTAAGAGGAAAGGGAGAAAGAAACAGAAAGGGAGAAGAAAACAAGACGGAAAAAGATAGTCGAAAGGAAAACAAAGGGGTGAGGGAACGGAAGTGAGACGAAGAGAGAAGACATTGAAGAAGCAAAACATGGATGAGGGAAACCAAAAAAGTCGTTGTAAGGAATGAAAACACTAAACGGAATAGCAACAACACGGATCAAAGCATCATGAAAACATAAGGAATGAAGAACGGGAAACCGGAAACATGTACGGCAAGAACAAGGAGCTAGGCAAAAAGTTACAAGAATAAGAGGTGATGAAATGAAGAGGAGATGGAAGAAGCAGAAAACACATCCTAATCTGGCGCAACCATTAAACCAACCTAACAGCAAGGAAGAATACACTAACGAAGGAAAAAACAAGATAGAAAAAAGTCACTGAGAGAGAGAGAGAGAGAGCGAGAGAGAGAGAGAGAGAGAGAGAGAGAGAGAGAGAGAGAGAGAGAGAGAGAGAGAGAGAGAGAGAGAGAGAGAGAGAGAGAGAGAGAGAGAGAGAGAGAGAGAGAGAGAGAGAGAGAGAGAGAGAGAGAGAGAGAGAGAGAGAGAGCACGAAACAGAGAACAAGGAGGACAAAACAGAGGAGAAAACAAGAGAGCGCAACAAAGAAACTATGTTATATTGATATCTTTTTTTAAGAAGAAAAAAAAAAAACACAGGAAGTACAGAAAGGACTGAGGAGAAAACACTGGGAAGTAAGAACCAACGTATAGAAGATAACAAGACATTGAGAAGGAAGCTAACACGGGGAAAACAAAAAGGAAAATTAAGGTGGAAACTCATTATCGAACTAGAGGAAAAGCCGACGTGAAAGTACCACAATAAGATTGGAAATGTATACAACAAGTTGGAAGGAATACGAGGATGAGATGAAGATGCAAAGAAAAGGAGAAAACAAAGAGGTCTTGTAGAACGTAGAAAGAAAATGAGGACAAAAAATAGAAACTAATGGAAAGAACAACGGTTAAGGTACCAATCTATGGTCGACAGAGCTTTCAGCAAATAAAATCAACATACCTTGAATGTCGAAATGGCTGGAAGGTCCTCACACAACGCTATATTAAAGCCAGCAGCTAAAATAGTGACCCCCCCTTCTAGTTGGGTCCACTTGAAAACTGAAGTTTTTTTGGAACAGTTTCGGAACCAATGAAGTGCTGTGCATGTTTATTTTTTCACTCCTGACGAGTCTCGCTGTGAACGGGGAACACTTGGAAGAGTGCACAATTCTGATTGGCAGCGAAACTCACACACAATGCACACATACTTCTCTGCGAATTTGGCGCAAGGTTTCAATGCCTGTATTCACTCGAGCAGTCATCGAACTTCACAAAACCGAACATCAATCAACAACACAGAATCCAGAGCACACACATATGCCAAGGTGGGCCGACGACCTGGCAGAGCTGCGAGAAACGGCGAGACCTTGGACTTGAGGCTGAGAGAGGTTAAAAATAGGGACAGTGTAGGACGAGGGGGATAGAATGATATCGATGGGGAGAGAGAGAGGAACAACGGCCAGCGAGGGGAGAGCGGAGGAGCAAAGAGAAGAAAGAGAAGAGAGGAGGCGAACGACGGGATGGGAGGGGAGAGGAGGCGAACGACGGGATGGGAGGGGAGAGGAGGCGAACGACGGGATGGGAGGGGAGAGGAGGCGAACGACGGGAGGGGAGGGGAGGGGAGGACCGTGAGCGCGATGGCGAGGGAGGGGAGGAACGTAGCGCGATGGCGAGGGGAGGGGAGGAACGTGAGCGCGATGGCGAGGGGAGGGGAGGAACGTGAGCGCGATGGCGAGGGGAGGGAGGAACGTGAGCGCGATCGCGAGGGGAGGGAGGAACGTGAGCGCGATGGCGAGGGGAGGGGAGGAACGTGAGCGCGATGGCGAGTGGAGGGGAGGAACGTGAGCGCGATGGCGAGGGGAGGGAGGAACGTGAGCGCGATGGCGAGGGGAGGGGAGGAACGTGAGCGCGATGGCGAGTGGAGGGGAGGAACGTGAGCGCGATGGCAAGGGGAGGGAGGAACGACCGGATGGGAGGGGAGATTGCAAGGGCGACGGGATGGAGAGCGCTAAGGCGACGAAATGGAGAGCGCTAAGGCGACGAAATGGAGAGCGCTAAGGCGACGAAATGGAGAGCGCTAAGGCGACGAAATGGAGAGCGCTAAGGCGACGGTAGAGAGAGCGCTAAGGCGACCATAGAGTGAGCGCTAAGGCGATGGGAGGGAGAGCAGCCAGCATACGACGAGAGGGAGAGCGCTAAGGCGACGGGAGCTAAAGACGACGCAGTGAGCGATGGGCCGACGAATGCATGCGCGAGGGGAGAAAGAGATGGTGACCAGGGGAGAGGAGAGAGACCCGCGAAGGTGGGAGGGGAGCGGAAAGCGGACGAACGACTGGAGGCAAGGGGAGATGACGAAGGCGCGATACAGGAAACTAACACCTGCGGAAGGGTAACGATAGGCTACGGAAGGGAATAAAATTACGATACAACGCTATGTAACAGTCTTACGCATTCCTGTTGGGTCGTTAGTTCCTTAGCTTGGCCACAAACATCTATTGTTGTCAGCTATAATATGCTAGGAATGAAACTAGTGATTACGGGACGGAGAGCAACTAGCATGAAGCCCAGTTCCAGCTTGAAACCAACTTTGGCCTGGCGATCGAAACCATCGCTTGGCAAGAGTCGTGCAGGTGTAGCACGAAACATGCGACAGGGGAGATCCGCAGGGGAAAAAATATTGGCGGGAACATGAAGAATCAAAGATTGGCGACAGCCAATCACATTTGCTCATGGTGCTTTTCGTTTTGTTTGGAACAGTGCTCGAACGGCCCGTTTTCGGCAGCCACTTTCAAGATGGGACAGGGTTCACTATTTTATATTTCGGTTTTAAACAAACAACACACCTACTAACTTAAACACGGAACAAAAATAGGTATTAGGCACTAGGAAGAAGAAGCTCACCAAGGAGCTAGTTGGTGTGAGCCACGTTAGCAAAACGAGAAGGTAGCTGTTGGTGGACCCCGCACCAGAACGAGAAAAAACGAGAAAGAGATGAAACTCTAGAGAAGTTGGAACACAATTTTAAAGCGAAATTGAATAGAAACTTAAAGAATTTCAACCGCCCAGCCTAGTCAGTTAGATTTGTACTTTCGAAAAAGAAGGTGCAGGTTCGAATCTCGCTGGCGCACCTTTGGATTGAAGAACTTTGTTGGAAACCAAAAATTTCACATGTAAAAATTGAGTTCACAAACACTCATTTGATTGTTTAGGATCTTTTAACCAAGATGCAAACACGTGTATTCATATTCTTTGACAACAATGTTAAACAAATAGAAACTGCATCTCTGATCACGTTGATAATTTATATATGCAATTATGAAAATTTAACCAAACATTGAAATTTTGTTTATATCAATAATCTGGTACTTATATGATTTAAAAACTTGCTCCGCAACCCTAAGACGATCTCGTTGACTCTTTTTTTTTTTTTTTTTTTTTTTTTTTCGTGGTGGATTGTTTTTTCAGCGGCTCAAGGCCAGGCAGTTTTGAGATTGTGGTGCTTTTGAGAGCTCGAAAGATACTCGCTCACCACAGGCGCGACTGATGAGCGGGTGCGGTGAGGTGATGAATGGCAGAGGGAATGAGTGGTAGGACATGGGTATGTGCGTTTGGAGATGTGGACCAGAAGAACCCAAAAAGCACACAACCCTCATCCCCCCTCCTTTCTGCTCCTCCCCCTTTCCTCCGTCCCCCCCTCCTCCCTCACCACTCCTCCTTTTTCCCCTGCTCCTCTCCCCCTTGCCCCTCTTCCCCCCATTCCCCAGACCCTGCGCAAGTACAACGGGGCGTGAAGCCAACGGTGGTGGACGTGACACCGCTTTGGAGACGTCTCGGAACCAACTTCTCCCCCTCTTTTCCGCATCCTAATTCCCCAGACCCTGCGCAAGTACAACGGGGGCGTGAAGCCAACAGCGGAGGACGCGGTGGTGGACGTGACGCGGCTGGACAGCACGTGGGCGGACCACGTGGGGCAGTACGACGTGCTGGTGCTGCAGTCCGCGGCGCACTGGCGCGCCAAGCCCACCAAGTGGCGCCGCTACTTTGTGGACGGCGCGGGCGTGCGGCAGTGGCCCGAGAAGAAATACACCAAGGCGTTCTTGTGCGTCGGGGACGGGGGGGAAGGGGGGGAAGGGGGGGGAGAGGGGGGAGGGGGAAAGGGAAGAAAATACACCAAGGGGTAGATGCAGTGCACTCTACTTTGTGGACGGCGCGGGCGTGCGGCAGTGGCCCGAGAAGAAATACACCAAGGCGTTCTTGTGCGTCGGGGAATGGGAGAGGGGAGGGGAGGGGAAGCGGGGGGAGGGGGAAGGGGAAGAAAAAGCAGGGCTTAGATGCAGTGCAGTCTGCTTTGTAGACGGCGTGGGTGTGCGGCAGTGGCCTGAGAAGAAATACACCAAGGCGTTCTTGTGCGTAGAAGAACGGGAGAGGGGAGGGGGGGAGAGGGGAGGGGAAGAGGGGAGGGGAAGAGGGGAGGGGAAGAGGGGAGGGGGGGGAGGGGGGGAAGCGGGGGGGAACGGGAGCGGGGAGGAAAGGGAGGGGAAGGGGAGGTGAGGGAAGGGGAGGGGAAGGGAATGGACTGCTTGTTGCTGGTCAAACCGTTACATTTTTATCTGTGCCGTAACGTTTGCTTTCACATCCTTAGAACCATTATGCGTGTCCCCAACCAATGATCACCGTACCCCTCTCCAACCCTCATCACCCCTCATCGCCACACCTCTCTCATCCCGCGCAGCACAGGGATGAAAACGGTAGCAGACTTCCTGACAGCGCGCAAGGCCAAGGGCGCCAGCAAGCCGCTATCGTACTTCCTCTCAGCGCCTGCCGCCATTGACGGGTGCGGCAAGTACCGAGGCGCGCTGGGTCAGAGCCAAGTGAGTAACATGTGGTGCCAATACGTGCTCATGCCGTCTCGCCTCTTCTGCTGCAGTTGGCTCTTTCCACCCGCCACCCTCATTTCTCTTTTTCCCAACCTCCCGTCCTTTCACCCTCACACCCTCCCACCCTCTCGCCCTCCCACCCTCTCACCCACCCTCCCTCCCGCTCTACCACACCCTCACACCCTCTCACCCTCCCACCCTCCCACGCCCTCACCCTTTCTCTCTCCTTCACTGCGTGCCCCGGCAGGCGGACACCATGGTGGCAATGAACCGCTAGGCAATGGTGTTCCTACCAGCGGAGCAACGTGCATTCCGCAAGGCTTTTGACACGTCTCAAAAACACCCCTCCCACCCTCGCGCGCCGTTGTTTGTGCGTCGGCAGGCGAACACCATGGTGGCAAAGAGCTGCCAGGCAATGGAGTTCCACCCACCCTCTCTATCTCTCTCCTTCACTGTGTGCCCCGGCAGGCGGACACCATGGTAGCAAAGAACCGCCAGGCGATGGTGTTCCTACCAGCGCAGCTGCGTGCGTTCCGCAAGGCTTTTGACACATCTCAAAAGCACCCTCTCACCCTCACACTGTCCCACCCTCCCACCGTCACTGTGTGCCCCGGCAGGCAGACAGCATGGTGGAAAAGAACCGCCAGGCGATGGTGTTCCTACCAGCGCAGCTGCGCGCGTTCCGCAAGGCTTTTGACACATCTCAAAAGCACCCTCTCACCCTCTCACTGTCCCACCCTCCCACCGTCACTGTGTGCCCCGGCAGGCAGACAGCATGGTGGAAAAGAACCGCCAGGCGATGGTGTTCCTACCAGCGCAGCTGCGCGCGTTCCGCAAGGCGCCGGTGCGGATCATCCAGGTCACGCGCTCCACCATCTACCGCCCCGACGCACTCGTGGGGGCCCTGGGGAACAACGACGACTGCGTGCACTGGTGCCTGCCCGGCGTGCCTAACTCGTGGACCGACATGTTCTACGAGCAGCTTCGCGCCGACATGGGCTTCTAGGGCCTTGCGTGGATACAGTAAAAGACAATTTCTGAGACGTCTCAAAAATCGACTGCGTGCACTGGTGTTGGCTGGTGTGCCTGACTCGTGGACCGACATGTTTTACGAGCAGCTTCGCGCCGACATGGGCTTCTAGGAGGGCCTTGCGCTGCGCATGGGGGAAGGTGTGATATAGTTGTCTAGATGGGAGGGTATTGTGCTGGGATTGTCAAACTATATGTACTGCATATTGTCTAGGCTGTAGTGGGGTAGCCCACATGGGGTACAACCCAATTAAGGTTTACTACTTGTACTCCTGCATCCTGTTAGTTCATTCATTCCTGCTGCTAGATTCTAACATGGTTTCAGAGCACTAAGGTCCGTAGAACCGTTTTTTTTTTTTTTTTTCGGGCCCACCTACCGCTGCGGTTACCGCGCTACCCCACGTACCTGCCTGCCTTGCCTTGCCTTGTGACGTGCTGCACTACGCGCGCCGTCCAGCAGCCCTAGCGCTGCCTCCTGCTGCCCTAGGCCAGCGCGCTGCTTCTAGAGGCCCGTAAGGCCCGCGCGCCGCCCCTACACGCCGTTCAGGCCCGCGAACAGCCCCTGCAGACCGTTAGGCCCCTTGCTGCCGCGCGCTGCCCGCACCGAGCCCGCGCAGCCCGCACCGAGCCGCGCGCAGCCCGCTGCAGCCGCGCGCAGCCCGCACCGAGCCGCGCGCAGCCCGCTGCAGCCGCGCGCAGCCCGCTGCAGCCGCGCAGCCCGAACCGAGCCGCGCGCAGCCCGCGCCGAGCCCACGCAGCCCGCGTCGAGCCGCGCGCGGCCTGCTACGGCCTCGCGAGGCCCGCGCGCGGCCCGCAGCAGCCCGCGCCGAGCCGCGCGCGGCCTGCTACTGCCTCGCGCGGCCCGCGCGCGGCCCGCAGCAGCCCGCGCCGAGCCGCGCGCGGCCTGTAGCAGCCCGCGCAGCCCGCGCCGAGCCGCGCGCGGCCCTCTGCCTCGGCCCCGACCTGCCGCTGATGCGGCCCCGCCCTGCAGCTGCCACGGCCCCGACCTGCCGCTGATGCGGCCCCGCCCTACAGCTGCCGCGACCCCGACCTGCCGCTGACGCGGCCCCACCCTGCGACTGCCGCTGAAGCGGTCCCGCCCTGCAGCTGCCGCGGCCCTACTCTGCAGCCGTTGTTGCGGCCCCGACGTCGCCACTGTCGTGCGCCTACTCGGCCGCCGCCCGTCGAGCGCCGACCCTGCTCGCCCGGCGAGCGCCTGCTCTTCCAGCCTTTGGTGAGCACCTGCCTGCCTGCCTGCAGGCCTGCCTGTCTGCCTGCCTGCCTGTCTGCCTGCCGGCCTGCCTGTCTGCCTGCCTGCCTGCCTGCCTGTCTGTCTGCCTGCCTGCCTGCCTGCCTGCCGGCCTGCCTGCCTGCCTGCTTGCCTGCCTGCCTGTCTGCCTGCCGGCCTGTCTGCCTGCCTGCCTGCCTGCCTGCCGGCCTGTCTGCCTGCCTGCCTGCCTGCCTGCCTGCCTGCCTGCCTGTCGGCCTGCCTGCCTGCCTGCTTGCCTGCCTGCCTGTCGCGCCTGCCCTGCCCGCGCTACTGCTACTACTCCTGCTATTAGCAGGTGGCCAGATGCAGCTCCAGCGTCGTTCCTGCGTGTCTCTCACGCCCCAGCAGCTTGATGAGTGGTATAGGGTTTGGGGCTGTCGAGGTGGCCGTCGTAGCAGTCGCCCTGGAGCTGGTCAGTTGGGGGCGTCTGGCAGTGGCCAGCTGCAGCTGCAGGGGCGTCCTCGCGAGACACTTACGCCCCGGCAGCTCCAGGAGTGGTACACTCAGTGTAGCAGGTCTACGCGTACCGTTCGCTGCCCGTACGTCATTCGCACAGGTGTTAGGACTGGTCAGCCTTGCGGGACGCTTGGTCACACACAGTCCCGCTGCTTCGCCCGTCTGAGCGACGCCTGGCGTACCGTGTTTGGAGACGAGGCTGAGCTCCCTGCCTGGCCGGAGCTGCTTGGACAGAGGGTAGATATCTTTGCACTTGACTATGATGCTATTCTCACTGCCATGTATGAATTGCCTACTAGTGTCGACCGTGCCTGTTACCTGTGCGTCCCGCCTGACCCTGGTGTAGCGCCTGCTGCTCTCATCTGGTGAGGCTGCTGCTCTAGGTGCTCGTGCGTCTCCTGCTCTAGGTGCTGGTGAGACTGCTGCTCTAGGTGCTGGTGAGTTTGCTCTTTCTGGTACTGCGCCTGCTGCGGTCTTGCACACCTTCACCCTTGACTCAGGAGCTTCTCGCTCTTTCTTTCGCGACTGCACCACACTCACGCCGCTCAGTCGGCCAGTTCCGGTCTCCCTGGCGGACCCCTCCGGGGGTCCAGTCCTTGCCCACTACTCCACGGTTCTGCCGTGTCCGGCCGTCCCGTCTGGCTTCCTGTCAGGTCTTTACCTCCCCTCGTTCTCTATGAACTTGGTGAGTGGAGCTGACCTCCAGGATCACGGGGTTGACCAGTTCACTCCTGCGAGTCAGCGAGTGACTCACTGCACGTGTGCTAGGACGGGCCGGCACTTGGCCACGTTCACCCGTGCACCTGGCTCGAGTCTGTACACACTGACCACTGAGTCCCCTCAGGTAGCTGCGTCTGCGTCTACGTCTGGTCAGCTGGCGGCCCCCTGCGAGTGTCGCGCTTTGTCGCACGACACTCTCCTGTGGCACCACCGCCTTGGTCACCCCTCCTTGCCTCGCCTGCGTAGCATGCACTCTCGCTCCCTAGTCTCTGGTCTTCCCAGGTCTCTGCCTGCCCTACCTCCCTCGCCTGCGCCGCCCTGCATTCCTTGCGTCGAGGGGCGGCAGCGCGCCACTCCTCACTCCTCCTCGTTTCCTCCCATAGAGGCTCCACTGCAGACGCTCCACCTGGACGTGTGGGGCCCAGCCCGCGTCCAGGGACAGGGCCGCGAGCGGTACTTCCTGCTGGTCGTCGACGACTACACGCGTTACACCACGGTCTTCCCCTTGCAGAGCAAGGGGGACGTCCCTGATGTTTTGATCCCTTGGATCCGCACTGTTCGTCTCCAGCTCCGCGAGCGATTCCGGCGGGACTTTCCTGTCCTGCGTCTGCACTCTGACAGAGGTGGTGAGTTCTCCTCAGACCTCTTGGCAGCCTACTGTGCGGAGCACGGCATCACCCAGTCGTTCACGCTTCCGGCCTCTCCACAGCAGAATGGGGTTGCTGAGCGCCGCATTGGCTTAGTCATGGAGGTCGCTCGTACCTCCATGATCCATGCGGCTGCCCCCCATATCCTGTGGCCGTTCGCGGTCCGGTACGCCGCGCATCAGCTCAACCTCTGGCCCCGTGTCTCCTTGCCGGAGACCTCGCCCACACTGCTGTGGACGGGGAAGGTTGGCGATGCGTCTCGTTTCCGGGTCTGGGGTGCTCGTGCCTTTGTCCGCGATACTACCGCGGACAAGCTCTCCGCCCGCGCTGTTCCCTGTGTCTTCCTTGGCTTTGTCCCTGACGCGCCTGGTTGGCAGTTTTACCACCCCACCTCGCGCCGTGTCTTTGCGTCTCAGGACGTCACGTTCGACGAGTCGGTTCCCTTTTACCGTCTCTTCCCCTACCGCACTGCCCCGCTCCCCCCCCCCGCCGCTCTTCCTCGCTCCAGGTGCTCCCCAGGTAGACCCCCTCCCCGCTCCAGGTCCTGCTCCTTCAGGTGTTTCTCAGGTAGACCCTCCTCCCTTGACTGCGCCGGTTGAGGTCACTGGTGACTCAGGTCCTACTGAGGGTGGTCCTGCTCGGGGTGCTCCTTCTGGGGGTGCTGAGCCTGGGGGTGCGGAGCCTGGGGGTGCTGAGCCTGCGGGTGCGGAGCTTGAGGGTGTGGAGCTTGGTGGTGCTGAGCCTGAGTGTGAGGGGTCTGGGGGTGCTGAGCTTGGCGGTACTGACGCTGGAGGTTCTGGAGCTACTGAGGGTGCTGGCGCTGGAGGTTCGGGAGCTGCTGGAGGGCCTAGTACTGGTGGCACTGGAGCTGGAGGTTCTGGAGCTGCTGAGGGTGCTCGCGCTGGAGGTTTCGGAGCCGCTGGAGGTACTGGTGCTGAGGGTACTGACACCGGAGGTTCTGGAGCCGTTGGGGGTGCGGGCGCTGAGGGTTCTGAGTCTGCTGTTGCGCGGTCTCCTTGGAGTAGCCGCCTTCGTCCACGTGTGCCTCTCACCCCACAGCAGCTGCAGGACTGGTACGGTCGCCGTCAGCGTCGCGCTGCTGGAGCTAGGAGTGGTGCTGGTCCTTTGTCTACTGGAGGTGCTGGAGTCGCTGGTTCTGGAGGTGCTCGTACTGGAGACACTGAGGCTGGAGATCCTGGGACTGGAGGTGCTGGCTCTGGGGGTGCTGCTGCTGGAGACACTGAGGCTGGAGACCCTGGGACTGGAGGTGCTGGTTCTGGGGGTGCTGCTGCTGGAGACACAGAGGTTGGAGACCCTGGGACTGGAGGTGTCGGCTCTGGGACTGGAGCTTCTGGAGCTGCTGGAGGTACTGGAGCTGCTGGAGGTACTGGAGCTGCTGGAGGCACTGGAGCTGCTGGAGCTGCCGGTCCTGGTGCAGCTGCGCCGACACGACGGTTCTTCGCTCCGCCGTCTCCGTCGTCTCTGCCGCCGTCTGACTCTGTTCTTCGTCAGGTTCTTACTCTCCCGTCGTCTACTGGTCTTCCGTTACAGCCTGGCTCACCGCTGCCTGCTCCTTCTCCTTACACTGTGCAGACTGGTAGTCCTGCTGAGCGTCGTGAGCCTGCGTCGCGTCCTGTTTCGCCTGTTCGTCCTAGTCGTACCGGTCGTCATGTTCCTCGTTCGCGTCAGCCGGCTGTCCCCAGCGCACACCTCGTAGTCCGTCGTCCTTCCTCTGCTCCGCAGCCTGTTCCTCTGCCGTCTCCTCCTGCGTCCTCTTTGCCTGACGTTCCGGACCCTGCGTCTGACCGGTATCGTGCTGAGCACCCTACTGTCACGCGTCTACTAGCCACTGTTGTCACTGACCCGTCGTTTGAGTCTGCTGCT